CAACAGAAAGAGATATCAAGGAACCGATCTCGTTTACAATTGCACCAAGAACCATAAAATACTTTGGAATAAACCTAAACAAGGAGGTAAGAGATCTGTATGAGAAAAAATTATAGAAATCTTATGAAAGAAATGGAAGAAGACACAAAGAAATGGAAAAACATTTCATGCTCATGGATTGGAAAAACAAATTATCCAAAGCAATCTACATATTCATTGCAATCCCAATCAGAATTGCACAGCATTCTTCACAGAGCTAGAACAAACAATCCTAAAATCTGTATGGAACCACAAAGGACCCCGAAAAGCCAAAGTAATGTTGAAAAAGTAAACCAAAGCTGGAGGTGTAACAATCCCAGACTTTAGCCTGTATTACAATACTGTAATCAAGACAATATGGTACTGGCACAAAAACAGACACATAGACCAATGCAATAGAATAGAGAACCCAGAAATGAACCCACAGATATATGGCCAACTAATCTTCGACAAAGCAGGAAAGAGTATCCAATGGAAAAAAGAGAGTCTTTAGCAAATGGTGTTGGGAGAACTGGATAGCAACATGCATCAGAATGAAACTGGAGCACTTTCTTACACCATACACAAAAATAAACTCAAACTGGATGAAAGACCTAAATGTGAGACAGGAAACCATCAAAATCCTAAAGGAGAAAACAAACAACAACTTCTTTGACCTCAGCCGCAGCAACTTCTTACTTGACAGGTCTTCAAAGGCAAGGGAAATAAAAGCAAGATTGAACTATAGGACCTCTTCAAGATAAAAAGCTTCTGCACAGCAAAGGAAACAATCAACAAAATTAAAAAGCAACCAACAGAATGGGAGAAGATATTTGCAAATGACATATCAGATAAAGGTTTAGTATCCAAAATTTATAAAGAACTTACCAAACTCAACACCCAAAAAACAAATAATTCAGTGAATAAATGGGCAGAAGACATGAACAGACACTTTTCCAAAGAAGACATCCAGATGGCAAACAGACACACGAAAAGATGCTCAACATCACTCTTCATCAGGGAAATACAAATCAAAACCACAGTGAGATACTACCTCACACTGGTCAGAGTGGCTAAAATTAACAACCTAGGAAACAACAGATGTTGGTGATGATGTGGAGAAAAGGGAACCCTTTGCACTGTTGGTAGGAGTGCAAACTGGTGAAACCATCCTGGAAAACAGTGTGGAGGTTCCTCAAAAAATTAAAAATAGAATTACCCTATGACCCAGCACTACTAGGAATTTATCCTAGGATACAGGAATGTTGATTCGTAGGGGAACGTGCCCCAATGTTTACAGCAGAACTGTCAACAATAGCCAAATTATGAAAAGAGCCCAAATGTCCATCAACTGATGAATGGATAAAGAAGATGTGGTATATGTACACAATGGAATACTACTCGGTGATGAAAAATGATGAAAGCTTGTCATTTGCAACAATGTGGATGGAACTGGAGGCTAGTACGCTAAGTGACATCAGTCAGTCAGAGAAAGGCAGGTATCATATTTTCCTTCACATGTAGAATTTGAGGAACTTAACAGAAGACCATAGGGGAAGGGAAGGAAAAATAAGCTACAAACAGAGAGGAAGGCAAACCAGAAGAGACTCTTGAATACAGAGAAGAAACCGACAATTAGTGGGAATGGAGGGTTGGGGGGGGTGGGAAAATGGGTGATGGGCATTGAGGAGGGCACTTATTGGGATGAGCACTGGGTGTTGTATGTTAGGAATGAATTATGGATTCTACTCCTGAAGCCAAGACTACATACACTGTATGTTAGCTAGCTTGACAATAAATTGTTAAAGAAAAAAAAAAAAAAAAGAAGAGAAAAGAATACTACCCAAATCATTATATGAAGCCATCATTACCCTGATACCCAAAACCAAAAACAGTTACTACAAGAAGAGAAATTTACAGCCCAACATCCCTCATGAACATCAATGTGAAAATTATTTTAAAATGTTAGCAAATAGTATTCAGCAAGACATAAAAAGGATAATACACATCACAATCAAGTATGTCTTCTCCCAGGAATACAAGATTTGTTTAACATTTAAAACTCAATCCATAAAATTCACCTTGTTATCAGTCAAAAAAGAATACTCAAATGTCCATCTCAATAAATGTAGAAAAAGTATTTGAAAAGTCCTACATTTATTCTTGACAAAGATCTTCAGCAAACCAGGAATAGAAGAGAATGTGACTCAATTTGACAAAGGGTATCTACGAAAAACTGACAGCTAACATTTATATTTAATGAGGAAAGACTGATGCTTTCTTCCTAACATCAGGAACAAGATAAGGTTTTTCACTCCCGTGACTTCTATTCAACTTGTACTAGAGGATCTAGCCAGAGCAATGTGACAAGACAAAGAAATAAAAGGTAGAAAGACTGGAAAGGAAGAAATAAAACTGCCTTTATTTACACATGACACAATCGTCTGTACAGAGAAGCTGATGAGATCTACGAAAATGCTACTAGCACTAATAAATGAGCTTAACAGTCTGCAGGTTAGAAGATCAATACAAAATCAGTTATATTTCTAAATATCAGCAATGAACAATCAGAAATTTAAATATAAAAGCCCATACCGTTTATAATACCCTAGGATTATGATAATGTAGGGACAAATTTGACAAAAATATGCTAGTCTTGTATCTGGAAAACTACAAAATATTGCTGGAAAAAGCACTTTTTAAAAAAATAGATATACTGTGTTTGTGAAATGAAAGACTCAGTGCTGTTTAAGATCTCAGTTCTCCTTGGATTAGGCGAAGATTTTAAAAAATACAACATTAAAGCATGATCCATAAAGGAAAATTTGATAAATGGTAGTTCTTCAAAATTAAGACCTTCTGCTCTTCACAAGGTACCCTTAAGATAATGAAAACACAACTGCAGGGAATATCTTTGCATATCACACGTCAGATAAAGGACTTTGCCTTAAAACTGAATTATAAGAAAAAAAAAACCCAACCCAATAATAATAAATGCACAAATAATTTTAACAGACGCTTCATCAAGCAGATATGTAGATAGCAGATAAGCACATGAAAAGCTGTTTAACATCAACTGTCAATAGGGAAATGCAATTTAAAACAATGATGAGATACCAATACACAATTCTTAAGATGTCTAAAAGGAAAGCCTGACTACACTAAGCGTTGACAAAGATGTGCAGGAACTGAAATGCTCATGCACTGCTGGTATGAATGTAACAGGGTACACTCACTTGGAAACCAGTTTGTCGATTTCTTGAAAAGTTATACACATATCACATGGCCTAGCCACATCTGCTCCTGCGTATTTATCCAATGTACATGACAGCGTGTATCTACACAAAGACATGTACATGAATATTCATAGCAGTTTTATTTGTAAGGGCCCCAAACTGAAAACAGCCCAGATGTCCATGCACTGATGAATGGAAAAACAAAAGGTCTTATATCCATGGGGCGCCCGGGTGGCTCAGTCGGTTAAGCGTCCGACTCTTGATTTCAGCTCAGGTCATGATCTCACAGTTTCATGAGTTCAAGCCCCTGCAGAGCCTGCTTGGGACTCTCTCCCTCTCCCTCTCTCTCTGACCCTCCCTTTCTCAGACACTCTCTGTCTCTCTCAAAATAAATACATAAACTTTAAAAATTATGTTAAAAAGGTGATATATCCATACAATGGAATACTACCCAGAAAGGGAAAGAAATTATCTACCGATACATGCAACAAAATGGATGAATCTCAACGTTAGTCTGCATGAGAGAAGGCAGGAAAAAAGTCTAAGAATTGTGTACATTCATTTACATAAAATTCTAGAAAATGCAAGGTAGCCTACAGTGACAGAAAACAGACCAGGAGCTGCCTGGGGACAGGGATGTAGGATACAAGAGTGGTGGAAAAGAGCAACTCGAAAGAATATGGGAAACCTTTAGGGGTGTGAGGCACATGTTCATTAACTTGACTATGGTGGTTTTTTCACGGATATAATCTATGTGAAGACTTATCAAATTGTACACTTTAAATATATATAGTTTACTGAATATAAATATATTTCAATGAAGCTGTAAAAAAGAAAATCAGGTATGATCATCCGAGTGTCAGTAAGATCGTTCCACTCATGGTGTTGACTTTTGCTACTGACCATCAAGTTAGAGAGGCTCTCTCTACCCCACTTAAGCCAGCTACTTTGTAGTATTCTGGTCACAGTCAAGTTTTCCCTGAAAATGGGTCGCTTTTCCCAAGCATTGTGTGAGTTAACTTGACAAGTGACCTTATGGAAGACCAGAGACAACCAAGGAATGAAATAGCAAGTTAAAAGGTCCCAAACTGACCCACTTGGTGTGGTGGGGGTGGGGGCGATGGCTGAGACACTGCACTACAGACATGACAGGTAAACAGGGAGTGGTACAGGTAGAGGAAGGACAAATAAAAAGAGAGTGAGTGAGAAATCAAGTTCTCCTTTACTCTAATTTTTTATCACACTAGTATGTTTCTGATGTCCTTGGACAGGTAACGAATACTTAATTACACCCATAAGACTACACAGTGATTTGGCATAGTAATATTAGAAACAAAATTAATTTATCTGGGCTACCAAGTCAAACAATTAAAGACTATTTTCCTTGGTTTTCTGGATATCTTGAAAGGTGAGGCACCACCAATCTGTTTCTATGACCATAAGGTCATTTTCAGATCGATGTTCCCCAGCAATATTTTAATTACTTGTGTTCACATGCAATCATGGTCCAACATATTTAACCCAGGTAGACTTAGTCACAGAGGTAGAGCAAGAGCAAAAATAACATGATAACCGTTTGGGGGCCGTTTGGGGCAGGGTCATCCCATGAGCCTGAGTCCTCCAGCCCCCAACTCTGACTGTCACAATTCAATCAGTTTTATTTTCCTCTTTGAAGGCACATTCAAAGTAAATCCACATTTGTTAGCAGCAAGAAACAGTCTTATAAAAATCATAAGATTTTCCTACCTTGACAAAAATTGTTGAATTGCATTCTTGCAATGCCTCCATTAAACTAATCACATGGAGGCACACCATCTCTACCATCTGAAACAACAAACACGAAAATCAATTCCACTCCCAGTAACGCAGAAACCTTGAAAGCTGGTCTCTGGCCACAGAGGGCCCATGTCATGTGCCCACGAGGCTTTGGGCACAATGACCAAAGGGAACCACAAGGAGTAGTGTTTATTCACCTCTAAAACTTCAACTAGAAAGTGGCTTTAAAAGGCTTCAATTGTCATGCCTTCCTTATCTAACTCAGGGCTGCCAATTTGGGTGCTGATCTCGCTAATCTGCGCCGTGTATGATTCATAGCAGAGGACAAATGCCTTCGGCTTCCCTCCTTCCACCTCCAGAACTTGGGCTGATGTCCTTTTCTCCATCTTGACCCTTCTTCCACAATTTCTCCGCCTGGAGCGGCTGTTTAGTTTATTACACGCCTGTCTGCGTGGCTTGTTCTCCGTGGAACAAGGTAGCCATGTTGATGACGGTTCAAAAGTCCTTGATCAGAAATTCCGAAGGCTGGATTTTAAACACTCCAAGGGGGTTTTGCCAGACCGGCGTACATAGTTTTTAACACATTTTTCAGAATAAAATGAACTCAAATCCATTAGGAGCATTACTTATACAAAATTCATTTGTATCAGGTTCATTTCTAACATTTATATACCAAAGAGATTTGGAGTAGAGGTATCAAGGGCGTCAAAAAACTAATGACAACAGAATGAAACTCAATCTCTATTTCAGTCCCTAGTTTCACTGTCTGTAAAATAACAGAATGCTTGATCTCCAAGTTCTCCTTTAGTCTCAGACTCTATGATCCAATAAATGTTTCTCAGAACTGCTGGTGCACCCTAAAATTGTCACATAAATTTCCTCTAAATTGAGCTAAAATACCTCTCTCCATACAGAATTGCCTCATAACATCTGCTTCTCTAAAGAAAAGGAAGTGTTTCACTAAAGGAAATATAAAAATCCCCTTTCCAATTAGAGCTGAAAGAAAGTATTTCTTAAGAGTAGTATCAATCAATCAAAAGTCATTTCTGTTATGTCTTTTGTGGATGGTGCCTTGCTGGGTTGCTGGGCACACTGGGATCATTGATATGATGTTCTTCCTGATCCCCTGCCCCTCACAGAGGAGAACTCACCTGATAAAGCCCCCATGACCAAGATACTAACTGTTGCTTTCTCCACTGAGAATCCTCTTCCAAAGTAACAAAGGATTTCCTTGTAAATTCCTTCCATAGACCTTCCAAGCCTGACTTCAAAGGACTAATCCAAGCATGTTCAATGGAGTGGGCTCCTGCTAACAATACCTCGGATATTTTCCAGTGAGGTTCAGAGCAGCCCCTCTCTTGGTGAGCCATTCTAATTAAAACTGAACTGGATTTGAAAACGGAGGCTCAGGTCTTCCTAGGGCAACTCAAAAAGGTAAGGCCCTTTTCAGGGTTTGAGGCCTGGGAAGAATGAACATGTGTGGTTAGTCTGCTCTTCAGTGCCACCAAAGGGTGACCCAACTGGCTAGGGTTTTTCCAAACTGCCTTGGAATCCAAAAATAATATGAATCTCCTTTGGACTTGATAGCACAAAACAACCCTTTATGTGTGGCTGGTCTGCTCTTAAATACCACCAAAGGGTGACCCAATTGGCTAGGGGGTTTCCAAATTGCCTTGGAATCCAAAAATAATATGAATCTCCTTTGGACTTTATAGGACAAAACAACCCTTAAACATAGAAGTTTCATATAAAAAATTTTTTTGGCCCTAAGCGGAGCAAACAAAAGTTGTTTTTACTAGACTTATTTGCTTGCTCTGTTCTTCATCAAAATTATTACACAAGCAGAACATCCAGCTTATAATGTAAAAACCCACCGATCCATTGATGTAATATTACAATTGAAATCCTTAAAGAGCATGCAATGTGAGGGCCGGGTGTGGGTTACATCTTTTATCCAAGATGGGAAACGAACTTGTGGACTCACCACTTTGTTGTGAGCCATCAGCTGAAGGATGCTGGGTGTCACCCTGCTCCAGAACTCCAGCGCGGTCAGGATGGCCGTGAAGCTGAATTCATTCTGACTTTGGACATTTGTAGCTACGGCACTTTGTTCGCAATATACTGTCCAGAGCTGAGCAAAGATAAATGCGTGGAAGAGAGAACACATATGCAGCACGGAGGTCTGAAAAGGAGGAGACAGGAGCTGTTACATTTCAGTGGGCTATGGTGCTCCACAGGCCCCATCCTGCACGGCCTTGGCCTCCTGAGAAGCATGGCCAAAGCGCATCTACTTCCAGAGATCGGAGGCTGAAGGAGTTCTCTATGAGTTACATATTCGTGATTCACCACCTTAAGCAATCTGCTTTCCGCTTGGTCAGTGGGAGTGTGCTGAGAGAACAAAGCCTCTTTCCAAAGAGAAGGCACCTTGGTTTGCAGAACACAACCCACCCCTTTGCCTGTTAATGACAATGACATTCTCATCACTCAACTAGATCAGGGACAATAACCATTCTACCATGTTGGGGTGTTTCCTCACCTGTAACATGGGGATGATAGCACCCTCCTCAAAGAGCTGGAGTTAGGAGGAACCTGGTGACATAGCTGAGCACACTGCCCAGCACTTACTCATTATACTATCACCACTTAGAAATGGCAGCAACAAAGACAGTATAACTACTAGCGGTGAGTACCGACTGAGCAAGTACCTACGAGGTCCCAGACACTGTGCTAAAGACTTTCCAAAGATCACTTCTATAATTCTCAAACCATCCGCTTGTCTCTTTGACAGGTGAAAAACTGGAGCTCAGAGAGGTCACAAGGTCAAGGTCACAAATGACAAAGTACCATTGTTAGGAATCAAACACAGCTCTGTCTCGAAATACTAGGAACTGCCGGCCTGATCCCTTTTGCAAACATCATTTAGGCCACTTGGATGGTTCTCTACTTGACTACAGAGTCAGCTTGCTCTGGCCCACATCCCAGCTGCTCCCAAACCCACCCTGACTTCCCAGAACTTGCCTAAGCTCGTGAAGGGCCCTTGGCTTCTCTTAGCTGATTAGTATCAGCGTGTCTGGTTTGCTTACACTGGCTCATGACTGATGCCTGCCTTGGGTTTACTTTATTCCCTTAAGCACATCATCTGTCTCTACAATTTACAAAGTTCCTCTGTGTAGATGATTCCAGTGAGCGCTTTAGTGAGTTCCCAACTGGCCTTCTTATTTTCATTTTGTATCTTTATGTATCTATCTCTAGAGATGTGAGTTGAAAAGACAGTGCATGAAAAATTAGAGCAAAAATTTCCCTCCAATTCATATTCGGTTCCAAAAACTGATCATGGGATTTTTATTATATTTCTAGCCTTTTATTTCTCTTCATTATTTTGTGACAGAGATGCCTAGGAAGCTAACTCTTGCTTGCCTCCATAATTTATCTTCATAAAAGTAAACAAGGACAATTTAAGGGGGAAGAAAAAATAGTGGGGGGAATTTAAACAACTTTAAATAAGGCATTAGCACAAAGCTGCTTTTGTAACATCCACAGGGGGCAAGTGATAAGATGCATTTTCTTCTCAGAAGAAACATAATAGGCTGGTAAGGGTTTCCATTAGTGATTTCGATGCCTATGGTCTTAAGGTTGGAGAAACTGCTCACCTTTGATTGCTCTGGAAATCCAATCAGGATGACAATGAGATGGTCTGCAATATGAGAGCCGGCATCCAGAGGTATGGGCAGGCACGGGGAGGAGGCGTTTGGACACACTGCATTATGAGTGAGGGAGCCCAGGAGAAGCCAGGACAGCAGACGGATGCGGGAGATACACTCGATGAATTCTTTCGGCCTATCGAGTAGAAGGAGGTGTTAAAGGCGATTTTTTATGGTTTCTGTTTTGTTGGGCGCTCACCAACTGCTTACTGATGGCATCAAAAGTGTGGTTTTATAGGCGATCACATACAATAAAACACCCAGGTGACGGTGCCAACAAAATGATGCACCTGTTTTTCTGCTCGCCCGATCTAATCCGGGACCTTAGCTGCTTGAGCAAAGAGCAGCTTCTGGTGACACAGGATTCAGAATCATTCTTCCATCAACCTGGGTACCTTCCTGACGAGCTTCTTTGTCTAACCTCTTTCCTTTCTTCCCTTTAGAAAGTCTGACATCGCACTAGAGGGGAAGGAATAGAGGCGGAGACGTGACATACAGGCCACCCATTTTCCTGCCCGTAGTCATTGTCTCCCGCTGCCCTCTGCCCTCCTTACCCCCAACTCCAAGCCCTCCCTCTAGCGAGGGAGCTGACGTTGCGAAATGGAGGGCGCACGCAGAGCAGCCATGCGCCCCTCCCTTCCTGCCTGGCTGCGCTCTACTTCCTCCTGCCAGGGATTCTGCTCCAGCTGCAATCCAACATGCTCCTTGAAGGCAGAAGCTATGTAAGTGCTCAATAAACACCTATTGATTTATCTAACTAGTTGAAATTAAGAGTTAAAATTGCACTTCTAAGCTCCAGGTTCTCACCATCCATCAATACACAGCCGAGGTCTTCGTAGGAGGGCAAGTTCCTCTTACTGGCAGCGTAGCACGCGTGCTCGTGGTCAAAAATGCTGCCAGGTCAGCAAGCATGGGGGTGTGGCTTACCTCCCTCCTCCTCCACCGACCACACTGCACTCCCATACATCTTCAAGGCATTCATTTGCTCTTACTGAGTCCCAGAAAACTCGGGGTGGTTCCCTGACTTGCTGACCCTCACCGCTAAAATAAAAGAGGGCCTTACCCTTGCTGCATGGCGGAAGGGGGATGATAGAGCCACGGCAGGTAGCGAATCACAGCCTTGTTATCCCTGTGGTTGCCCCGTGAGATTTCCATGGCTGTGATTTGAGCCAGCCCGACTTTGAGGTGTCCACCAAACGTATCTTCATGCAGAGGCTGGGAACATGTCTTCATGTGGCTCTGCAAAAACAAACGGCATTTCGTGGCTGTGGCCGAGTACCTGGAAAATTCCTAGTCACTCTTTAAAAAGATCTGGTTGTCATTCCCTTACCTTCTATCACCGCTCCCAAGTATACAGTCCACTTAACCAACTTCAGTGGTTTCCCATTGTTCTTAGGATAAAGTGGGGGAGGGGGGATTCCTTAGCGTGGCCTAAAAAGCCTGGGATGATCTAGCGACTGTAGACCTCTGCATCTTACCCCTTCATTCCCTCTACACTGGCTCCTTCCCATTACCGGCCTTTGCTTGCACTGGTCTCTCTGCCCAAAACACTGTTCCTGCCTCGCTTCACCTAACTAACTGCTATTCACTGTTCAGATTTCGGCTCAAGTGTCACTTCCTCCAGGAAGTCTTCCCTGACCTATTAGAAGCTCCTATATCACCGTGTACCCCTCCTCCATAGCAATTATGATTTTACTTTATCTTGTATGAGATTTCCATTAAAATTGGCACCCCACTACCAGACTGTAAATTAAATGAGCATGGCTACTGTGTCTTTTTGCTTATTGTTGTATCCCTACCTGCCCAGAACAATGCCAGGCACATTAGAGGTGCTTGTGCTTGGTACATATTTGTTGAATCAATGTAGAAAAATTCCTTTTCTCAGGGTGGCTTAGTGGAAAGAGCACTGAAATGGAAACTGAGACCTAGGCTTCAGCCCCAGTTTAGGCCACTTGCCACTTGGCCTTTCTGATCTGTCTCCTAATCTATGTGAAATCAGAGGGCTGGGTTATATCTCTGGTCCCCGACCTTTTGATCATCATGGATCCTTCTTTCTGTTTTCTCTGTATTTTGGAAGTGGTTACAGAGCTAGCTAATCTGTTTCGGTAATGAGGTCTCCTCCTGTTGACACTTGATGCCAAAGTCATCTGAACATGGGCAACCAGATTCCGCACTCAGTAACCAGTGCGCGGTCAAGTACCAGGGGTGCTTACTTAGGAATGACTGGGTTCAGATGCTGTGAGAAGTCACCAGCTTAAATTCCGGTTCTACTTTCTACCCAGCATTTGCAAATCCATGCCTATCCCAAGAGGCACTTGGATCTTCTGAACAGAGTCTAGAAACTGAGTTAGGCGATGGAGGAACCTCATTTGTAGTTGATGAGCTTCTGGGATGACTAGATCCTATTTATCAAAAAGGGATCATTTAGTGCCAGGTTGCCATCTGGCTGCTCCTTGGACCGTGTTTGCTTTCTCTTCTGCCCTCTGTCCAGGGCCTTCCCCAAATCTCTCAGACTATCAGTCTTTCAGCTCCCTAGTCAACTCACAGCAGGGAAGTTGACTTACATCAGCAATTCATCCCACCCTGCAAAGCACTCAGTCAAGAAGCTCAACAACTTCGCTGGGATCTTGCCCACTTGCAAATCAGATTTTGCTCCATCCCTTGTCTTTAATTATTGTCTCGAAGAAGAGAGCTCTGATGCAGATAACCATGGAAGGCTTATGTTTGCATAATGTGTTCTGGTTTACAAAAGTCTCTTTGCATGCACTGTGCCACATCAAACCCCGTAACAATTGGCAAAGGTAGATACTAGGCTTGTGTCGCAGATGAGGGAACTGAGGCTCAAAGGTAGTTAAATGACACCACATGGCACTGTGAAAAGAGAATGATCTGGAGCCGCTACAGTCTTAGGCCCACCCTGACTCCACCACTTATCAGTAGCGCCACCCTGAGCATGAATCACTGCACCACCCCAGGCCTCAGTTTCTACATCTGTGGAATGGGGACACTTTGACAGGGACACCGGGAGAACTGAATGAATGGCAAAAGTAGAGCCATGCACAGAACTCCTGCCATGCAAACAGCCTTTCCTTTCCTTTTCCCTCTTGCACAGGCTGAACTCAGTTCTCCAGGCTCCCGAGACAGGGACTTGTTAGGGAGCGCCACAGCCAACTCGACGCCCCAGATAACAATAAATTCCGTTGGTCTGCGTAATTCCCTACAACCGCCTCTGTGTCTTGCTCATGGGAGAAGCGAGCAGTGTAAGCAAGCCCTCTTACCTTCAGCTTGGTGAGGGTGTGCATGTCCGCCATGAAGTCCAGTACCTCGTTGATGTACTGCCTCACACACTCCATCGCGGCTGTCCCACACTGAAACACAACGACACCACCAGGTGGGCCCTCTGCCTTCACTTTGGCCCTGACTGTGGTCCCTGTCTTGTTCTGACTTCACACTGCTTACTAACGAGCTGTTTCATAAATCTGGGGTTCTGACTCACTCCATTACTCTCCACAGTCTGTCACTGTCTGCCCGCAGTTTGGACAAAAATTGATAAAAGGTTTGTGATTAAGAGCTAAGAAACAGGGGCAGCCTGGGCTAGGCAGAGTTAACACCCTTTTACCCCCTGCACTGGGTGTTCTAACTGATTTCTTTTGCTTGCTTTTGTCTTGTTTGTTTTTGTTTTGAATATAATTTATTGTCAAACTAGCTAACACAGTGTGTACAGTGTGCTCTTGGTTTGGGGAGTAGATTCCTGTGATTCATCGCTTACATACAACACCCAGTGCTCGTCCCCACAAGTGCTCTTCCTTGATGCCCATCTGTTTTTGTTTTTGTGTTTTTTATTTTGAGAGAGAAAAAGAGGGAGCATGAGCAGGGGAGGGGCAGAGAGAGAGGGAGAGAGAGAGAATCCCAGGCAGGCTCTGCACCGTCAACGCACAGTCTGACTTGGGGATGAACTCACAAACTGTGAGATCATGACCTGAGCTGAAACCAAGAGTTGGACACTCAACCGACAGAGCGACCCTGTCTGCTTGTTTATAAACTGATCTGGGGGCTCCAGTTAAGCCACGGTTCATGGGTTCGAGCCCTGCATCAGGCTCTTGCTGACAGCTCAAAGCCTGGAGCCTGCTTTGATCCTGTCTCTCCTTCTTTCTGCCCCTCCCCTCCAAGAATAAATAAACATTAAAAAAATTTAAACTGGTCTGGATACACAGATGTATCCTATATAAAGCCATTAGGATCAGAGTCTTTATGACATGAACCACTTTAAAATTACAGTCACCCCTATCACTCTGGGGAGTCTTAGATACACATAAAATACGTGCCACCTAATTCTAACACCAGAATCTTGAATCTTTTTTTCCATCAAAAAAGAAAAGCATATAAACAAACATCATGTTTGCTGCAAGGCTCAAAAATTCTTCTATTCAAGTCATTTACAATTTAACTCTTTACACACAGCAGGTGTCTATTAAATAGAAAAATGTGTGATGGCTGTGTTCTTGCTAGGGATAAAACAAGAAAAAAAAAAAAAAAGAAATGATCAACTTCCCCACACACACCGGCAGCATGTTTGGGAAGTTTTAAAGGCAAAGAAAGCATACTTGTGCCTCTGGTTATTAAATGACAGAAACCTGCCCAGGGCAGTGCAGTGAGTTTAGGATTAGAAGCAAAGAAAAGGAAGCCGAACGGGCAGGCTGCCACATCAAAGCTGTAGGAGAAAACCCACGCATCAGGCCGGGTGAAATGTGGCTCAAAAGGAGGCCGTCTTTGAAGCCATCTGAATACTATGCTAACGCCTTTCTTAGCTTTCTTTTGGAAAATCTGGAACATTAGATACTTAACTAGCTCACCCAGTGGCTCTCATTTCCCCATATTCATGTAAATCTGCACAGCCCTGAACTGTATCACCTTCTATCTCTTCTACAATGTTACGCCTGTCAATTCCTCTGACAGGATAACAAACAGTAAAATCAGGTCATTGGTGGTTCCGTCAGAGTGTTTTCCAAGCATTTCATATGTTCTAAGGTTTTCTTCTTTTAATTTACATCAAGTGAAGGAATTATAAAAGGTTATTGTGTTCTTGCTTTTGGAATATTAATCCTTTGGTGCAAGAAAGGATTTCCCTCTGATTTATTCCATTTTCTCTGACCTTTCACATGTCATGCAAACAGGAGCCTATACTCTGTTCTTTAATTTCTTGAAAAGGATTTGATTCTTTCACAGGCAGCATTTTATATCATTTCAACTAGGCAAATGTCAAAGAAAATAATTACTTGGAGTATTATTCAATATTTGTCTTTTCACTTTGAATTTCAAAGAATAAGAGCAAAGAATTTACTAATATTCGGTTACTTTTGCTCCAGAGATGGGATCTACATCTGATAAAAGCCTTTAAATACAGCATTACTTTGGGGAGCCATCTACACTTATAAAACAAAGCATATAATTTCCAATCCCTCCTTTTTTTTTCTATTTCACAGAACATAAGCATAACCTTGGTGTGTTGTTTACAAAAAAGAAAAAGAGTCAAGCTCCACTTGTTTTCAAAGGCCTATATTTGTTTCAATAGAAAACTGATGATAAGGTATTGAAAAGGCACTCTAAACTCAAAAACACGAATGCAAGTGAATCCCACCCAATTCTTCCTTGAAACTTATGTCTGATTTTAAAGTTATGTTTCTTCGATTGTAAGAAACACATGCTCAGTTGTAAAAAACTCGGAAAATAGAAATGAACAAAAATCACATAGTCCTAATTCCTGTCCTCCATCTGTGAAACAGCCACCCCTGATATTTCCTTCCAACGTGTTTTGAACACATATAACATACACATATACATAAAATTTTCATAAGGCTGACATAGTTTTTTTCTAACCTGCTTTTAAATTAAATCCATCATAAACATTTTCCAATTAATTACTCTTTGAGAACTTGATGTGGTAGCCACATAATAGTCTATTTCATAGATGTACCTTTCTTTATTTAAACAATACACTAATGTTAGTCAACACCAAAAAAAAAAAAAAAGGACAATCTGATTTTACAATGGGCAGAAGACATGAACAGACACTTTTCCAAAGCAGACATCCAGATAGCCAACAGACTATGAAAAGATGCTCAACCTGGCTCATCATCAGGGAAATACAAATCAAAACCACAATGAGATATCACTTTACACCTGTCAGAATGGCTAAAAATAAAAAGACAAGAAGTAACAAGGGTTGCTGAGGATGTGGAGAAAAAGGAACCCTTGTGTCATGTTGGTGGGAATGTAAACTGGTACAGTCACTATAGAAAACAGTGTGGAGGTTCTTGAAAAGACTGAATATAGAGACACTGTATGATCCAAAAAGTCTTCTACTGGGTATTCACCCAAAGAAAGCAAAAACGTTAACTCAAAAAGACATATGCACCCCGCCCCCTATGTTTACTGCAGCATTATTTATAATAGCCAAGATATGAAAGCAACTTAAATGTTCACCCATAGATAAAAAGAGAAGGAAGATGTGGAATGGAATATTATTCAGCCATATAAAGGATGAGATTGTGCCATTTGAGACATGGATGGACCTAGAGGTATAATGCTAAGTGAAATAAGGCAGACTGAGTAAGACAAATACCAAATGATTTCACTCATATGTGGACTCTAAAATAACAAGGAAGTATAAATAAACAAACAAACACAAAGCAGGATCAGACCTATAAACACAGAACAAACTGATGGTAGCCAGAGGAGAGAAGGGTGAGGGTACGCAAAATGAATGAAGAGGAGTGGGAGACGGTCTTCCAGTTATGAAGTGAAGAAGTCACAGAAATAAAAGGCACAGCATAAAGGATATAGTCAATGATATTGTAATAGTGTTGTATGGCGACAGATGTTAGCTATCTTAGGGGTGAGCACGGTGTAACATAAACTTGTGCAATCATTACATTGTACACCAGAAACTAATGTATCATTGTGTGTTGGCTACACTCAAATTTTAAAAGTTTAAAAAAAACAATATGCCAGTATTAGATCTTAATTTTGCTTCCATACTTTTACCATTTTAAATGCTGCTTTAATAAATATATTCCTTATGTATGTATTAAATTATTTTCTCAAATATATTACTGGAAGTAAATTATCAAACTGTTCTTCAGCAAAGTTGCACCAATTTTCACTACCACCAGCAGTTCATAAGAATGCTTGTTTCACATCATTAATAACTTCAATCATTAAGAAAAACCTGTTGAGTTGCTAGTTGATTTTAATTTTATATTTTTAAATATTTTAATACTTTATATTAATTTATAGTTCACTGAGTTACTCATGAGGGTAAGAGGTAGATTTTGAATGGCTTATTGGTCATTGGAAAAGTTTCCATATATGGATCTTATAACTTTTTTTGAATGTGTTATTTATTTGTTTTCAAGAGGTGAAGAGAGAGAGAGTGAAAGAGAGAAATAGTGTGTACATGCAAGCAGGGGACAGCAGAGAGAGAGAGACAAAGAGATAATCCCAAGCAGGCTCCATGCTGTCAATGCAGAGCTCCATGCGGGGCTCAGTCTCACAAACTGTAAGGTCATGACCTGAGCCGAAATCAAGAGTCAGTCACTCAACCGATTGAGCCACCCAGGCACCCCTATAACTCTTTTTGCTTTTTCTTTGTTACCGGAATGTTCGTCTTTACTTGTTGATTTCAATAAAACTTTTATTTTTCAGGAATATTATTTTTTAAGCTATCACAGAGGTGGCATATGCTGAGTTTTAAAGGATTAAACAAGGGGGGCCTGGGTGGCTTAGTCGGTTAAGCGTCCGACTTTCGCTTAGGTCGTGATCTCGCGGTTCGTGGGTTCGAGCCCCGCGTTGGGCTCTGTGCTGACTGCCAGCTCAGAGGCTGGAGCGTATTTCGGAGTCTGTGTCTCCCTCTCTGACCCTCCCCTGCTCACGCTCTCTCTCTCTCCTAGAAATAAATAAAAATATTAAAAAAAAATAAAGGATTAAACAATACGGAAACTAGTGAGTGTTCAGTAGAGACTGGCTAAGTCTCATAGTACCATTTCTCTTCCTCCCTAGCATGTGCCTAAACCAGATTTCCCATCATCCCTTGCAGTTAGGTGTGGCCATATGCCAGTTCTAGCCCATGAGATGGGAGTAGAAGAAAAAGACAACATTCAGACCTGGCCCCGGTAACCTTCCAATGTACCATATTCTCTTCTCTTTCCCTAGCCACCAGCTGATTGCAGAGGGCTGCACATGGCAGAAGGAACCTGACCTCTAAACTTTCATTTGAAAGTCCTCATCCTCCTAATCAGGATACCCATTTAAACTTTATATAGGCAAACAATAAACGTTCTGTGTGCTAAGTGGCTGAGAACTCATCACATGGCATCTTTCTTTACCCTAACTACTATTTTTTTTAATAGTTTATTGTCAGGTTGGTTTCCATATAACACCCAGTGCATATCCCAAGAAGTGCCCTCCTCCATGCCCATCACCTCCCTTCCCCTCCCCCCCACCCCCAACTGCCCTCAGTTTGTTCTCGGCATTCAGGAGTCTCTCATGGTCACCCTAACTACTATTAAGAGCTCTTTAAAAACACATAGTCTAGGGGCACCTGGGTGGCTCTTTCAAAACACATAGTCTAGTTAAGCGTCCAACTCTTGATTTTGGTTCAGGTTATGATCTCACAGTTTGTGGGATCAAGCTCCCTCTGTCAGTGCCGAGCCCACTTGGGATTCTCTCTCTCCCTCTCCCTCTCTGCCCCTTCCCTGCTCATGCACACACTCCCTCTCTCAAAATAAATAAACATTTTTTTTAATTTAAAAAGCATGGTCTAGTAATTCTATTCCCCAAAATCCATTTTAAAACAATAGTCTCAAATATGGACAAAGATTTAAACACAAAGATGTTTCTCATACACTAGTTACAATTGCAGAATATTGAAAATAAAAATACACACAATTAATGTTTCTTAACATTATCTGTAATAGGTAATGTTTATTTAGCATTTGCTATATGTCTGGTATTATGCTAATATGCTTTGCATACACTATCTCACTCAGTCCTCAAACTAGACATTGGGCCCTTTCATATCTCATTCCATGGATAATACAAATCAAGAATCATAGGTTAAATAATTTTCCTGATCACACAGCTAGCAAATGGCAGACCTCAAACTCTGGTGTGAGTCTAACCCCCGTACACTTAACCACTATTTAATGGTACATTCACATGAGGTAATAACTCTGCAGCCATCAAACTTTGGGGAAAATGCTTATAACAGATGAAGCCAAAGCCACATTTATATACTATGGTTTGAACTATGTTTAAAAAAAATGCATAGAAAAAGTAAAAAAAAAACAAAAACAAAAACAAAACATTAATATGTTGGCCATAAAATTATCTCTGGGTTGAATTACTATTTTTCCTTGGTCATAAAATTTCTCCACACCAAAAAATTTAAATAAACAGTATTTTAAAAATATAATGCTTAGCATTATGGGTAAAATTGGTATACTATGTAAATAAATAAAAGCCTTTTAGAAAACAATATGAAAATACATACCATCAAGATAATCCTACTCTCTAAGGACTTTATGCCAAGGATATAGCTCAAAATAAACATGATGATGGCCTTTGTAGGAATATATATAGACCAGAAATGAAACTGGAAAGTAAATAAACTTCTAACAATATGGAAATAAGCAAATTAGCACACTGAATAGATCAAAAAATGAAAAAACTTTCCAAAGCAATGGTTCTCATTGTAAGGCAGAGGGATTCTAGCTGATTCTTTTTTTTTTTAATTTTCTCTACTAAAAATTTAATTTTTTTCAGTGAACAATTAATATCTATAAAGTTTCTGAGTTTCATTGTAGTCAACTTGCTATCAATGTTATTGTGGTTTCTCATCCTTAGCCCTTCAGTGAGAATCTTAAACTATTTTGCCAAATAGTTCACTAGTTGATAACAAGGGAATTTTTAAATTTCCGAGGAAATATTGTAAAGAAAAACAAAGTATCACAATGCTTATTTTTTTCTGGCAGTAGTTAAATCAAATTGGTTAACAGGAGCCAGTATAAGAAAATTGATTCTGGAAAAATTGAACTAAATCAAATCTATTTTGTATGTCTTGTAATTTCTCTCCTCTCCTCAACTGGCTGCTTCAATTTTACTCATGTTTCCTGGAATTAAAAGTTTCCAGGGCCTGGGATTAATTTAAATTTTCACTACCTCTCTTTTTAAAAAAATGCTAACATGTTTTCAATTTTACAGTATTTGTTCTATCAAAAATGAACCAGGGCACAGGCCAAAAATACCTCTTTAACCAAATGGGGAAATGAGAAGAAATGCAAAATGTAGACGATTAATTCGGTCAGGACTTACTCCAGGTACGGAGGCAATCATCTGCTTGCTCAGGATTGTGGACTCAGCTAGTTTGGTTCCAGCATCTGCACAAATAAACTAATAAGAAATTGAAAGCATAATTACTTTTAAGAGCACTTGGACAGTAATAAGTTATTTATAGTTTTATTAACTTGGCCTAAATTCATTAGTGTTTACTCCCGTGACAATCTTCCCTGGATATATGGGGCTTGCTAATCATGACAGTTTGTTCCTATCAGAAATTAAGAATCATAGGACTGAGATTAACACACAGACTCTTACTTTACTCAGACAGCTAAGTGGCACTGAAATGGCGCGTTCAATCAAGGGAGAAAGGAAAGACATCGACACTGTCAGATTTATTCTGAAGTTATTATATTTACTCTCTAGCGCTTCTTGAGAGATCCTGACTTCTCATAGATCTTCCAGACTTCTATCATTATACACTTAAAATGCAAACAGAAAAATAACCAACCTCATTGTGAGTAATCTACCTGTTTCTTCTCTCACTTCACCCATGCCTATCTTCTGTGCTGCTGGTGACGCCCCACTCCTGCCCTTGACCCTCAGGACTCTTCACACACTTCCACTGTAAAAGTCATGACCTTAGACTACAGTGACCTATGAGTTTATTTCATAACCTGCTACAAGCTGTGCAAGGCCACAGACGCCATCCATGCATCTGACCTGCCTGACAAGCTTCCTGCCTGACGTCACGGAGGTGCTCAGCAAAACTTTGTGAAATGAATCCATTAATCAATAGTGACAAGATCAGGATGAGGACAGATTGGCCGGGTTCCAATCTCATTCGCTTCATTACAGATTTTTATAGGTGTTTCCCACCTCGTGCAACACCCAACTATTTATTAATGGTTTCAAGAAAAAAGTTAAACATGAAGTCTGCAAACTTGCTATGAGCTAGTAGGTCCTGGTTAATTTCTCTTCCCTGGCCTCTGGCCAGTGGCCCCAACGACTTCGGGGTCCCAAGCTGCTGCTGTGCATGGGTCAGCGGCTCTGAAAGAAGCTTTCACACTGACAGTTCTTCCTTCTAACTCCACTCTCAGTCTAGAAGAGCACAGAAAAGTTAGGAAGATCAAGATGATGAGTTCAGCAAGGCAGGTTAGCTCCCTGGCAAACTGGGGAGAAATAAGACGGGTCAGGGTCCTACAGAAAAGCTCAAGGGAGCCTGATGAAGAACAGAAGCCAGAATGTAATCAGGCTAATCAGGGGTCAGAATCAGAGCATTATTAATAGGTAGCAGGTTTGTGCTAACAATGCAGAGATTTAGGCCAAAGCCCTTCTGAGGGCAAGCATCCCTGAGGCTTCTCATTCAAGGCCTCGTTCAAGAGCTGGTCGTCAAGTGTGGTCCTCCAGGAGAGGTGTTTCAACACATAACTGAGCTGGGGGCCAGAGGACAACAGGCAGAGCTGTCCCTGAAAGTCACATTGCAAGAGCAGATTCATACCGCCGCTCCACATTCACATACAGTTATTTCCGTTTGCCTCAAATACAGTTCCAGGAGGCTGAGGAGTCTATTTGGCCATTAACTCTGAATCTAGCAAAGGAAGTGCCACCAGGTAATATCCAGGGAATACCTGCAATTTTCCCTTATTTTATTCAGAAATCCTTATGTCTTATGTCAGCTCTCCAACCAGGACTTATTCCCAATCTAAGAAAAAGCAAATACATCAAGATTTTTTTTAAAAAAAAAGAAAAGCCTAGAACTTTGGCCAGAACTTGTCAGTAAAAAGAAGTAAAATATTTGATAGAAGTACATGCTCAAAAGAAGAAAACTGTCCAAACCTCCTGGCAGATATTGCATGTTTTCCCATAAAATGTATTTTCAAAAGCTATCAGAGTCTGCAATCTAAGACAAACTACTTATAACTAAGTTTCAAAACCTCTGTCAGGATACCAACATTTTAATTAATTTCTTTGCAACGGAAATGAGAGCCAAGAGAGGCCAGAGGGAGAGGAAGAACTGCACGCAAGCCTGAGGAGAGGGAAGCCAGGGCGGCAGAGATGCTCTGAGGTGGGTTCAAGCCTGGGCCCCCCGAAAGTGTGCTTGCCTGGCCTGGCTGTGCCCTGGAGAGCAAGAAGAGCTTCGCAGAGAAGAAAACTCCAATGTCTCTGTCTCCCCAGAGCAGAAGCCTTTCTCACTTATACTCAGCCAAGCAGAACGAGCAGCATTATGGAAGGAGGCTGTCAGCCACACGGCACCAAGATATGAGGCCAAATTAAAACGTCTGATTTTTGGTGACTCTTAAAAGTCAGAATTAATCAGAAACTTATCCTCCGTCCCCAAATTTATGGAAGTACGGTGGAGAGTCTGGTATTTTAATGGATATAAAAGTGGATAAGCCTCTAAAACCATCTGCTATTGGGGCGCCTGGGTGGCTCTCAGTTGGTTGAGCATCCGACTTCGGCTCAGGGCATGATCTCATGGTTTGTGGGTTCGAGCCCCGCTTCGGGCTCTGTGCTGACAGCTCAGAATCTGTGTCTTCCTTTCTCTTTGTCCCTCTCCAGTTTATGCTCTGTCTCTCTGTCTCTCTCAAAAATAAATGTGGGGAAAAAAACCCATCTACTATTTCTTTTTTATCAATGCACTTAAATCCAGTGTAATTTGGGGGGCACCTCAATGGCTTAGTTGATCCTTGGGGTTGTGAGTTCTAGCACCATGTGTGGTGTGGGGTTTACTTAACATTTTAAAAAAGTTTTTTTTTAATAAAAATAAAAAGAAATAAATCCAGTGTCATTTTAACATAACATGTACAACTAAAACCTTAATAAACCTTCTCATTACATAGCTGCCAACCATAAGCTGAAAAGCTCCATTATAATTTTGTAGAATTGCTCACAATATAAAGACATAACTAAAACCAGAGAAGGGAAGGATGTCTGTTGCAGAAGGAAGACTTTCATACTTTGAGACAGAAATACGCTACTGAAACACACACTCCCACACGAATACAAAAGAATATGAAAGACGATATCCATTATGTGTCTTACTAAATTCATTATCAAAATGAGACTCAAAATAGTATCTCCACCTCTTATCCAGAGAGTGATCAGATAATTACTAACTCAACTAATGGGAATACCCCACGTCAATAGTATCTGTGACTTAAAAACAACAGGCGTACCTCTGCCAATCCTTTGTCCTCTAGCCCACCACTAACCTATCTTTAAAAGAGAAATCTTTCACCCACACAGTTTCTCACACTTGACTGTGCAGGCATATCCCACACAGTGCGGGTGCCCCATGCAAATCAGCAGAATGTCTACTCTCAACACAAAATAAGAGCCGAGGAAACTCTTTTTGACCTGGGCTCATAGAGCCTTTACAGAGGCTTTAAATGAGTTACCACCCTATTATGAAAATTCTGCTTTAATCTATCTAGAGAACACTTATGATAGCCTATTACACCTAAAATACCTACGGCAGACTGGCAGAAGAGAAGATGTCGTGAGTGAAAGTTAAAATGTTGACAGGTCTGAATTAAAACAAGAGAGAGCATCTGTCCAATGTGCAGAAGAACGATACCATGAGGGCTAACAAGGTAGATTCTGAAGAATACATATATTTTTCTTACTTGGCAAATTCTTTCCTACATCCGAGCCTCTTTTTCTTTAAAAAACAAAACATCTACTTGCACATTTAAGGCCTTCTGACTTTAGATGCAGGTAAAAACAAGTAACAGGAGTCTATGGCTAGATAGCCACAAGAGAGCAGGTAGGAGATTTCCCATGATACCAGGCCTCCAGAAAGAATTTCTAGGAATTAGAAAACAGATAGGTACATATCGTGACCCTGAAACATTTCAAACGTGGGTGGCTGCACAAAACTTGGGCAATGTTTCATTGTTCTTTAAGGGCAGAGTATTTGATAAACAACAAAGGTATCATCTATCTATGAGAAGAATATGAACGGCTCCATGACTGTGAACTTATCTAACTAGCACATCATTAGAGGAGTGCTAATGGAAATACCCTGGCGGTCCCTGTGGGATGGAAGAATGAAGGGTAAACCCAAGATCTGAGCAACTGACTTTCTTGTCACCAAATGGAGCCAGTGTCATTCATGATGGATCACCGGGGGAGTTTTTCCTTCCAATTGTTGCTTTCTTTTCTGTTTCCAAGTTCTATTTTTCAGTTAAACAGAGCCACCCCCACTGCCATCAGATTATGTTTGCTGATAGCTATGGAAGAAGTCACTGTTGGCCCCAGACATATTATCTGTCCATACTGTGAGGCTGGGTCCTCCAGGAATCAGAAACTGATGCGCCATCAGTAAAGAGGAAAGCTCTTCTCTTCCTGCAGACTAGATCCACTGGCCTAAGAGAAGCCACCAGAGAAAGGCTATGACCTCCGCCATCCTCCAGAGAACACCCACAGAAACCAGAGAAAATGGAATTGGGAAACCCTACAGAATGATGCCCTATCCTTGAAGAGAGACAAAAGATGCTTCTCCCTCAGCCCATGAGGGGGCCCCATGGAGGACCTCTCTCCATGGCTTCGCCAGGAACCACGAGGTAGAGAGGGAAAGTACTTTGGTTTTTTAAAGCATGCCTCACTTTTATTTCTCTCAGGAATCAAAATGGTTTATTCTAAGAGTACTGCGTATAGAACTAAGACATAATACTTCAAAATGGCATCATGTTTAATATTTTTTTTGTTGGGATGATTGAAACATTATTCATAAAGTTGTTTCTCACTGGCATGACCTCAAATCATCTCTGAAATACCTCTCCAACCTAAAAAATTTTACAACTTAGCTCTTAAAATGTAATGACTCAATGACAAACACATACTTGTTTTAAAACGATGGAGATGGTGTTTATTTGAAATGGTATATAAGAACCAAAAAAAAAACAAACCCACATTCAGGACAATCGACTTTTTTGGCTTCTTTATTCCTAAAGCTAATTTGTTTTTGTTATTTATTCACCTAGCTGTGATCCAATAATCACTGTTTTCATGGTTTCCTGAAACACTGGGCAATTTAAACTGTCAGTGTTCTTTTGCTGCCCTGTGACAAGTGCTTATTATGGTTGACTAACGTACTTCACAGAGAGCCAGGCCCCAGCAGCAGCCCCCGCACGGCGTGCTAGACCCCAAGAAGTTCAGCCACACAGATCAGCTCTGCTCAAGACAGAGGGCAACCAAGGGAACGTTCTCTGATGGAAGCAGGCAAGCACCTTCCGCTTCTGGAAACCCAGGCTCTTTTGAGGGGGCAGGTCCCCATCCAGAACACTATCAGAAGCAAGTGACTCCCAGACACTGTCAACCTGCTAGCTTAAACCCCTCATGGGCTTTTCCCCCCTAAGCCCAGTTCACTTGCCCTCTTCTCCTAGCCAGTGTTGATCCCATTAATCCTTATGGTCTGTTTGTGTCAAAGTTGTTTGTTCGCAAAAGGAGTGACGCTGCCCAGGGTAAGGAGGAAAGGCTGGCCAGTGGCAATCCACGGGAAGAGACTCAAAGTCTGTCTCTCCTTAGGAACGCCAATAGTTCCTGGCTGTGATTTGTCTTGTCTTCCTCTGGGGTTTTCTGGCACCCTGGTACAATGGGAGCCGTTTCATTCTGACTCCATCATGCCTGCCATTCATTGCTGCCGTTTGCCAGCCATCTCTGCTCTCAAAGAGCTTCAGTGTGCCCTGGAAAGCCAGGCCATGGCTTACTGAAAGTACACCAACTTCTTAGATCTCATGCCTTTGAGAAAAATTCAACTCTGGTTCTAAGGATTAGTAGTATGTGGTCGGGAGGAAGGAGATTAGTAGTGGGTATTAAATAGTAAATGACGGGTACTGCTCCTCCTCTTCTCCCGGGTGAACTCCTGAGCTTCTGTACATACGTTAAGGTCCACATGGTCCCTCTTCTACACACTTCCTTACTCAGTGTACACCTCTGCTGCTGTACCCATCACCCTGTGTTGGAAATGCTTGCTTACATATCAACTTCACCTCCTGGACAGTAAACTCCTGGAAGGAAGGAGCCATGGCTTATTCATTTCCCTGGCCCCTGGGCCAGGTCTGGGCTCCTGATGGCTTACTGAGCCATCCTCCATCTCCCAGGCTGAACTGGCCGCTCCCTCCTCTCCAGTACTCTACATATTGTGCAGACTTTCAGTATAGTGGTTCGCACATTATCAGGATAGGGTTTATGCCTTTTACATCGCTGTATCCCTAGGACCCAGCCCCAGACACATGGCCAGCAAACATCTACTGAAGGGGCACATGGGGCCACGTGATGGAAGACAGCATAGTTCAGATCAGCGTAGGTTATCAGTGCAGGGAGTGATCTGAGAAAAAGCAGAATTTTAGCAGAATTCCTTTAGTTAGCCAGAGGCTGGAAGACCGGATTTGTATGGACAGAGAGGAAGGCACTGCAAACAGCTAGAAGCTCTTAAGGTAAGAGGGGCAAGTGATGCAAGGAGCCTGACTAGGCTGTGAACAGACCCTGCGGTCAGATGTGGACACCACTTCTGCCAGCTGTGTGGTCTTGGGCAAGTCACTGTACCTCCCTGAGCCTCAGTCCCTCACCTGAGGTGCAGAACTAATACCTCACATGGTTGTAAGGATTAAGTGAGGGTAATATGTAAAGCACCCAGCATGGTACCTGGCCCATCACAGGTACTTAGAATGTTTTCTTCTCTCTCATCTCTCCAAATGGCACCTGGGGTACCTAAGATTCAGCGCAAACTTGTCTAGTTCCTCGATATCAAGCTCCCATTTTCCTCCAGTCATTTAACCTCAAGCTTGTAGGCCCAGCCCCTGGGACTGGTCTCAATGCTCATCAGGAAGAAATAAAACAGCTGTGACTCATTTGCTGCACACTTTGCACAAAGGCGGTCTGAATGATACCCTGGTCCTAGCCCTGGCTCACAGCCAAGTCTTTTTAAATCTAGCCTCAGCCCCTGGAGTATGAGGCGGGGTCCCAGGTTACCTGATTTCCTGCTAACCTCTCTAGCATAGCCAGCCTGCTTTTCTCAAACCCATCCTCAGGTCGTTATCCCTCAATTTATTCCACCTTCCTGTTGAAGCCTCCCCCCATTGCTTGAAGCCAATCAGCCTCTCGTGCTGAACTCCAACCTCATAGGAAGACTTTTGCCTGCACCCACCGGTCCTTTGTGGCCTAGCTCAAATGCCACCTCCTTCATGAAGTGTTCCCTGATTTCACCTCACATGAGATGGGATGCCTCCTGCTCTCAACTGCCCCCAGGACTCTGATTATATCTCCTTCTCTCTCTCATGGCACGAGTCATAGCTGGTCTCCTGCAATAAAAAAAACCCTGCATGCTTGTCTAAGATGATGAGCTAGGGGTACTAGGGCTGGAAGGCTCCAGCCCCTCATGAGCAACCCTATGGCCCAAAGCACCAACTCTGTAAGTTCTCCAGAACCTGCCTTGTATGCGTTCAAGCCCCTCTGCCTCAGGGCTCCCCTGGGTGCTGGTGCTTTTCACACCCACCTGCCACCTGCTTGGACTCCAGGCCCCGCCACTGGACAGTATGCGGTCAGGCCTACCCTCACTGCTGCAAGGAGGTTTGGCGACCCACCCACATGCATGGGACTCTGCAAGCAGACCTCAGCCTGGTCCCCCACTTGTGGCCTCAGTAGTCCTCTGTCAGCTCCACTAGCTGTCAATGAGTTGCCCTCCGACCTACCCGGCTGTAAATTTCTTGAGGACAGAAATGACTGTTTCATTATTCTCTCTGCCCCTCACAGAACCAGTTCCACAGCAGGGGACAAAATAAATACTCCCTTTTCGTCTTGTTTAGCCAGTGGAGGTGTTAAGTGTGTAACAGTGGTTTGATCACGGCTCATAGAAAATAGATGACTTCTCAGTCCTGGGTGGAGATATTCGATTTATGCATATGCCCCACACTTTCTTGAATCTTTCCAAACATAGTGGATCTTGTGGAAAGTATTACAAACAACACATACGCCCACCTGGACAAGGAGAAGGAGGTTTGTGTCTGGTAAAGGGGATTTGAGCTTCAGCGCCTGCAGGAGCTCCAGAACAACACTACGAGACAAGTAGAATTTATCCCGCTCCTAAACAGAACAAAAGAGAAGAAGGTAAGCTATTTCTAAACACTCAGAATAGATCCGTCAAAAGAGCGTCCAAAAGATTCACAGATCGGAAACGAAAAACAGTATTTGAATCTGCATAACGAACTGTCCTTAAGAAATAAAATTAAAACTGAAAGGAAAAAAAAATTATCAAGGCATTTTTGTGTGTGTAATGAGTTTACGGAAGCACCCAGAGCGCATCGTTCGACGGATAAGAAGAAGATAGGTCTCGTCCATACCGAAGCCACTGGATTTGGTTCTTGTTTGCAGGAAATGATAGGTTCTAAGAAACGCAGAAATTAAACAAATCTAAAAGCGTTACCTCCCCCCCCCCCCAATGATTTAGAAAGAAACATATACAGCTGTTTTCAGGTCTCACGTCCTCTCTAAGGAATTTACTTTTCAAACGGACTGCTTAGGTGGACGGAAATAGATGGAACATTCCAGGCACTCCCTTCCGTCTTCATCACATCGTAACATTTTGTTTTACGTAAAGTCACAGAAATGAAGCTTCCTATATGGTGCTCTCTTTTCTTTCTCCCTTCCTTGAAGTAGCCACAATTTTGAACCTGGTGCTTACTATTTCATATGTTTTTACTACATATGTATGCCTCCATCACAAGGTATAATATTATTTTCTATGCTTGTTTTTAACTTTCTAGGACATTATCATACCGTGCATCTCTTTCTGTTGATAATTTCTTGCTACAGACATTATAGTTTTGAAGTCAGTTCCTATTGATGGATGTAGCTCTTTTAACTAGGGCTTAACAATATTTTATTACAGGAACATACTGAAATTCATTGATCTGGTTTCCTGTTAATGGAACACAAGATTGTTTTCAATTTTGTAAGTTTTTTACTGTCAACTATAACACATATGCATAAAAGTACATAACACATAAACACGCAGATAAATGGATTCATAGAGACTGAACACCCTGGTTAAACAGCCGCACGTCGCAAGCACCTCAGAGCCCCTTGTGTTTCCTTGCTTCCTTCTTTAATTTTTTAATGTTTTATTTATTTCTGAGAGAGAGAGACAGACAGACAGCGTGAGCAGGGGAGGGCCAGAGAGAGAGGGAGACACAGAATCCGAAGCAGGCTCCAGGCTCCGAGCTGTCAGCACAGAGCCCGACGCAGGGCTCGAACCCACAAACTGCGTGATCATGACCTGAGCCTAAGTCGGACGCTCAACCAACTGAGCCACCCAGATGTCCCTTGTGTGTTCTTTCTTGATCAGAACCAAGTGACTGGAGACCCAATGGGCCTGCATCCATTTTTCCTCTTCCTCATTTTTCCTCATGGCATACTGCCACCTGTATGTCCGATTATCCTTACACGCTGAATGCTTTATTAAAAAACTATTTTTAGAAATCATTTGAGGTCTGGAATGTTATCTTCCTCCAAAGAGCTTCCTCTCTGTTTTTTGCCAGGTCCCCTGGAGGCACTAGCCTGGTCCAGCGTTACCTTATTAAACACACAAACTTTGTAATACCTTATATTGGGCCACCACAGGGCTTGACACTAAGCTTGATCTATGTGAGGACAATTTCATCTCTGGGTTATTTTTATTGTGTGGTCCTGACCGAACGCGGGGTGGGCTGGCAGAGATGCAGGATCGATCATACGGAGGCCCCGCTCTTGGTAGGTCCCGGTTTCTGACTCTTGTTCCCCGAGCCTCCTGGATCTTCCAGAATCACAGCTCAGCCTCTCAGTCACATCTCTGCATTTCTGTGCTCTCCAGGATCTTAGCCTGGTGATTCATCTATATCTGGTTAGCATTTTGATGCTTTTAAGAAGTTTTCAGAAAATATCTTGTTCGTTTTTTTTTTTTTTTTTTTAAGTTTTTGAGTAGGAGAATAGGTTCAAATGATCTAGTCCCTCATCAGGAGAGAAGTCTAAACTTTTTATTGAAATTATACTAAATTTATACATTATTTTATGAGGATTGCTGTCTTTAGTATGCTGGGCCCTCAGCCATGACAACATGGAGATCTGTCTCCAGTTATTTAATGTTGTTTGATAAAACTTCCTGGTTATCTCAATAGTTCTTGCACATTTTTGTTAGGTTTATTCTTTGTTGCCACAGTAAATGACATTTTAAAAGTACATTTTATAATCATTTGTAGCTGAATATTAAAGGTAGATGATTTCTGGGTGTTCATTTGTAATCAGCATCCTTGCTGAACTCTTACAAAAGTTTTAAAAAAGTAGATTTTCCTCGGTTCATTTGCAATCATATCATCTATGGAAAGTGAGAATTTTATTTTTCCTTCCCAATCCTTATACCTTTGATTTCTTCTTACTGTCTTACCAAATCAAGAAGGACCTCCTGGACCATAATGCGTAGGAACAGTGATAATGGGCATTCTTGTCTTATTTATAATTTTAAAGGGACTCCTGTTGGCATTTCACCATTAAGTAGTTTCTGGTAGAAGTTTCTGGTAGGCACAAGCTGAGGAAGTTCCCTTCTATTCCTAGTTTGACAGGAGTTATCACGAAAGGATGTTGAATTATATTGAATGTTTCTTTTGTATCTGCTCAGATAATGATATAAATTTTTCACCTTTCATCTGGTAACATGGTGACATAAATCGATGTTCTAATATATAAACTATTCTTATATTTCAAGAAAATCCTCACTGGGCCATGAGGCTTTATTTTTAACACATTAATTTGCTATTATTCATTCAGAATTTTTATACCTTTGAAGTAGAATTGGCCCATAATTTTCCTTTCTCCCACTGCCGCTGTCCGGTCGGTATCAAGAGTCTACTGGCCTCTGGGCGCCTGGGTGGCTTAGTCGGTTAAGCGTCCGACTTTCACTTAGGTCATGATCTCGCGGTTCGTGGGTTCGAGCCCCGCGTCGGGCTCTGTGCTGACTGCCAGCTCAGAGCCTGGAGCCTGTTTCAGTTTGTGTCTCCCTCTTTCTCTCTGACCCTCCCCTGCTCACGCTGTCTCTCTCTCTAAAAAAAAAAAAAAAAAAAAAAAAAAAAGAGTCTACTGGCCTCATAAAAGATGTTGGAAGTATTCCCTCCCTGTTTTTTGATTCTCTGCATAAAGTGGAGCTCAGTCTGTTCCTTCCGTGTTTAATAGAAGTTGTCTTTAAAACTGGGACGTTTTATAATTACTGATTCCATTTTTTAATCATTTAGGTCTAGCCATTTTTTCCTTAGTTGTAGTGTGTTACATTCTTCTAAAAAATTGTCCCCTTGTCCAAGATTTCAAATTTACTCGCACAGAGTGGTTCATTTCAAAATCTCTGACGTGTCTACAGTTGGGTTCCCTTTTTCACTGCTGATAGTCGTTACCTGTGCCTTTCCTCTGCTTCTCTTGATCAGTCTCACCAAAGTTTGGTCTATTTTATTAGTTTAGCCCCAAAGCCCCCTTCTGGTTTTACCGATCCTCCATTGTCGCTATGTCTTCTATTTCATTAAGTCCTGATCTTATCTTTACTATTTCCTTCCTTTAAATCTTCTTATGGTTGCTCTGTTATACCTATTAACTTGACTCTTTTAGTTCACTTTGTTTCTCTTCTTTTCCAAGAGAAGTATTTAAGACTATAAATTTTCTTCTAAATATCTCTGTAGCTCCATATCTCAAACTTTAGAATGTAGTATGTTCATATTTGTGTAGTTCTAAATATTTCTGTAAATTCTCTTATCTCCTCTGATCTATGAAGTATTTAAAAGTATATTTCAAATTTCCAAATATAGCAGGTCCCAGATACCACTAATCCATTCAGTACCTCTGCATGAATCCAAAAAAGGACACACACACAACACACACACACACACACACACACACACACACACACACACAACATATTAACACATGAGAGCAAACCTGAAAAACTGTGTGTGTTTCCAGAGCTCTGTGGCCAGTAGCCCTGGCTGCATGTGTACATATGTCCTCCCACGCACACACACAACACACCCTCAGTGCCACACAGGTACACATTCGACACAAACCCCACTCCTGCAAAGTGACGGGGTCAGGGTGAGAATCCGGCAGGGAGCCAGCACTTAGAAATCTGAGAATAGGGGCCGTCAAGAGAAGAATCCCAAAGGCCCCCGGGTGGTAGCTGGGCCGGGGCAGAGCCACCAACACATGTGTGCCAGGAACGTGTGCATATATGCTGTTCTCCATGTATGCAAGGCCCTCTGAGCTGATGTGGCTTTATGTAAGGGATGCCTATCCCAGCTGCTCTAGGCCTTAACCAGAAGGCTCCAAATCTCTACACCTGCCTCAATACTCACATAAAATGCAGTAGGCCTTAAATGTGAGTGGTGCCCCCTTAGATGTGCAGCCTTTTTTTAGGTCAGTCTTGAATGGCTGTATGCAGTTACGATTTTGTTATTGGTTTATAATTTAATTGCATTGTGATCCAAGAATTTGGTCTCTCTGAAACCAATTTCCCAGTGTGTGTTAAGACTTTTTTTGTGGCCTATTACTTGTTCTATGTTTACAAATGTTATATATATATTTTTTTTCTTAAATATATTCTCAAATTGGTGGATTCAAGATTATGTCCATCGGATTCAATTTACTCATTACATTATTCAAATCTAGTATATCTTATTCATGTTTTATCTGCTTGGTCTATCAATTCCTGAAAGAGATGTGTCAAAACCTCCCATTATGAGTATGAATTCGGCCATTTCTTTATGTAATTCTATTCATTTTTGGCTTATATGTATTAACCCTATATTATAAGCTGCATAAGTTTTTGAACTGTCACATTTTCCTAGTGAATTAGTTCCTTTTATCAATATGTGGTGACCTTCTTTATAACAGTACTTTAAAAAACATTTTTTTAATGTTTATTTATTTTTGAGACAGAGACAGACAGAGTGTGAGCGAGGAGGGGCAGAAAGAGAGAGGGAGACACAGACTCCAAAGTAGGCCCCAGGCTCTGAGCTGTCAGCACAGAGCCCAACATGGGGCTCAAACTTACAAACTATGAGATCTTGACCTGGGCTCAAATTGTATGCTTAATTGATTGAGCCACCCAGGTGCCCCTATAACACTACTTTTCAACTTAAATTCCATTAACTGGATTTAGTTTTCTTTTCATTAGTAGATTTTTTAACTCTTGGTATATTTTTTAACTCTTTTCTTTCAAAATTTCTCAGTGTCTTTAGATGTATCTCTTGGTGTATTTTTAAACTCTTTTTCTTTCAAAATTCCTCAGATGTATCTCTTATACATAACATGCAGCTGGACTTTAAAACTCAAACCTGAAAATTCCTTATATTTATTGTGATCATTGGAATACTGGCACTCATTTCTATCATCTTCTGCTTATTACAGCTTATTCTATGACTCTTTCTTTGAGAAATTTTGACTGACTTTTTATTCCTATTATTTTTTCTATCTGTTTGAACCTTATACATTGCATTTCTGGCCTTTGGAATTTTCACACTTAAAACATTTACATGTATTCTTAAAAATTTAAGGTTACTCATTACTGGGGCACCTGGGTGGCTCAGTTAAGAGCCAACTCTTGGTTTCTGTTTAGGTCATGATCTCATGGTTGTAAGCCTGCTTGGGAGTCTCTCTCTCCCTCTTCCTCTGTCTTTCCCCCACTCACATGCGTGTGTGTGCATGCTTTCTAAATAAATAAATAAATAAATAAATAAATAAATAAATAAATAGTTACTCATTATTTCTGCCCTTCTCGTGAACAATATGTAGAATGCTTTCCCTCTAATTCCCAACTACACATACTCTTCCCATATTGTAGTTATTCAGTATTTTAGTGTCATCTTGTGTGTATATTCATCTGATTAGTCATTATTACTGCTTTATACTGTCAATAATCACTTAGAGTTCTATACTTGACCAGCTTCTTGGAGCATCATTCCTTCATACATTTCATTCCTTCCTTCTTGGTTCAATTTCATTCTTATTGTAATATATCTTTTAGTACTTGTTTCAGTTTAGAAACTATTAGGATCTTATTTTCCTAACAGTTTACTTATTTAGCTATCACTCTTAAATGAGAGCTTAGCTGGTAGAGAATTCCAAGTAAGCAGTTATTTTTTCTTATAATTTTAAAGACTTTTTTTCTATTATCTTCTAGCTTCCATGGGATTATTAGAAAGTTTGTCATCAGTCTATTTGTAGAAAGCCTTTTCTCTTGGTTGCTCTTAAAACATTTTATCTGATGCTTCCTGAATCAGAGCATTAATGGTTTTCATCAATTTTACAATTTATAAAAAGACTATTTTTCCTCTCTGAAACACTTATTAAGGATATGTTAGATCTTCTTTTTATCTTCTTCATCTCCATCTCTTTGCTGCATGCTATGTAATTTCTTACGCTCCATTTCCAATTTCACCAATTCCCTCTTTGGCTATGTCTACTTTGCTGTTTAACCTGTCCATTAAGGTTTTTTTTAAATGTCTATTTCATTCCTAGAATTTCTTCTTTGTTCTTATCTTGTTTCTTTCTTTTTTTCTTTCTTTCTTTCTTTCTTCCTTCCTTCCTTCCTTCCTTCCTTCCTTCCTTCCTTCCTTCCTTCCGTGACTAGAGCTCTTCTCATGTTTTTACTTCATCCTTTATATGCTTGTCATTTAGGGTATTTTTTTTTTTAGGGTATGTTTTTATAGCTTTATCACATAGTCCTAACATTGGAAATTCTTACGGGGAATAATCTTGATATTTTTTGACTCTGCTAATCTAGTTAATGTGGATTACCTTTATATGTTTCATAATTTTAGCTTGTAAGCTCATGTTCATCAGGATTTTAATTCTGAGAATCCTGTTGAGCCTAGGCTGAAGGCATATCCTTCCACAGAGGTCTGAAGATTGATTTTGCACTTGAGCCAAATACTCCAATGCTATTACCTGCTCCACACCAATGTTACTTGACTTTTCATTCTGGAGGCTCACAGAGCATGGAGGTATAAATTCACACTCCAAAACATGTTCAAAGATTGGTTCATGTTTACTAATGCTCAAAGGAAATTATAAATCTTTCTCAGTTCCTAGGCTCAGACCCCATTCTTTGTCACTTTTATATAGGAATATATTCTTTCCCAGTCACCCCTTTACTAAATGTATAGCCTTTCAAGGGTTCTGACCTTGAAGATTCAGCACCAACACCAAGTCAGAAATAGTCCCAAGACCTTCTCTATGTGGACTTTAAAACTTAAGCCATGAGTGGAAACTGGTGCAACCACTCTGGAAAGCAGAATGGAGCTTCCTCAAAAAATTAAAAATAGAAATACCATATAATCCAGTAATTCTACTACTGGATATTTACCCAAAGAAAACAAAAACTCTAATTGAAAGAGATATATACACCCTTATGTTTACTGCAGCATTATCTACACTAGCCAAGATTTGGAAGCAACTCAAGTATTCACTGATAAATGAGTTTATAAAGAAGATGTAGTGTGTGTGTGTGTGTGTGTGTGTGTGTGTGTGTGTGTTTATATATATGTGTATAGATATATATGTATATATGTAATGGAGTATTACTCAGCCAGGAATAAAAGAATGAATGAAATCTTGCCATTTGCAACAATACAGATAGACCCAGAGGGTATTATTCTAAGTGAAATAAGTCAGACAGAGAAAGACAAGTGTCACATGATTTCACTTATATGTGGAATCTAAAAAACAAAACAAACAAACAAAAACCAGATTCTTAAATACAGAGAACAAAATGGTGGTTGCCAGAGGGAAGGAGGAGGGAGGATGGATGAAGCAGATAAAGGTTCATAAATGTCATCTGTATGATGACAGATAGTGACCACACTAATTGCAGTGAGCATTAAGTAATGTATAGAGTTAGTGAATCAATATGGTACACCTGAAACTAATATAACACTGTACTTAATTATACTTGAGTTAAAAGCAAATAAGTAAAATAAAGTGAGATATATGCAAATCTAAGAAACATAATTTGAGCTACTAAGCTCCCAAGACAAGTGACTCTCCCACCCGAGACTGCTACAATGTCAGTTTACATGCTTACCACTCTGGTTCTCAATCTCCTCTCCAACTTTGCCCCATCAGTCTTCTAAAATTACCTATACATTTAAAATCACATTCACTACATTTTATCCAGCACTTCGATTATTTTAAGTGGGACAGTTTTCAGGTATTTAGGCTGCCAGTTTGCCAGAAGGAGAAGTCTACAAAGCCCTTACCTTTCCGTGCCTTTTCATTAAACAAGGGAGAATGCTCTATCTGAAACCATTTCTAATAGTTTCTCATTATCTACGAAGAAGGTGGGAACACCCTAAGAGTGAAGCTTTCTACAAGTAGTAGTTATTTTGAGTATGACCACTGGAGATGCGCAGATGACAACAGGAAGTACCACAGGAAGTGGAAGGCCACTAAGAATAATGGCGCAGGAGAGCATATAACATATAAGGAATGTTCAAAACTAAGAAAACCTTGACTTTAAAACAGTGGAAGTTCCCTGTGGTCAATCTCTGTAGTGCACAACATAGAAAGTACAAGTTCATTATGGTTCTTCCTCTAAAAAAAAGTGCGTAATTTAAACAAACCAAACATAAAGAAAATTAAGAAATAAAATAACTCTCTTTTCATTGTCTCTGTGTATCTTTTCATTGCATTCAGTACTGTGTCATACAGATCTATTATTTTAAGTGGCAAAAAAAGCCTAAGAAGTTACTTTACAGGAAGGATTTGAGAGAAGAAAAAAAAATGCTGATTATTTGGGTAGTTAGAAAACTCCAGAGTACTAAGTTTATAACCAGAAAGACTAAAGAGAAGATTATTATAGAACACTTAACATGGCAGAATGGACACAAGATGGTAAGAAAAAAAAGACAACAGTGTTTTAAACAGAATGAAAGACTTGATATAAAATTAGATTTTTAATGAGGAAAATAAAAGGCAGTGGACCACGTGAAAAATGGAATATTCAAGATGTTCAAGAGAGAACAACAGTAACAGAGATCCCACTGAAAAGAAACTTAGAAAACTTAGAAACTGGAGAGTTAACACTGCACACTGTTCTTCAGGATAGCGAGGCTCCCGGTTGGCCCTGCTTTCCCTTTAGGACAGCGTCTGCCAGCTCTAAGACTCTACAGGCCCTGGGCAAGCAGTACTTTTCCACTTCCTCAGCAATGGGCCAGGGGAGACGAGAGATAATGCAATACATAAACCATTATGAAGGCAAGATGACAAAAGATGAGATTACAATCTCAGAGGCCAAGAACCCAGAAGTGGGGAGACAGACAAGTGATGAGAATTAAGGAGCTCTCCTTGGGATTTTACAAATGCAAAGCTGATATTTTTCTACTTTGGGTATAAAAATGACACGTAGTGATGGCTTGCCCACTAATCATGGGATGGTGAACTTGAAAAGACCTTAAGACATCATTTAGAACAACTGTCTCGTTTTACTCAAAATATCTCTTCTCTTCTAAGCCATAGGAGCCTCATTTCTCCAAGTTTGTATATTTAAGATACAGTTTATATAGATTTGTGTAAAGTGTTTCCTTCCCAGGATATTTATTTGACCTCAGTAGAATTACTCCTTTTTAACTATATTGAAGCGATGAACAGAACAGGCATTGACACCGGTTAGAAAGAATGTTTCTGCCAGTTTTCAGTTTCCCCAGAACAAACAGAGACACAACCTTACCTTCGTGAAAGCTCGGTAACACAAACCACACACCTCCACCAGGTAGGCCAACGTGAAGACGGCATTCTGAATTACAAAGCTGAGCAGCTTTGAAAATGGTTCCAACAGACTCTGCAATGAGATTGGGAACAAATAAAATCAATTGCTGATTCTTTCATTTAAAAAAAAAGGTATTAAAGTCTTCTGATACTTTAACTAATGGGATCATTCCTTTATTTAAAATCTGTTGCCAGGTGGCTGGCAGAGCAACGCTATTGGTCTACAGAACTGAATATTCAACCAGTGCCTTTAAAGAGTGTGATTTAATCATCTTGTTCCTCAAAAAAATCCAATTTTCCTAGGTGGCATCATTTATGAACCTATTCAGCTCCTCTCTTGTCCTTATGTCCACCCCCAGCAATCAAAACTTTGTGAGGTTTGTGGTAGGATTTTCCATTCTATTTCTCACAATCTGTAGGCATCTCTGGGCTCATCCAGCCAGCTCCTTTAAAATCTGTCATCTCAGTTTTAAGTTGCACAAACCACCCAGCAAATAAGTACAAAGCACCATTCGCTCCGATAAAGCTCATCATGACCCAGCTTCCTGCCTGTGTGCATCAGGAAGGCACAGTTTTGGTTTCTCCATCTGAATCCCACCCCTAACAGGTCAGTTTTAGATCCATATGCTCTCTGAAGTCATTTAGAAACATTTGGGGGGGGGGGCACCTACTAAGTATCAGGCAGAGTTGGATGTTTTTATAATAGTTTATCCCATTCAAATTTCGTACGACAATCCTAGAGAGATCGTTGGGGACACTAGCTGTAGAATCTCACACAACTGTTTTAAAACTCTAGCTCTCTGCCACCTAGAATAAGTGATTTAATCTCTCTGGACTTCGTTCTCTCCTCTGTTAAAATAAGGGTAATAATGGCTTCTACCTCATTAGCGTTACTGTGAGAAATCAGGAGATAACCCAGGGAAAGCACTTGGCCACAGTGAGTCCTCCATTGCTGTTAGCAAAGATCTGCATTAGAACTCTGGAGCTGGCGTCCCTATTTTCCTCTGAGGCATAAGCAAGCAAACAGCTTGCCTAAGGCCATACAGCTATTGAATGGAATTCAAATCCAAATTCCAGTGCAAAAACCCAAGGCAGAACCACTCTTTAGGGAGACAGAATTTTAGTTGGACTCCAGAAGACTTCACGTGATTTCCACTTCTCCTCAATCTCCATAGTCCTAATTGCCTGGATTATAAAAGTAAACACACTCAATGCGCAAACGCAGGCTCCGTAGGAATGTACATACGAGGAAACAGAAGTCCAAAATCCCACCGCCTCGTGATAACAGTTTTTACATACTTTCCTTTCTTGCTGAATTCCAATTTACTTGGCTGAAATCTTACACATATACAATCCTACATATTGTTAATAATATATAACATAGGAAATTTGCAATGCTATTTAATTCTTCATAATCATTCATTTTAATGGCCACAAAAGTCACATTTTATTATAAATAACATCCCAATATACAGGTTTTGTGGGAAGTTTACATTTCCATTTTCTTCTTTAGAAGAGATTCCCAGAAAAGGAATGATTAAATCAAAGGATATGAGACTGTTTGCGATCCTTTTTCCTTATTGATACAAAAATGAATTTGTTACATGTTAGTTGCTGCTAAGGATAAGAATTATGTCTTTTGTTTGTATTCCCCACAGAAACCCATATAGAAAAGCTTAAAGGAACCTCTTGAAAAGTACTGTTGATTCAAAATTTTTTGCTCTGTATAAATGTTGTTGCCTTGAAATACTGATGATAGATGAATAGGGACAGGAATGTATCTCTGGATGATATATAATGCATCTTTATTCACCAAAAAAGGAAACCTGAATCCAAACCTATATAGAAACTTGTTCTTTTATCCAGTAAAGCAGCATAGTGATGGGGCACTATGGTACAACAGAAAAATTAGGGAGCTTGGAATTAAAAGGTCTAGATTTAAGTCTCAAATTTTCCATTAACCAGCTATGTAACCTTGACCAAGACAATTTATCTCTCTGAGCCTGTTTCCTTATCTATAAATGAGCAGATTAGACCAAATGATCTCTGTAACTTTTCTGCACAGACTATTAGCCTATGAAAACACAGTCAAGGTATGAACTTCCAGGGGGGTATGGCTTCTTGGTATATTAACTAGTCGTTACAAGCCATTGCAATACCAACGGCTGCACCATTGTGGATAATACACCCCAGAGACATAGCCAGGAATACAAAGGTGAATGAGACATAGTGCTGGACTTCACGAAGCTCACAGTCTCACTGGGGAGACTTTCGTACCATATAAGTGCTAATATAGAAAGCTCTATAGAGTATTGTGGGATCTGATACAGGAGGAAGTTGCTACGGAGAGTTTGTATCCATTTTTTAAAATTTAAATAGAGTTCAGAGTCTCATCTTGAAGAATGAGAAGGAGTTCAACTCACCAGCAAAAGTATAAAGCATTTCAGGCAGAGGAAATGGCCTAAGCAAAGGCAAGGAAGTATGAAATTAAATAAGATTATAAATGTAAAGCAGTTAGCATAATGCCTGCCATATGGTAAGTGTTCAAGAAACAGTGCTTGTTGTTTTGATGATAATGATGATGATTCTGAAAGTAAACAGGGGGTATGGGGGATGGGACATGTAGCCCAAGCTGAAATTAGAAAGGTAGGCTGGCAAATTAATGAAATACCTTCTTGTATGCCACATCTGGATATTATCCTACAAGAAATGAGACATGATCAAAGATTTTTAAGCACGGAACCAAGTCATTAAGATCCGTGTTTAGAAGGATCACCTAGATCATAGTTTGAAGGGCAGATTGGTGGCCATGGCCCAGGATTAGAGGACTAATTATAAAAACAATACTGTGATGTATTAGAACTATTCATACTAGACACTATCAAGGTGTTTGAAAGTGAAACATTCAGTATGCAATAACCATTTCTCCAGTATTACTATATGCCTGTCCTTTTAGGTTAAAAAAATAACTAAATAACCAATGGGTTGTTTTTTTGAAACATACAATACATACCCTTGTGGCATTGGTAGAGGGTATCTTCAAGAGGCAAATCATAATTCTCAAACTGGAATCTAAAGAACACTGTGAACAAATGTGAAAACAATAAAAGTCAGTACCCTTCTTAATGTATCTTTTACTTCATGTATTTTTTATAAGCATTTATTTTAGGGGGAAAATCTCTAATATAGCTGCCTCCTTACAGTTTTCTATACCATATATTCATGTTGAAAAAAATCATTCTCAGGTTTAAAAAATCATAATTGAACCATTAATTAGGCAATGTTAAACAACTAAATAATTAAACACAGCTCCTAAACTACTTCTCAAAGATATATTCTTAAAATGAAATCAGATAGAGAGTTGGATAAAGAATTGGATGGATGGATGTATGGATGGATGGATGGATATATGAATGAATGGATGGATGGGTGGATGGATGGACAGACTGACAGAGAGACGGGTAGGTAGATATTAAATGTGTCCAACTCTAAAGAGGTATACTAATTTGTGAAATTTTCCCATGCTGGGAAAAAAAAAAAAAACTACTCAGATCTATTTAAAACCATTAAGCTTATTATTCCAAATAAGAACCAGTTTCATCTGCCCTTTCTCTGCTGCTAAAAGCCATGACCAAAACCTGGGGAAAAGCAGCAAAATTTCTACAAGAATAAAATCATGACTCGCAAATCTTGATTTGAAATCAAATCTTGGCAAGATTCCATGATCAAAATATACTTTAAAAATTGAGTTTACTGGTATGGGGAGGACGGGGAGAAATGTTACAACAAAAATAAACAATCTTATTTAACACTGTAAGCATAATCACAATAGTAGGCTAGAGTTGAATCTCTGCTGCTGTGGCTAATACTAATCTTTTAAGATAGTACATACTAAGCCAGTGGTTCTCCAAGTATAACCTCTGGACCAGCAGGACTTCTAATTACCTGGACACTTGTCAGAATGCAAATCATCAGGCTGTACCCCCAGTGAATCTGAAACCCTTAGATTAAGGCCCAGGAATCTGATTTCAGCAAGTCCTGCAGAACACCGGTGCACCCTGAAGTCTGAGATCCACTTCTCTACACTGATGAGAACTACAGAAAGCTTTTCAACGGCTTAGGATTTCCCCCAGATATTAAAAACAAAGCAGAAGATGATCAGAGGCAGTGCCTGGATCTGATCTACCAGGGCAAGATTTTGCTTTAGTTCTGGAAGTGTTTTATAGGTGCTTTCTAAGGGAACTATTGGTTTATTTAATCTGCTTAATACCCATCGGAGTTCATGTGACATTTACATTACTTTAAACCAGAGGCTGAAAACTGGCTGTTCATCAGCTCCCCATGGTGTTTTAAAAACTAGGAAATATCATTTTCAAAAACATGGGAAGACCAATTATACAAAGCCTGTATTCCCACACGACAACTGGCGGGTGTATCATAGTATCTGGACTCGTTAGAAGGGACTGGTGCTTTCCTGTTCTCAAGGTCCCTATTGGGCAGGCTGATTGTCACAAATTACGCTTACCAGTTGTTTACAACTGGCAATACTTTCAATTGGTCAGTCATCAAGTTAAATATTTTGATGACTGTATCAACCTGCAGGCGTTTGAATTTGCCTTGCCTGACTCACCCTTTCTCTTCAAGTGTGTGGCTTTAAGCAATGAACAGCCCTGAATGGCTCTTGCCCTAGGGAGGTTCTATGTGGCCATGTTAAAAAGCATCACTTAATCTACATGTGCAGGTACAGTATCTACTTACACACATGGTTTCAAAGCATAGTACTAACCCTCTTTGCTTGGATTTATTCAGCTACTCTAGACTTGTGAGCAGAGATGATCATAGGATGTGAGAGATGGTAAAGATTTCAGTATTTCCGCTTGTCACAGTAACTTCAAGCTCAAAGAAAACAGCACACACCACATGGTTCCTGAATTATTCTTACAGACCCTGTTTTGGGGTCATATATTCCAAATCTGCCAGTTTGGAAAAAGGCATTATCTGAGGTGGTCTGTCTTTTTTTCTTTTAAGTTTATTTATTTATTTATGTGTGTGTGTGTCTGCAAGAGAGAGAGAGAGAGAGAGAGAGAGAGAGGCAGAGAGAGAGGGAAAGAGAATCCCAGGCAGGCTCTGCACTGTCAGTGTGGAGCCCATGATCTAAGCAGAAATCAAGAGTCGAATGCTTAATCAACTGAGCCACCCAGGTGCCCAGGGGTTGGGGGTGGGGGGGGAGGGGGCGGGGTGGTTCATTTTTATAAAACATTTTATATACATGTAATACTACTCATTTGAGAAACGGTGCTGACAACATGTAACCTCACTTGTCAAATCAACAAGTGATCTATTTTATTGTGAGTTGAAGATTTCTGTGATCTGTCTAAAGCACAAAAAGCTCACGGAGCAAATGAGGCTCAAAGACATAGAAATGGCCACTATCAGCCACCTCCTTTCTCCCTACTACAAAGACTGGATGCTTTCAATTTGCTGCTGCTGCAAAGGACTCTAGGAGTCTGGACTGGAGTCAAGAGTCAAGAGTCTTGAGTTCTACTCCTTACATGGCCACCACCTCTCTGAATTTGCAGTCTCCCATCTGGAAAATGGGGGGCATTGGAAAGTGATGGCTTTTATAGGTCTCTTCCAACTTTAACAGTACAGAGTTCTGCTTCTGTATTTAATGGACTTATGTTGAAAATGTTCCTTAGGTTACCAGATTCTAGAGCTAGGAAAGTGTGTGTGAATTCTTGGAAACTGGTATGGAGGCCACAGGGAGGGGGGGGCAATGGTGGTGGTGGTGGTAAAGCAGCCAAACAGATACATAATATCATCTTGGCCTTGCAAGAAAGTAATTAATTCACAATCACTTCCCTTTAGACAGTTCTCTGAAATTTGGCTTTATATTGTATGTCTACTCTCCTTTTACACAAAACTATGTATTTACTGACTTAAGCATTTATTGAAAAAAGTTTCTAGACAATCACAATTTACTAGAGTCTTCCTGGTTTTTAAAAACCCACTGGAAACAGGAAATCGCTATGTCAAAATGCCTAATAAATGTTGCTTTAAGTTTGTAACATTTGGAGACAAAAAGCTAACCAAGGCTCTGCACTCTGGCTAACAGAGGTTCCTTACAGCCCTTTACGAAACATCAGATCTCTGGAAGCAAATGGTCTCCAAACAGTAAGATCACAATTTGCAAATGAAATCCTGGGGTCAGCTTACCTTCAGAGGCAAAACACAAGGCAGCTTGGCAAAAAACGTCTGAAACTGGTTGCTGATTGTGGTCCAGAGGCTGCTAGGAGAATCCATGGGCAAAGCTTCCATGAAGGTAGCAATGTTTTCCAAACAGCGTATCATAGCACCCCCTGCTGGTAAATTCTTTTTGTTATTTAGACCCTAAAAACACAAAAGCATAGGCAATCAACTGCTGAAACAGTTTGGGGATTCAGAGAGTAATTTGTCGAAGATCAGCTTTAAAAAATCACATATTCATGGATTAAACATGTGTTGTGTGCCTACTATATAGACTATTTATTGTAATCGGCAGGAGGAGTAAGAGAAGAATCAACAAATTCGGACAAACTCTGGAAACACCGTGACCTTTAATTCAGTGGGAGATGGTGAAATGGGAGTAAGAAGTGAGACACAGGTTTTAAGGATGTGCAATTGGTGCAATTAGGTGCTAAGAAGACACAATGAATGATGCTTGCTGGAAACTCCACTGGCCAAAGCCTGAGAGTAACGACTACGGATGCAGCAAAGTCTCTAGGGCCATCGGCCAACCCTGCAAGCTACCTGAGAGAGCTAAAGAGCAGAGGAGCCGACACATGAACCCAAGCATCCCCATACAACGAATCAGCAATGGAGCTGACAACTGATGCCAAGTCTCACCACCGAGCACACAAGCGGACCTGGATCCGAAACCTTGCGGTAAATAAGTGGAATCCAAGTCTCGCAATACAGCACACATGGCTCCATCCACCGCACGTTTCGAAAGCCTAAATGTTCAGTGCAGGCCAGTGCTTAACGGCTGCCCTTCACCCCTTAGTTGAGGGTGTCCAGGAGCTTCAAATGAACAGTCAATGCACACACAACAGCAGTGTCCAACTGGCACTCTTCCATGTGTTGGCAATTCTTTTTAATTAATTTGAAACATTTAAGTAACTTAAGATTAATTGGACATGTGCTAATATTTAGCTTAAATGTAATTTTTCCATTAAATGACTGGACTTCTTCCTCGGCCGCGATTTCGGCAGGGGCTTAGGGCGTCATCAAAGCGAACCTACCTCCAGGAGCTGACTGAGAGCAGCGAGAGAGCTCAGCTCATTGAAGTCCATGAGAGACGTGGCTAAGGTCCGTAAGAAAGTCCCATCTGGAAAGTCAACAGTCAGATTTAGTAGCGTTGGGGTTTCAGCGAGTTGCCACGTTTGTGGTGTTTGGATTCCCTGTGGAGGAATTACCTTTGATCGTGCTCTGGAAGAGCTGCGGGAAGATGCCGTTGGGGGCCAGCTGATGGAAGATGCAGCGTAGGAACTGCTTGGCCACCCCCGCTGCATTGCCAGGAACCATCATGCTGGGCGAGAAAGGGGAGAGAAAAGGACTCATGGGGCAACCAGCGTGAGCTTACGTATTTCTAGATTTTTTTTTTTTAATGTTTATTTTTGAGAGAGAGAGAGAAAGAGAGAGAGCGCTAGAGAGAATGACTGGGGGAGGGGCAGAGAAAGCAGGAGACAGAAGATCCAGGAGTGGGCTTTGTGCTGGCTGCAGAAGGCCGGAATCCGGGCAGAAACTCAGGAACAGTGAGATGATCATGACCTGACCTGAAGTCTGATGCTCAACCCACTGAGCCACCCAGAAGCCCCTCTGTACTTGCTTATTTAGAGTTCAGGCGTTTACCCTTCAGTCCTCTCATGGAATATCCTACTGTCTTTTTCATCACTGAGATAAAATACTGCAGTTGCACAGATTTAACAATAAGTTTCTGGAAAGAGAAAACCAGGAAATGTGAGAGTGGTCCCAGACCAATTCCAGCCACCCCAGAGTATGTATGAGGGCCAGAGAGAAAAGGTGACCTGTAAAGTCTACACATCCAGAAAATGGCAGAGTCAGGAGGAAAACCAAGATGAGATTGTCAGCAAGATCCTCCCACAAAGGGTCATTAGCTAAAGAGAGCTGAACTGAAGAAAAATGCAGGGAGGGAGATGTTCATACCTATTGGGAGATAGGACAACTTCTCTTGGGGTGCCTTGAGCTGGTACTTATACAAAGGAGAGGGCTTTGATGTGTGCAGTCGATCCTCACCCTCTGCATCACTTATGCCTATCAAAACAGGGAGCCAAGCGATGATATATGGCCCCTGAGACAGAAGTATCGGGAAGGATGTTCCCAGAGGTGATTAGACAGTGAGTTTACCAGAGGAAGAAAGAAAAAATCAAAGAGCCCAAATAGATAAATGGTAAAAAGTCCCTTTTACCTAAACTGTTATTATGCTACCCTGACATGCTGATTCAAACTCACAGGTCAAAAACATTCTTCATACAGAAATGACACCAAACTCACACAAACTTTCTTTTTCTAAAAAATTTTCTTAATGTTTTATTTATTTTTTGAGAGAGAGAGTGTGTGTGAGAAGGGGAAGGTCAGAGAAAGAGGGAGTCACAGAATCCGAAGACAGGCTCCAGGCTCTGAGCTGTCAGCACAGAGACCGATGTGGGGCTCAAACCCACGAACATGAGATCATGACCTGAGCCGAAGTCAGACACCCAATCAACTGAGCCACCCAGGTGCCCCTCACACAAACTCTTTCAAAAATTAGGGAAGGAGGGCACCCTTCCCACTTTATTTTATGAGGCTGGCATAGCCCTAAAACCAACACCAGATAAAGCCATTACAAAAACAAACTAAACTAAACCAACAGTCTTCATGGACATTAAATCCAACTATAAACAGGATGATGGTCCATGACCAAATAGAGTTTATCCCAGGAATGTAAGAAGGAATTAATATTCAAAATCCAATCAATGGAATTCAATATATTAAAGAATAAAGGGTGGGGCGCCTGGGTGGCTCAGTAGGTTACATGTCTGACTCTTGATTTCGGCTCAGGTCATGATCCCAGGGTCATGAGATGGAGTCCTGTGTCAGGCTGGGTACTAAGCGTGGAGCCTATGCAGGATTCTCTCTCTCCCCCGCTTCCTTTGCCCCTCCCCCACTTGCACATATGCACTCTCTATAAATAAACAAACAAATGAGTTACCATCTCACAATGGTCAGAGTGGCTAAAATTAACAACTCAGGAAATAACAGATGTTTGTGAGGCTGTGGAGAAAGGGGAACCCTACTGCACTATTGGTGGGAATGCAAACTGGTGCAGTCACTCTGGAAAACAGTTCAAAAAATTAAAACTAGAACTACCCTACGACCCAGCAATTGCACTTTTAGGAATTTATCCAAAGGATACAAAACTGCTGATTCGAAGGGTCACCTGCACCCCAGTGTTTATAGCAGTGCTATCAACAAGAGCCAAATTATGGAAAGAGCCCAAATGTCCATCAACTGATGAATGGAGTAAGGGAACACTCATGCACTTGCGCATACACAGGCACGCGTGTACGCGCGCGCGTGCACACACACACACACACCCCTATACACAGGACTACTACTCAGCAATGAAAAAGAATGAAATCTTGCCATTTGCAACAATATGGATGGAACTGGAGGGTATTATGCTAAGTGAAATAAGCCTGTCAGAGAAAGACAGATATCATATGAGTTCACTCATGTGGAATCTGAGAAACTTAACAGATGATTATAGGGAAAGGGAAGAAAAAATAAGATGAAAACAGAGAAGGAGGCAAACCAAAAGACACTTTTAAATATAGAGAACAAACTGAGGGTTTATAAGGTTTGGGGGGGTTAAATGGGTGATAGGCATTAAGGAGGGCCCTTGTGATGAGCACTGGGTATTATATGTAAGTGATGAATCACTGGGTTCTACTACTGAAGCCAAGACTACACTGTATGTTAACTAACTTGAGAATGAATGAATGAATGAATGAATGAATGAATAAAATGAGATATAATTGAAAAAATAAATAAAAATAAAAAATAAAGGGCAAAACCATACAGTTATTTCAGTAGATACAGAAAATGCATCTGGCAAAGTTAACATCCATTTATATTAAAAACTGTCAGCAAAATAGAAATGAAAAACAAAAACATGATTAGTCTGGCAAAGGGCAGCTATGAAAACCTACAGTAAGCATAATTAATGGTGAGATACCAAAGGTTTTTCTGGTAGAGCAGGAACAAGGAAGTTCACTAACATCTTTATTATCATACTGGAGATCCTAGTCATTACAAGAGGAGAATAAGAAAATAAAAGGCATGAAAATCAGAGAGAAGCGAAATTGTCACTATTTACAGATATGATGTTTTTTTTAACATCCAAATGCTTTCAGATTCTAAGAAACCTTTAAAAGCAATGACTGCAACTAGTAAGTGAACCCAGCTTATTACATTACAATGTTTTTTTTTTTTAATTTATTTCTAGGAGAGAGAGAGAGAGAGAGAGACAGCGTGAGCAGGGGAGGGTCAGAGAGAGCGGGAGTCACAGACTGAAACAGGCTCCAGGCTTTGAGCTGGCAGTCAGCACACAGCCTGACGCGGGGCTCGAACCCACGAACCGCGAGATCATGACCTAAGCGAAAGTCGGACACTTAACCGACTAAGCCACCCAGGTGCCCCTACATTACAATGTTAATACAAAAATTCAATTGCACATTTATAGACCAGCAGCAAAAAGTTGCAAAATGAAATTTTTAAAAATTCCACTTACACGGGCATTAAAACACTCAAAATTCTTGGGAATAAATTTAACAATAGATGTGCAAGACCTCTACTCTGAAAACCACCAAATGCGGCTGAGAGAAACAAAAAAGACTGAATAAAATAAGAATATATACTATATTCATGAATTGAAAGACTCAGTACTTTTATGCAGTCAGTTATCCCCAAATTGATTCATAGTTTTAGTATAATTCCCACAGGCTTTTCTCGCCCAAATTGAGAAGCTTATTTAAAAATGTATATGGAAATTTGATAAATCTATAATATCCAAATCAATGTTCTTGAAAAAAAATGAGCCAAGTTGGAAGATTCATAACTATTGGACTTCAAGACCTATTGTATAGCTACAATAATCAAGACAGTTCGATGCTAGCTTAAGAATCAATAAACATATAGATCAACATAGCAGGATAGAGAGTCTGGAAGTAAATTGACCCTAATATGGCTGTTTGATTTTAATCAACACCAAAGTGATCCAGTGGGGAAAGGGAAAGTCATTTTTTTAATGGTGCTGAAATAACTAGGTTTCTACATGGATAAAAAAAACTTCAACCCCTACCATCACACCATACATAAAAATGAATTTGAGATTGATCATATAAATGCTACATATAAATGCTTACACCATAAAACTTTTAAAGGAAAATACTAGAGAAGATCTTCTTGATTTGAGGATAGGCAAAGACAATAGGAAGAAATAGTCCTAACTTGTTGAAAAAAATTTAAGACATTAGTCTTCACCTAAATTAAAAACATCTCATCAAAAATATATATTAATAAAAGAAACAGGTAAGCCCCAGACTAGGTGAAAATATTCTCAGGACATACTTAATAAAGGACTGGTATTTAGGATATATAAAATGGTCCTACAACTCAACCCAGTTAAACATGTGCAAAAGATTCAAACAAACACTGCACAAAAGAAGATTTACAGAGGGTCTTGAAGAGCACTTGAAAATATACTCAACAGCAGTAGTCACCAGGGAAATGCAAATTTAATCTATAAGATACCTACCAGGATGGTTAAGATTAAAAAGACCAACACCACCAAATTTTGGTAAGGATGTCAAATAACCAGAAGTCTCGTACATTATTGGTGGGAATACAAAATGGCATAACCACTTTAAAGAGACAATCTGATAGTGTCTTACAAAATCAAACATACATCTCTCCAGGAACCCCACAGTTCCATTCCTAGGTATTTATCTAAGAGAAAAAAAAATTTGTTTCCAAACAGACTTGTATAAGAATGGTCATGACAGCTTTATTTATAATAGCCCCAAATTGGAAACAATGCAAATATCTATCAATGGGAGAATATATAAATAAAGTATGGGATAGTACTCAGCTCTAGAAAGAAAGAAAGAAAGAAAGAAAGAAAGAAAGAAAGAAAGAAAGAAAGAAAGAAAGAGAAAGAAAGAAAGAAAGAGAAAAAAGAAAGAAAGAATCATTGATACAGGCAACGACATGGATGAATCTCAAAAATGTTATCTAAGTAAAAAAGTTCAGACACAAAAGCAGCACAAACCATATGATTCCATTCATATAAAGCTCTATGGTGGGGGGGGAAAAAAAGTCAGGCTACTATTTGCCTATGTGGGTGGGGATTGTGAAGATGCATGAGGCAACTTTCTGGGGGTGATGGTAATGTTCTATATCTTGACAGGGATTTAGGTTATGCAGGAGTGTGCCATTGTCAGAAATCAGTGAGTGTACACATAAGATATGCATACTCTCTAGTAGGTAAATTTTGCATCAAAGGAAAAAAAAATCTTAAAATCAAACTTTAGTCCATGCAAACTTTGCTGAAGGATATATGGGGGAAGTATGCTAATATCTGAAATTGACTTTGAAATGCATCCAAAAATAAAATGGATTGATGATGGGTGGGTAGAAGGAGAGATAGATGGTTGGATGTGAGATAAAGTGAGTGAAATGTTCTTTGTTGAATCTAGGTAATAGGTATATATGAGCACTCACTCTAAAGTTCTTCCAACTTTGCAGTATATTCAAATTTTTATAATAAAATATTAGGGGGAAAAAGTTAAAAAGTATATACAAATGAGCATTAAAAAGAGGAGCAAATATCCGTAAAACCAAGAGTCACAGAAGTGCAGTGACAACAGCATCGTCTATGTTTGTAGGAGTTGCTATGGTTCTGCTAACACATATACTCTGTCACTGGGACCTCACAGCACGTACCCCTGTGACCCAACAAGGCCATGTACTGGTATCTCTCTTTTATAGATGAGAAAACGAAAGCACAGAGATAAATGTGCCCAAAGTCACAGACAGTGCCCACTCCTGCTCTCCTCTGGTTCCTTCTCCCCCCTGCAGCTAAAGGTACCTTTCACACACACACACATCCCCTGCTGCATTAAAATCCTTCTGCACCTTCCCACTGCCGCTAGAAGAAAGCCCAAAATATTTAATATGGTTTATAACCCCAAATACGCTGGCAAGCCAGTCTCAGCAAGAGCTCACATCTCTGCGCTCTAGCCATACTGGACTTTTCGTGACTCTTCCTACACAACCTGTTCTCTACCACCTTGAGACCTGTGCACATGCTTTTTCCATAGCGATCTGCACGGTCGAATGCAACTTTCTTTCAGATCTTAGTTTAAACATCACTCCTTAAGGGAAACCTGTCTCTCTTCCCTTCTCCCCATTACCCAGACTACCTCAGATCCGCCTCATATTCAGCCACCTGTCTGTCACTCATCTCAGTAAATGGCATAGCCATCCAGCCAGGTGTTCAGACCAGAACCTGGGAGTCATTCTTGCCTCCTTGTTTTTCTCACACCCAACATCCAGTCTATCAGTGAATTCTGCTGGCTCAACTTGAAAAGCATTTCCTGAATATATCCTTACTGGGACCTCTTCTCACTACCTTAAACCAAGTCTTTCTTTCTTTCTTTCTTTCTTTTTTAAATGTTTTATTTCTTTCTAGGAGAGAGAGAGAGAGACAGCGTGGGCAGGGGAGGGTCAGAGAGAGAGGGAGTCACAGACTCTGAAACAGNAACTGTAAAAAGTCACCTAGTTCTTTTTTTTTTTTTTAAATATCTTTATTTATTTCTAGGAGGGGGGGGGGGCAGTGTGAGCAGGGGAGGGTCAGAGAGAGAGGGAGTCACAGACTCTGAAACAGTCTCCAGGCTCTGAGCTGGCAGCCAGCACAGAGCCCGACGCGGGGCTCGAACCCACGAACCGCGAGATCATGACCTAAGCGAAAGTCCGACGCTTAACCGACTAAGCCACCCAGGCGCCCCAAACCAAGTCTTTCTTATCGTGCACCTGAGCCACTGAAATGGTCTCCACACTGATTGCCTGTTTCCACCCGTGACCTGCTGTCCTGCATGACCTATTTTCTACACGGTAGCTGGAGTGGTCTTTTCAAAACACAGGTTAAGTTATGTCGCCCCCTACTCTCTGTTTTCTTCAGTTTAAGTCCCAACTCCTTACAACAACCTCTAGGCCCTACCTGGCCGGTCTCACCGTCACCTCGTCCGTCTCCTCTCCTACCCCTTCTGCCCACGCACTCTGCGTAGCCTGCCTTAGTCTTGTTCCCCAAATTATCTGGGCGCTTTCATGACTTATACTTTTGCATTTGCTGTTTCCTCTGTCTAGAACATTCTTTGTACAAATTGCCACCTGGACCACTCTCCCCTTTTTCAAGTTTTGCTTAAATACCACGTCCTTAAAGAGGCTGTCCTTGACCATTACTACATCCAAAATACCACCTCTGGTTGTTCTTGATCTCCTGGACTTCACGGATTATTTTTCATAGCATTTAGCACTGAATGATATAAAATGACATTATCAGTTTTCTTGTTTGTTACTTTGCTTACTGTCTGTCTCCTCAACTAGAATAGAAGTTCCAGGAGAACCCGGCTTTGCTGTTTAGTTCACTAGTATCCTCAGTTCCTACTGTCACTCCCTAAGTACTTGTTGAATAACTGAATGTTATATGGTCTCCCTATACTTTTTGTTCACAGCACTAAGCACTGTTTACATGTATACATTTGTGCGAATGTTTTCTTCTTGTTCACCTCCCAGGCAGACTGTAGGCCCCACAAGGGCAGGGATCATGTCACTTTTCCCCCGAGTTGAGATCTAAGTATGTAGCACAGTGCCTGCTACGGAGTGGGCCTAAACTAAGTACTGGTGGCTAAAACGAGTGCATGCATGAAAATATAAATAAAGACAAAATAAAATTAAATGAGTGAATGCATGCGTGAGTGAGTGAGTGAGTGAGTGAGTGAGTGAATGAATGAAGGCATGCACAGAAAATGAATGAATGTTCTCTGGAGCTGCGGCTGAACCTAACAATATTCCCTCCATGGTATACCCTCTGGTGGTTTAGAAACAGGATGAACATGCACAGGGGACAGAAAGAAAGTGAGATTTGGGCTCGCTGTGGCACCTTACCTTTCCGCTTGATTGGAAAAAGTAGTGCTGGATGCCAATCTAGGAAAAGCACACAGAGTTACGTGAATATCTTAAGTTTTCATGACGAAATGCGTGAGAACTGCAGTAGGACACGTTGTGGCCCCAGTTCAGATGAGGAAACAAGAAAAACTGGGCAGTTCCCCTGCTTCTGGTTGGAGGGCCACACAGTGGCCAGTCTCCAGGGTTCGACTTAGCCCAGTTCCTGAGGCCTACACTCTGCATCAAATCAGATGTTTCCACAGACATGCACAGAGTTAAGTTGGTTTAATATATCACCTGGCCAATCTACAAACTGGTCTTTGCAGCGAGGTTAGACAGATAATCAGAACTGCATTTGACCCAGTGTGTCTCTTCCCATATTAACTCAAAATTCATTTCTTTGTGTTCCTCCTCTGAAATGTAACCACAAACTAATCACAAACTCTAAAAGCCTCTCTAAGACAGTAAAATAGGTAACAGGGGTTTCTGTCAACTAATCTGTCATTAATCAACTAAATGACATATTGAGAAGAGACATGTATTAAGTAATCAATATATAACACGTAATTTTTTGTAATTACGTAGTTCATACACAAGGAAATATTCTATGTGCATAGTGAATGTCTATGTGCAAAGAGAATGTCTAAGCCCACTAAGCTGGTGGGTTTAGAAAAACATGTCTTCATCAGGAAGACACTGAAAAAACAAATAAGGAGAATGCTAAAGAGTTGATTTACTTAAGACCACAAGAGTGCGCCCAGCCAGGAATGCATTTGGAGAGGAATGGAGGGTCCAGCAACCACTAACACAAGATACCATTCCCAGTTGCTTTGGTTAATGACACTTCAACGAATCAATAAGCGCTGGCAAATGAAATAAACAGTCATTAAGGGCGCAGCAAATGCAATCTTGATGGCTATATCTAGAAAAAGGGGTGGGTAAATTTTAAGAGGGATCTAAGTGGAGAGGCAACTGCAAAATCACAGAAAGGCTTGGGTGATAAATGCTGAGCTTACATACTCTTAGAACACCCTGGAAATAGTTCCTGTGGGACTAACATAAATAAACTAAGTGTTCATAAATCCACATTACCTCATCTGGAATTAAGGCATGCAAGGAAGCCCTAAATCAGGTGACGACTGAATCCATTTCCTGGTAGGTTTGGAGATCAGGCTAAGGGCTGTGGCAGCTGCTTTAAATGCTCCCCCACCCCCAACCCCCATCTCTTGCTAATCTACCCAAAGGAGGTAGAGATTTAAATATATGTATATGTAAGCAGGTAAAACTATATCTGCTACTGTTTTTCCTTCACTTACCTTCAAAGCTGACATCTTTACATCCCAGCAGCTGGCAATGCTTGAACATGGTTTATTCTTGCTTATGTTAAACAAAAATGAAATAAAACCCCTCTATATATCAATTACGACTTAGACCAGCTAATTCAAGGAGATGATAACACATCAGACCAATAACGCTATCTGACCTAAACCTGAAAAGTATTGATGGTAAGAACTGTGACCTTGCATTAATAAAAACTCTCAATTCCACAGCTGGTAGATTTATTCCACAATTGCCATGATTAGGTTAAAATCAAGGATGTAAATGAGATAATTCATCTTTTCTTATCTATTTAACCCCCACTGTTCATCACTGCGCACTGGCTATTTCTAGGTATCAGAAGCAGAATAGTTACACCATCTCCTGAGGATATACGCTCCTATGGACACTACAGAAAAAGTGGGGGAAGGAGTGTTAAGGGTTGAAGAGGTTTTAATGCTTTCCGGTTTGTCTTTCATTTGAAATCAGCATTTCTTCTTAAAAAGAAAAAAAGACCAACTTTTAGCTCCATTACAATTCATGCTCGTTTCTTCCCTCGAATACCAGGAATTTGCAGAATCCTGGTTTTTCCCTGCCTCCTCCATAGAGACCTTCCCTAAGAAATTGTTTCCATCCTTAACTCCTCTAGCACTTACTAGTGCACCACTTGTTACAGTTTAATCACATCCTATCTTGTATGACTCTTCAGTTATTCTGTACCTCACTGAGCTCATCGACAACTAAGCCACAAAGGGCTTCAGGGCAAGAGCTAGGTCTGATGCCTGCAGCCTGATGCACCTGGCTCTGTGCTAGCACCCTGCCCGCCACCAAGAAACTTAATATATTCATGCAGAATATAATCCGGTCCTCTCCGATAAGCTGTGCATGCTAGGACTACAATTTGTCACTGAATGTGAACTCCACTTATACCCATGAAGTGCGTCACTTTTCTTCAAACATCCTACCTACTACATGGAATTTTCTTTCTTTTTTTTTTTTTTTAAATATTTTTATTTATTTCTAGGAGAGAGAGAGACAGCATGAGCAGGGGAGGGTCAGAGAGAGAGGGAGACACAGACTCTGAAATAGGCTCCAGGCTCTGAGCTGGCAGTCAGCACAGAGCCCGACGCGGGGCTCGAACCCACGAACCGTGAGATCATGACCTAAGCGAAAGTCGGACGCTTAACCGACTAAGCCACCCAGGCACCCCCTACATGGAATTTTCTTAATGTGAAAATTCTCAAAGTAGCTAAGTTTAATCTCCCCTCACTTGGGCTTTCAGTCCCAAATATGTGCATCCTTCCCTTTTCTGAGTCAGAAGGGTGAAATCACACTCCCATCTTCCCCTCATATGACAATGCCCCAAGACTGCAAAGTGCCTTGAGAAGCCATCTTATAATAGGTAAAGAGAGATAATATCTAAATCTTATAAATAATATCTAAATGATGTCTAATAAGAATATCTAAAACTTCTAAACTGTTTAACCATGAACCATGCACAGTACTGAGTACTGTTCTGCACATCAGCCCATGTAGTAATTGAGGGCAACAAATACTACACTCTTCTTAGTGCAGTTTCCTCTAGCTTTATTCTGACCCTGTGACATTGTGACTCATGACCTGACACAGCTAGGAAATTCAATCGAAACTTTGGTCCATTCTATTTTTAAAATTAGTCTGCATTGAGGCCACAAATATTGAACACCTATAAGGTTATTGAATGTTTTACTTTTGAATTGATAGTTTTTGTTTCAAGCTGTAGACTGAATAAGTCTCTTTTGTCCCCCCCAAAAACAGAAGACATATTCACCTTCCCACAGACTGCATTATATCCAGCAAGAGAGGGGCTGCCAAGTCTGGGCTTAAGTGAATGAATGTGGAAAGGACCACAATGGCCAGCCCAAGGGTTTCCTCATCATATTCTTCAAGAATGGCCCCACAGTCATGGCATCTGCAAAGAAAACAGAGGAATGCTGTCCACAAAAGCCAACAATGTTTTCAAGACATAACAAAGTATATATAGCCATTTCTGGCAAGTCTTGGAAAAGTTCCCACAAGTCGCCAAAAGTCTACTATTTACTGCAATCCCACTTTCATAATAAATAGTAGACTCCAATGCCACCCTCACCATACATACAGAAATAGCACAAAAATCAGGAAGGTGCTTTAAATCACTGAAAAGATTCGACTCTTCAAGCATCTGGCCCATATGTCCATGAATGTTCCCTTCCACAGTGAGAGGCAATCAGAATAACAGTTTGGAGCTTCTGGTTGGGGAATCTTGTGCATGTAAAATTATTGCTGGGGATAGTCAGTAACTAGATTTTTTTTTTCATTTGTTGAACTGAGAAATGCCTAGACACAAATGGAGGCTTTCCTAAGCTCTCTGACTGAAAAATGTTCTATTTGTGGGGAAGCTAAGAGAACACTCTAGAAAGCCTGGGGAGTCTGGATCATAGTCTCTTCTCTACCACTCACTTAGATCAATCTTATGAGCTTACCACGTCTACTCAACGTGGTATGTGAAAACACAATGGCCCCTGCTCCTAAATGACTTCCAACATGCTCTTTGTGGTATCTAATATAGGTTGATTTTAATTCATCTCAACCAAAGCCACAGCCCTTCTACTCAGCCACAACTAGTCAGCTTTACAAAGTGAAAGGGAAGCCTCCTGGGAAGAGCAAGTGAACTGAGCACACTTGCACAAACTTATTTAGGAACTTCCTAAATACAAACTGTTACATGAACAAATGGGCCTTTTCAAAAATCTAGGATTCCCACTTGTAACTGAAGAAGAAGAGAAATGGAGTGCACACAAAGGCTGGGACATGGAGGAGTACATAAAACGGGGACATTATACCAAAGGAGGAGACAAGAAGAGTCCTCCTCCCGCAGCAAGGTGCTCCCCACATGGATACTCCAAGGCAGCTCTTCACAGTGGGCACCTTCACTTCTTCAGTAATGGCCGCTGGCTGCAGCCAGCTGCATGGGTCCCCACACCAGCCCCTTACACCACACACTCTCTTGCCTTTATCCCAACCTACCCAATATATCACCAGGAAGCCTCCATGGCCCAAGGGGATCTCTCTAAACTTGAAAACCTGCAAGTCCTATTCTTTACCATACTCATTGAACAAGCACTTGTGTGCCAGGCAATGTAGAGGGAGCTTAGAGTATAAAATACAGAAGAGTCCCAGGCCCTAAGGAGCTTCTACACTATTAAAGAATCCATATGTATAAACAAAATACAATGTGGTAGGTGGTAGACTAGAGAGATGTAGTAAATACTATGGAAACTAGGAGAATGGTATGACTAATTCTGCCTTGTGCAATCAGGGACACTTTGCCTTTAGCTGGGTCCTGAAGCATGAATAAGAGTTCACCAGGCAGAGAAAGTCCAGAGAGAAGGGCACCTATGTAAGCACAGACGGAAGAACACAGCAGGCATGCTCTGGAGAAGGGGAGGGGGCTGGGGAAAGAGCTCCCAGTGAGGAGTGGTCAGGCGGTGCCTTCACAATCTAAAGGGCTTTATTATGGTCAAAGGCATTTGCACTTTATCCTAGAAGAAATCTGGGGATACTGAAGGCCTACAAACCCAGGGGTGACGTTACCAGTTTGGGATTCAGAGAAAGGATACTGCTGGCAGGATGGGAATAAGAATCAAGTCTCAAACTGAGTCCCATCCTAACAATCTGAAGCTTCTACTAATCAGTAAGTGGGTATTATTTGCATTTTCGTCCAAACTGAAAAAGGAACGTGGCCTGGCAGACAGGAGCTGTTCACATGACAAGACTACATTTCTCAAACAAGTGCATACGAACACTTGTGGCTACGGCTAGCTGAAGAACGAGTGATGACTTAGAGCACTTTGTGCCTCCTCTGTTCTTTCTCACAACCGCGGTGAGCGAACTCTCAGACTCTGTAAATCCGGGGAGGGGAAAAGCCATGTGAACTTACTTGTCTGTCATCACCGTCGGCTGCTCGTCCGTGAATTCTTCGGGCGCCGGCACAAACATGCTGACGATGCTGGGTGCTGACAGCAGGCTGGATTTCGTGGCGCCTGGGTGAGTGGCAAGGAGACAGCTGGTGAATAAAGGTCTGTGGCTGGGGGCTGGGAGAAGCCCGTCCGCCTCTCAGAAATCCTCCCACGATCACACGGGATGCGACGTGATCAGCACCACCGCATTACGAAACAGCCTCAATGGTAAAATGAATTCAAGAAAGACTGGTTTGTTTCTGTTTGTATGATTTTAAGACCTAGAATCCTATCACTCTGTTTGCTTCCTGACTTCAAAAACATCAGAAAGAGTTCAGGTGTACCAACAGGAGACGAAGAGAAAAGTGGAAAAATGGGCAATCTATTCAAGGGCGCGCTCAGATGAGGCACAGCCCTTATTTTCCAGGCATAAAAGGAAGATGCCCTTATGATCCTACATTTCCCAAATCACAAATGTGTGTCAACCCTAAAATGCTGCCAGTTTGAGAAGGGAATAAGATCCCAGAACTCTACACACTTAAATAAGGGGAGGTGCTTGAGCTATGAAATATCAGAGCAGCTTTCTACTTTGGAAATTAGTATCATAAGCCCTGAAGCAAAAGACTTCCTTTTTCAAACTGAAGTTTTTATGAATGAAAGAGTAAATGTCTTGAAGAAATCATCCAGCGACTGCAGCCAATAAATACCCGAGTCTGAACTTTGGGTTTTGATGCCTTCAAAGAAATCTAAGGCAAGAATTTTGGCAACATACTCTAGTGATAAGTCAATCTAAAGAGCCAAGTGACCATTCTCTATTAAGGAAACCACCCGTGCTGGGCCAATTCTTCAGGAACAGTGGAAATGAGGCACTCCAAAAAGAATCCCAAAGGCACAATCCAGGATAATGTCATGTTCTGCAGACTGATAACTAGGTCTCAGAGTTTTTCAAACAGGAAAGAAGGCAGAAAAACTCAAGGGTCATTAAAGAATCTATTTCTCTTCTTTCCCTTCCTGTAAGATGGCGGTTGAACAAGCTGAGACGCCAGACACTAAGAAGAAACCTGAAGCAAGGAGGCTGATGCTGGTGGCAAGGTCTAGAAGGGTAACCTCAAGGCTAAAACGCCAAAGAAGGGGAAGCCCCATTGCAGCCAAAACCCTGTCCTAGTCAGAGGAATTGACAGATAGTCTTGATCAGCTATATTTTCCAGAAAGACCACATATGAGAAGAAGTATTCAGCAATGAAGTCCAGGGTTGAAAAGAAAAAGAATGAGAAGGCTCTTGGTATTGTTCCAAAACCATCAGTGGTGACAGGAATGGTGGTACCCGAGTGGTGAAACTCTACAGAATGTCTAGATATTATCCTATTGAAGATGTGCCTCAACAGCTGTCAAGCCACGGCCAAATCCTTTCAGTCAGCACGTGAGGAAACTGCAAGCTTGCTTCACTCCTGAGACCATTTTGATCATTCTCCGTGGGCACCGCAAAGGCAAGAGGGTGGTTTTCCTGAAGCAACTGAGAAATGACCTGCTGCTTGTGACTGGCCCTCTGGCCCTCCATCAAGTTTCTCTTAATAGAACATACCAGAAATCTGTCATCGCCACCTCCACCAAAATTGATACCAGTGGTGTGAAAATCCCAAAACACTTCACTGAAGCTTACTTCAGATAGAAGAAGCAACTGCATAAACCCAAACACCAGGAAGGGGAGATCTTCAACATGGAGGAAGAGAAATACGAGACTATAGAGCAGCGCAAGGTTGACCAGAAAGCTTGGGACTCGCAAGTTCTGCCAAAAATCAAAGCTGTTCCTCAGTTTTAGGGCTACCTCTGCTCTGTGTTTTGTTTTGCAGATGGAGTTTATCCTCACAAATTGCTGTTCTGAATTTCTTACAAAGAACCTAATTAAATAACTGATCCATTTAAAAAATAAATAAAGAACCTGTTTTTCATCAAGACTTGGTCATTTAATGCTGAAAAACAAAACGAAATTGTATGATCTTCCCTTAAATAGGAGAAAGATAATGATTCAGAGAACTGGTTTTTAAAAGACATAATGTAAAAATTTTAGAGACCTAGTGAAGTGGGCAATGTGTTTCAATCTGAGGGAGAAAAAAAAAGGGCACGAAAGCCTCCGGAGAATCAAGATGCTTCCACACTGTACAGACTCCCTTGTCTGATCAAAAGCTACAAAGTGTGTTTATGAGAAGCAGGAGGCCCTGTAGACCCAAAGAGCAAAGGAAAGTATCTAAAAACATCTTTATGTCGCTTCCAAAGGTCCCACATGGGCATCTAAATTTTATTACGATATTTACCAACTATCTCTGAGTAACATTCTTTCCTACTTGTACCCAAGTGTATCATGAAAAAGGGTCTCCAATTGTCACATCAAGATGGCACTTTGTGTGGAAGCAATGGTATTTATGCTTGTAGCCTAACTATAAACTGATTAATAATAAAAAAGACAAGAACTGGGCCAAGATAAAAGGAGACATGATTGATTATTAAACACTAAGGTGAACAGCATGAAGTCACTTCAAGAAACCAAAACACAGAAAGTTTAAACCCAATATTCCACATTTCTTGGACATTGACAGACCAGGCCTACTAGATGCCAAAATGCCTGTGCTAAAAGTAGAAAAATTCAGCCCACAAGACAGTGATATATACATTGTCTTACTAGAAATGAGAAATTCAAAGAAAAAAAAAAACTCCTGAGTCAAGGCTTTCACATTATTACCAATTACTATTAAATAGAAATCACCATTCAAATCAAGAAAAGGGATGGAATCAAAGTCATTTGGGTGGTTTCAAGCCAATTATTACCCAACACAAATGTCAAGACAATAGCATTGTGAAGTTGCTTATTCACATGACAACACCAAATATGTCATGCAATATTTATGGCAGTCATCTATAAAAGATATTGGGTACTGGCTCCCATATGGCAACATTAGCTGAATCAATGGATTTCTGAATATTGCTAATAATATGGGAGCAGAGTAAGGTAGAAGAAGAAGGTGGGAATTGCAAAAGGAATCTGTAAGACCTCAGCTACCTTTTGTTAGAGCTGAGTTACAACTAAGTCTGCAATATTAAAGGCAGCCCCATTATCCCCCAGTTGGGGGCAATACTTCTGATGGCACCACTATGGTTCCCTTACTGAATCCCCAAAGTGCACTCTATATTGAACTAGGAACAGAACTAGAAGGTTCTTAGAAACTTAAATAAAGAAGAGACTTCCTCCAAAGACCTACTCCAAAGCTAGAGATTTTGACCAAAGTCCCTTGGAGAATCTTAGAGATAGGGGATAGTATAAAGGTGTTGGTTTGTCTCAAAGTGCACATGTACCCATCAGTTCTTTTGCTACATCAATGGATTTCTTCAGTTTATTGTGAAAGAGAGTCACTTTCTGTCTTTGTTCCCATGACCTCGTTCCATTTTTGCTGCTACTAACTTGGTCACTGGATCGTGGCTAAGCACCAGAGTTGTTTAACCAACCTGACTTCTGCTCATAAAAGCTTTTCCTAGACCCATAAGTGAGAAGAGTCCCATCACATCCAGGGGCTAAAACTGCTACTCACTGCCCAATGAATATTAGCAAAAGCTGAAGATAAATATCTCCTTGTTCCTAAGGAAAATTAGAAGAATGGTATGGTCCCGAGTGATAGGTCCTAAATAACAAGTCTGCTTGATTTAAGGAGCTCACTAAGAGATGTGGTCATAGTTCTTTTTTTTTTTTTTTTTTAATACAAATGCTGAAGAAGAGATTCCAGCCCTCACTGGGGGACCGGGTGATTGATATACACAGTGTCTTTCAGCTCATCCAGTCTGAGATTCCACCACTCAACTAACCTCTCATTCTCAATGGTTGTCCCTCCAGGTCAGGGTTGAGGCACATTGGCACATTGCATTGGCGTTTCCCGGGCTGTATCTGTTCTGTGGATAAATAGAGCATTTCAGTCTTCAATGTGGTCAATTCAGCATGATTCACAATACAAAGAATTTAACAAATAATTTCTTGGGGCCATTTTTTTGGTCACTGTTATTGTTGATTATTAATATTTACAGGAAACATCCTAGATTTCAGGGGAGGGTAGTCTGGGCTTTCACTACAAACCTTTCATTCAGGTATATGAAGTGCAATGAAAAGCAGGAGAGCATCTAAAACTGCCCCAAAAAAGTCCAGATTCTCTACCTCCTCACCAAAAAAAAGTTCAAATACTATTATCTCTTGATATGAAATGAAATAAAAAATGAAAGGCTAATGTCACAGCCACGAAATAAATGTATTATGCAAATCAGTAAATATATAAGTGATCATTTGGGGCAATGGCCGAAAGGTCATACAGAAAACATGTGGAACTGGTAGCAAGGAAATGGCAGTGTTTCACTGAGGGCTAAGGAACAGGAATAAGGGAACAAGGGAGGAAATGGAGGAGCGGTGCTTCTGGAACATTTGTTTCCTATGAAAGATGAGACAGAGAAGCAACCATCAGATGTGCATGGATGGAGTCGAGGCAGGTATTCAGCGAGCAAGCAGGTGCATGCTGAGGTGAATCGATCATGACCCAGGTTTTAGACCGCCTTTTGCAGTGTCTACATGATTAGACTTGTTCCTCTGGGGACCAATGAGTCACTGAATCAACATGTGTAGTATAAAGTGGCACGCCACCTAACACTCAACTCTACATTCATCGATTCTCCTGTGGTCTTAGATTCAGGGAAGACTTTTTGTCCCACTAATAAAAACAAGTGTATTAAGATGAAGCTCCAGTAGGACTTGGGGACTTAAGAGAACCAACTTGGAGAATGGAAAACAAGCCTACGAAAACAGGTGAAAGAAATTCAGGCAGCATGTCAATGGCGACTATTAAGTGAGAAGCCAGAGTAACATGAACGAGGCTGAAGTTCGGTTGAATGTGAAAAATTCAGTTGAATGGGTTATTTGGCATCATGTAGATTTTTTTAAATTAAAATTTGGATTGGACATTGAGATCTGTTTGTCTTTTTATAACTCTACTGAGCCAATCAAACTAGGTTGCAGTTGTAATCCAAATCTGAAAGGTTAGCTGAGCCTGAGGTACTTGCTACAGAAAACAGAGGCATGGTAAAATAATCTTCAGAGCCCCAACTCAACCTACCAAAAGTAAGTGGGGAGCATTTAATTATCCGAGAACTAACCAAACAAAGGCTTCCATCCTCGGTTCCTTACATGGTTTCATCTCAGTAAAGAGAGACACAGGGGGGCACCTGGGTGGCTCAGTCAGTTAAGCATCTGACTCTGGATTTTGGCTCAGGCCATGATCTCACGGTTCACGAGTTTGAGCCCTGCATCAGGTTCTGACTGGTGGGATTCTCTCTCACCCTCTCTCTGCTCCTCCACCACCCCCACCTCTCTCTCAAAGTAAATAAAGAGAGAAACAGTCCTCTGTGGTGTGGACAGAAAGACTCCATCTAGACCCAGTCAGCTGTCAGGGCTGGTTATCCTGACTTTCTCCTTGTCTTTCTTGCCTGGTGGCTTTGGGCCATTACTTTTTTCACTACCACTTACCACCAAAAAGAAGATAAGACAAGAAACCTTTAAAATGTTAAGAGCCCTCATAAAGGCCAGGAGAGTTGAAACCACTCGTTAAATGTAGGCTTGGGTATGGTGTGTAGGATTTATTTATCTAGCTCTCCTTTTTGGAAAAAAAACAATGGATGCGGTGGGAGAGAGAAGATAAAATGTATGTGAAGATTATGGTTTTGAAAAAAAATGACAGTATGTCAGTATTTTGGTTTTGTGGACATGATAGTTTCTGGCCATAGGAAGGATATTAAAATAATAATCTCATATAACTATGGCCAGAAAGTACTAAAGCAAGACACTAAAATAGTCTGATACAAGTGTTGGTCCCCAGAGCATACCACAGTAATAGACTGTGTCATTTTCATAGTGCATGCGTGTTGCAAAGTGCTTTTGCGTATGTAATCTTGTAACTCAAATGGCCCCTTTAATTAAAAAAGAAAAACATGAAAGGCAGGCGCTAAAAAGAGCAGGTTTACAGCAGTACTCCTGGCTTGAGAAAGTGTATGTGTGCAGAACGTGGTACCAAAGTTTAGAAAATGCAGAGTGATCATGTTTAAAACGGACATGTCATGGCAGCTCAGTTCTTATTTTAAAACTGAGGTTAGATGCAGCGCCACCATATAAGCATGAGGGTGTCCGACCTGATGACCCTGCCGACTAAAACACAGAGCTCATGTTCCCAAACCTACCGGCAAATCATGACGTCGCTAAGCTACGTTTGTTAGTATTAGTATTAGTGCTAATTTTCCCTTATTCAGGGTGCTTTACAAAACACAGAATATGGTAAACTGGTGTTTTTGTTAATCTGCATCAGGAAGTCATAATCCCATTCCCTTCTGTATGCATTTACATCGTTCAACCCCCAGATAGATAACCTAATATCTGGAATCCAGGTCTTAGAGGAGAAAGAGTTGGACCAGCCTAAAGGGACAAACAGGTGGCTCTAGAACACTTGGAAAATTTAAATAGACTTATTCATGACCTTAGGTTTGTTTTTTTTTTAAATAAATAATTTGAATCACAGAACACAAGAGAAACATCTAATCCTTAACACGAGAGCAGAGGGGACACACAGAAAGTGGCATTAGCTGATCTGAGAGGTAAAAGGAGAAGAAAAGGCTTGACCCACCAGTGTCCCAGTTGCTGATGTTATGGGGGGCGCTAGACTGATGCTCCAGCTGTCGCTTCATTAACTGGCTCATTGTTAGAGCTCCCAGGGATCCCCTTTTCATCTGCCTATACTGAGCTATATGGAGGAAATTAGGACATGATTACTGGGGGGCATAAATTTCCACAGCACACAAAGGCTCTACAAATTCATATAGAACCTTAATTGAATCTTCAGTGGCTACTTATAATTGTTTGGTAAATTGTATGCTCTTGTCCGAGGCAAAATCCAGACACACTGCTATTCCCAGTGCCTTTCTTCCCTCAGTAAAGAAAGAAAAGGTGCCTGTGAGCATTTATCTGTAGTCGGCAGAATACTTACAGTTGCAACAAAATGGTTACTTTCATTTACTTTTTTATTTGTATACTCTACCTCGTTCCAAAAAGATATTACGGCAGATGATACTACTTTGAATTTATAGCTTAACTTTATTTTTAAATGGAGCTAGTGCATCCATGGCTTAAGGCTCCATCATATCCCCGTGGGGTCGCCATGTAAAGGTGTGTGCATGTGTGTACATTTATGTTTTGGAGTAAGATGACACATATCAACCCCAATTTTTAGAGAGGGAAACTGAAGCAAATGAAATTATGTTACTTGGGAACCAACTAGCAAATGGGGTGGTCATAAACTCAAAGCATGTTGACTCCAAAGTCAATGCTGTTTTCAATCTCTGTAGATGAGCCTCTGCCCACTGTTTGGGAAACATGAATCGAGTCACATTCCACAATTGTTTTCCGGTACACATCTTTGTTTTGGAAAATAATGGTAATATTTTTATCCTGCCATTTAAGCACTGGCAAATATCCCACCAAAGAAATGTCAAGTTATGGGCATTTCCAAACCAGGATAATAATTAAAAAAAAAAAAACAAACCACTTCTGCCAGTAGACTGTTGAGTGAAAAAGCAACCTGTCTCCTACCCTTCTATTACTCTGTTAGGGGTCCCGTCGGTCTCTGCCATCAGCCCAGTGAGAAAAGCAGAGAATCGTTGATGTGCCTTTTCTACATGATCCCAAACTCCTGGACATTTGAGAGCATGTTATTCAGTCTCTTATGAGGACAGTTTCAGAAACTGAAGTTCTGAAGTACCTGTCATAGCAGGGGATGGTGGAAACCGGGATGATTGTATGGCCCCTGGAAAGCATTAAATGTTATACACAGGCTTCACAATCACCATATACCAAGACTGCAACTTGGTGACATGTGAAATCAATTATAACATTTTTAATGTAATTAGCATGCTGTTTGGATTCATGGCGGTCACGGCATGGTTAGCTACAGAATGATCATCGAGCAAACTGATCCAAAGAGGGGGTGTGATGGGAATTCTTGTGTCTTGGAGTCCATGTCAGCTAAATTCACCAACATGGAAAATCTCTGATTCTTGTTGATTGCTGAAATTTACAATGTTATGAACTCACTGGAAAGGGGACACTTTCAGGTAAAATACAAAAGCGGAAATCTTTTTAGAAGACTTAACCAATTTAAAAATTAACATGCTCAAAGGAGGATTTACAACCTCAAGTGATTTCATAATTTCTCCAATTTTCAGTTGTTTGTAAAGACAGCAGAATTCCCTGAGAGTAAAAACCCTTAATGTTTAGCTCAGTGTGTGGGGTGCCTGGCATAATGCCTCCAAGAACACCCCACCAAGAGCCATCCAATACATGCTTTTAATGGAGAGGAGGAGGAAGGTGGAAGTGTAATGATGCACTGAGCGACTCCAGCAAAGCTAGTTCAGTCATGACGTTAGGATCATGAGACAGGGATACACTTATTTTACGACACATTCAGCTAGCACTGAAGTCAAGCTGACTTAGTCGCCCTATCTCAATTTATACCCAACTTGGAATTCTAATTACAATTTGCTATCTTCTTTTTTTTAGATGACGCAGGTAAATTAGGAGGGGAGAAACTATACTTTCATGATTTTAGTATGTGGGTTTAAAAATGGGGGATTTATCATGTCATCAAACAGATTTTTATGATAAAAGAACAATTACGTTCAGAACTAGCTGTTCTTCCTTGCTACCAAAAGGGCAAGTAACTGTCACTTGAAAACACTTTCTTAGAATTTCTATAATCTCTATTATAAGTGAATTTGAGTTCTTCTGAGGCAGCGGGTTATACCAAACAAGAGCACGGACTTGCAAATCAAACAGACCTAGTATCAGTCCTTGTCTCTATCACTTAGTAGCTATCTGACTTAGGCGAATCACTTAGCCTCTCTAACCTCCGTTTCTTAGTCTATAAAATGGGGTCAATAATATCTGCCATGCAGGGCTAATGTAAGGATTAAGTAAGATAATGCGTGTAACCATCTGGCACAGTGCCCAGCAAGAAGAGTCAAATCAATCGTGGCTATTACTACTACTATGACTATAAACTCCTTGAACAAGGGGTATCTCTTACTTATTCATCTTTGACCCTCAGAGGCAAGCACAGTGCCCGGCACCCAGAAGTCACTTAATAAATAGTTGCTGAGTGAATGAATGAATGAGTGAATGAGTGAATGAATGAATGAATAATGAAGATGATGATGTTGTTCCATACTACCAGTCCAGCATTTAAGTTAGGATCTTTATTGGGTTTTCAGGATCATCCTCATTTCAAAAAAAAGTCAGAGGAAAATTAACTAGCTCCTCAGGCAGCGTTCACGTGAACACGAGGGACCAGTGCATGGGATGAGGGAGGCAGAAGGTACGCCTCTGCATCTCTGATCCCTGCTGAGAGCCTCCCGTGCTAACGTCTCCTCACTGGCTCCACTGAGCCAGGTGGACACCTTACCTTCACCTCAACGGAACTCATGCTCCTCAAGGACAAAAGCTAGGACCCGACCCCAGAAGGCAGTTTCGAAACAGTTGTCTCCTACAGAGCCTGTAGAATTTCACGCCATTTGTATTTTCAGATCCAAAAGGGCTAGATTCAGTCATGACACTGGGATCGCGGTATAGCTGTTGCATTTATTTTATGATAACTTAGATAACGTGTCGGAAGTGATTCAAATTGAACCCAGGTGTTCCGTGTAAAATTCTGTCACAAGCAGTGCTTTTCCTTTGTCTCCACACTAGTTCTGTGCCTTAGGTTTAGGCTAGTCATACGTACTTCTTATTTTATTGAATTATGTAATTCAGTGATGAATCCGTAACAAATTAGGATTTCTGGCCAATCAGTAACCGTACTGATTTATCAAACACTTGAGCTATTATTGATAAAACTGAGCCTATGCCTCAGGATCTCTGAGATCTTACAGCAGAGTGTCACCCAGGAAGCTAACACAACACGTATAAAGAAAAAACCTCACCACAAGCAGGAGTGTAAAAACTGAATACAGTGCGGTAGGAAATGCTCCAAAATCAACGAAGGTGAAATGATCAGCGAAGGAAATCTTACTTGTTATTGAGGAATGGCTACTGGTTTCTGGTACCCCTGCTTCTAATGTTGGGGCAGACGAGGATTCTCGTGGCATTTCCAAAGTTGAAAGTCCTTTAGTAGAGGGATCTACAAACAGAAACATTATTTAAATCTCAGGGTATTGAGTAACAGCAAGGTCAAGGACCTTTCCCATATCTTTTCCCTCTTGCATAACACACCCATTCGAATCATTCTGTACATTCTGGCCCCATTAATTACTTTAACAGAATTATATACACACTGGTTTCAAAATTCCCTGGAAAGCTGCTCCCACGTTACACTCTGCTTCTGTGGAGGTGCCTCCCAGAGATTCACAACAGCGCAATGACAGAGTCAGAGCTTCGAGATGCCCCTCCTGAACACCCTCCAGCTGGTCACTTAGCCTTTCCAGAATGGAATTCCTTTTCATCTGCTACCTAAAGATGCTCACGGTTTATTCTACCTACATCATTCCACCACTCCTCTTCATTCTGGCAACATCCTACTCACTAATTACATCTCAATTATACAGACAATTCTTCCTCCAGAAGGTCTTCAAGGTACCCCCCTGCTCCTAAAAAATACAAATCAAAATCTGGATCATACGATCCTCTTATGTAATCCCTGAACACCTTGTCTTTAACCTTTCCCAAACTTAACACGCTATAATGAAATTCTCTATATACTGTCTATAGCCTTTGATGAACTGTAAGTATTGCAGAGCAGAGACTGTATCTAATTTGGAATAAACTGTATTAACTCAGATTTTCTATTTTATTAGTTGACCAAGAAACAGACTATATCATGTGATCCTTCTATTTAATAAATGTATTTAAGAGGAAATATTTACTGCATAAATAGTACACAATAGTCTTCTATTTTATTTCTTTTCTATTATATTTCTTTTCTGCATAAAATGCACAATAGTCTTCTTAATCTATCAGTAATGGAAAACAAGCTGTTCCACATTATTCTAGGTAAAGATGATCCTTTAAAACTTGATAGTTTCTCATAGCAAACCCCCTAAAATTCTTTACAAACCTTCTTGCCATCCTAAAGCAACACTGTATACTGAACCCAGTGAGCAGCCTGGCTTTACCCTATAATAGGCTTCCACGAATGTTCCATGCTATCACCTGGGGACGCCCCTCCTAAATGGCTTCAAGTTCTCAAGCTTCACAATGATTCGGTCCTATTCTTTTTATATTGTCAATTTCTCTCTTGTCCAGAGCAAGTCACCATACGTTCATCCATACATACAACTGAAGTATGCAGATGCTATTCTGTTATCGGCTGATCACTAAACTTGTTGGAAATAAAAGTAAAATTGATCCTGGGTGAGATTCTGGGAGGAAAGTTTTCAAGCACTGATGCTAGAACATCCGCTTTTGGACTCTCAGAGGTCTTTCTGAATAGACATGATTGCCAGATTAATCATTCCTGATTTAAAAAGAAAACTATCACTGTTACAGTGTTTCCTGCACCCTCTTGAGTAATTACACGCAAAATGACTACCTGTTTTAAATTACCTTAGTCACTAAGATATTACAGATTAGGTCATTACTTTTCTCTTAGGTATCCTCCCCAAACCTCTAGCTAACAACACACACAGTCAAAAAAATAATAAATAAATAAATAAACAAATAAATAAATAAATAAATGCACAGTCACCTCTCTTCATCCTCATCTGCCTCTGTTTTACATATGCTGCTACTCTGGCATGATAATCCCACCAACAATATAGAACAAGAAAGCTTAAAACTCATGTTCGAGAATTCTTTGAAAGACCATTGAGGCTTTTAGAGTTTTGCTCTGCTTACGGAAATCTTTGGTGCATCTCTTATTTGAAGCAAATGTAATTTCTTTACTGTAAGGTAGTTGTTATTAATCGTTAGTGTACAAAGATTTCATAAGCCAGGCAATTTTTGCTCAATCTTAAATCATTTTATGAAAACTTCCATTTGTATACAGCTTAGGACATACAATAAATATCTGAACAGACCTATACACTTCGTGTAAAATATTTTTATTTGGTTTTTGAAAAATTTTGTGTTTATTTTTTAATGAGAGATACAGAGCATGAGCATGGAGGGACAGAGAGCGAGAGCGAGAGGGAGACACAGAGATCAAAGCAGGCTCCAGGCTCTGAGCTGTCAGCACAGAGCCCAACATGGGACTTGAACTCACAAGCCTTGAGATCATGTCCTAAGCTAAAGTCGGATGCTTAACCAACTGAGCCACCCATGTGCCCCTTTATATTTTTATTCAGTTTTTATAGTGATGTATAGAAAACGTCATAACCATCCATTCATTCATCAAACATTTGCAAAAACTCTATTAGGCACTTGATATACAACCAGTGAACAAACCAGGCAAGAATCCTTGCCTTTGGGAACTTTCATTTTAGTGGGGGGAGAAACAGACAATAATTAATATACATAAAAGTAAAATTTCAAGTTAGAAGAGTAATTCTCTGTAGAAGAAAACCAGAAAGGAAGGGATTCCAAGATGCCAGACAGGGATGGAAAGGTAGGGTGTGGTCCAGGCCTCACTGGGAGCCTGGTGTTTGATCAAAGGATCAAAAGAAGTGAGAAAGTGAGCTGGGCAGACATGTGGGCAAGACATTTTAAGGTTGAGGGAACAGGGAACAGCCAATCATAAAGACCTCCAGGTGAAGCTATGTGGGGAGGGCTCAAGAAATGGCAGGAAGATTTGCAACAACATGGATGGACTGGAGGGTATTATGTGAAGCAAAATAAGTCAGAGAAAGACAGATATCATATGATTTCACTCATATGTGGAATCTGAGAAACTCAACAGATGAACATAGGAAAAGAGAAGGAAAAATAAGATAAAAACAGAGAAGGAGGCAAAGCATAAGGGACCCTGAAATACAGAGAACAAACTGAGGGTTCCTGGGAGTGGGGATGGGTTAAATGGGTGACAGGCATTAAGGAGGACACTTTTCAGGATGAGCACTGGGTGTCATATGTAAGAGATGAATCACTGGGTTCTACTCCTGAAGCCAAGACTACACTATATGTTAACTCACTTGAATAGAAATGTTTTAAAAAGTGGAAAAAGAAATGGCAGGCAGCCACAGCAACTGGGTAGAAGCAATGTGGTGATAGCAGCATAAAATGAAGTCAGAGAGCTAATGAGAATCAAGGCCACATAGCACTTCAGGAATATAAAGGACCTGAGCTTCTACTATGGAAGAAATGTGGAGCCAATGGAGGGTTGGAATAAGAGGAGTAGTATAATCTTAAGTTTTAAAGGATCGCTCCACCCGCTGTGTTGAGAAGGTATGAAGACAACACGAGTAGAAGGCAGGGGACCTGTTAGGAGGCTATCGCCACTGACCCAGGTGAGAGGTGTTGGTGGCTCAGAGCCCAGTGGGAGAAGAGAGATGGTAAGACGGGACCAGATTCTGGGTATACTCTGAAGGTGGATTAAGGTGGCCAGACAAAATAGAGGATTCCCAGTTAAAATTTAATTTCAGATAACCAACAGATAACTTTTTATTATGAGTACATCCCATGTAATACTTGATAGATATGGCTCCAATTCTTCACTCCTCCATAAATCCATGTCCTTTGTCATTTGACTTAGAAGTTCCTCCCTCATAAGAGGCAGGATATATTTCTCTCCTTATTTGGGGTTTGGCCAGGTGATTTGTTTTGGCTAATAAAATGTTTGTAGGCAAGACATGACCAAGGCTTAAAAAGCACCTGTGCAATTAACCTTGCTGTCTTGTACCTCTGCCATCATCATAAGATATTCCTGGGCTTCAAGAGTCCTAGGAGAAGGTGGGCCACCCAGCCCAGCTCAGCCTAGATTAGCCAATCCACACTGACCAACAGACTGTCCAATTAAATAAATACCCATGACTTATTGCTAGATGTTGCGGAGATTTTATGCTTGTTACACAGCATTCTTCCAGCAACTGGCAACGGATGGAGTTGTCTCAGCATACAGACAATATGTAAAATCATAAAATTAGATGAGATCACTCAGAAGAGCAGGTGTAAATAGAGGACTGAGACTGTAGGGTGCTCCCTCATAAGGAAGAGTTTGAGGAGGAGTGACCATTGAATAAGCAGAAAATCAAGAGAGTATGGTATCAAAGAAGCCAAGTACAATGGGGGTGGGTGGGTAAGAGCTAAGAACTTACCACTGGTGACTTTGTCAAGTGATGCTTGGGTGAACCACTGGGGATGAAACTTCATAGGAAGGATGAATTCTTTAGAAAAACAAGAGTTGGGGGGTATCTAGGTGGTTCAGTTGGTTAAGCGTCCAACTCTTGATTTCAGCTCAGGGTCATGATGTTGAGCCCTACATCAGGCTCTGTGGAGAGTGTGAAGCCTGCTTGGGATTCTCTCTCTGGGATTCCTCTCTCTCTCTGCCTCTCTCCCCCTTGTGCGCACTCTCTCTCTCAAAAATAAATAAATAAACCTCAAAAAAAAAAAAGAGAGAGAGAAAAGAATGGGAGAAAGTTGGAGATAATGATTATATAGGCAACTCTTTAAAACATTTTGCTAAGAGGGGAGGAGCAAAATGAGACAATAATTAGGAGAACTGGGATCAAGAGCTTTTTTATAAGAGAGCATTAAGATCATGTTCATATGCTCACGTGAGGAATACCTTAGGAAGCAAAGACTAAGGAGGGAGAAAGAAGGGAGAATTTCTAGGCCTATATCCTGAAGTAGGTAAGAGAAGTGGAATCTTGTCCACCTGTGGAAAGGCTGGCTTTGAACAGTAACCAGACAGTTCACCTGTAGCCCCAGCCAGGAAGGCCAGGTGAACAAGTGCAGACATTGGAAGGCACGCCAAGGAGGTGGGAGGAGACTGTGGAAATTTCTTCTGATTATGTCAAACAGGAAGAATAATCGGAAGTTTGGAAAGTTAAGTAGCCAGGACATAGTCACTGAGGGAGAATGGAAACGTGAATGGAGGAGAATGGAAATACGGTGTGATTGCCAGGTAGTTTAAAGAGCCAGTGAGGTCTGTGGTCATGAATCTGAAATGAGACCGGTCACTATTATGTGTTTTTCTCCAGTCACAGCATCTACAGATGCTGGTAGATGGAAAGGTGGATCTGACAAGGTTGTGTTTAGCCCAGCAAACCTGAAAAAGCAAAGGCCGGGGAGGCTGCAGCAGGTGGAGGGTTACATGGATTGAGATGAGTAGAGAAGAGGAGAGGTGACGTGAAGTAAGGGAGGGACATGAAAGATAGTTGGACCAACACAGTGTCGCCTAGAGAGAGGGAAACAGAAGTCAGAGAACAGGAGACGTGAGAATGACATGGAAAGGCTGCATTTGTTGGTCTGTGACATGACCATGGGAATGAATAGCCGAACTAGGACGGAGGTTAAAAACCAAGTCACTAGAAATGATGAATTCAAAGAACTAAGAAGCCAGAGACTCAGAAGAGTCATCTACTCTAGGGGCGCCCGGGTGGCTTAGTCGGTTAAGCGTCCGACTTTCACTCAGGTCATGATCTCGCGGTTCGTGGGTTCGAGCCCCGCGTCGGGCTCTGTGCTGACTGCCAGCTCAGAGCCTGGAGCCTGTTTCAGTCTGTGATTCCCTCTCTCTCTGACCCTCCCCTGCTCACACTGTCTCTCTCTTTCCTAGAAATAAATAAAAAAAAAAAAAAAAGAAGAGTCTTAATTTTTATTTCTAGGAGAGAGAGAGAGAGAGAGAGAGACAGCATGAGCAGGGGAGGGTCAGAGAGAGAGAGGGAGACACAGACTCTGAAATAGGCTCCAGGCTCTGAGCTGGCAGTCAGCACAGAGCCCGACGCGGGGCTCGAACCCATGAACCGTGAGATCATGACCCAAGCGAAAGTCGGACGCTCAACCGACTAAGCCACCCAGGCGCCCCAAGAGTCATCTACTCTAATACTCGAATCACTAATAATTAAGGCAGAAACGGTTTCGAAAAGAGTGAAAAAAGAACCAGGAGTGAAACTGTCACCAGATTAACAACAACAACAAAAAAACCCAAAACACAGGGGTCAGTAATAAGAGGTTCAGAGCTGGGTGTTTTCAGAGATAAGGGGGGAATGACCTGAAAGGGCCGGTGATGAACACGGAAGGTGTCTACCCCTCACCCAAGTCCAAGGGGACAAGGCAGTGAGGAAAGCTGTGACCTCAGGCAGAGCCGGGTTTCCAGAGGAAACTAGGGCGTGGAGGAGCCATCAGAGGAGACAGCATATAGGAGATTCTGCTCACGAAGGAAGAAGGAAGGGGTTCAGTAGTTAGCGTAAGTGGGGACAAAACTTCGGAACAGGAGAAGTCCAGAGCCTTCCGGAAATTAGAAGGGTCACCTGGGCCTTCCTGCTGGGACTCACAGGAACAGAGAGAAAGTGCTCGATGTGGGTAGACCTGGTGGTTCAAGGCAATCAACGGTGCTAAGGCTCTGAGTCGGGAAGGACTGGGAGCTTCCCTTTACTCCAGCTGACAGAGGGAGAAGGTATGCAGAAGCCTGTTGTGTCTTCCTCTGAGCACACAGGCCTCCTTCTAGCTCCCAGTAAGGGAGAGAAGATCTGTGTGTCTGTGGGAGGTGGGACACTATACAGATACAAAACAATGGCAGTACCACATATATTAGAAACATTTTAAAGACATCATAATTGTCAGGTGCTTTCCTCTTGTTCTGATAACAAATGTATTAATATGAAACCAATCTCCTCCCTGGTAGCCTAGGGAACAGTCTGACATAGGACGGATAAAGGAGGCAAAACACACACACACACACACACACGCAGGCAGGCACACACACACATACATACTACAACCTATGTATCATACACACCCACTCTGTGGACTTAAGTTTCCTATAACCCACCCTTTGGCCTCATATGGTTTCTTATCTACCCACCCTACAAACCTCTATAGTCTCTGGGTCAATACTTTCCTCTATGTATATGTAGCAATCTTCCTGGATCCAAACAATAAAAAGGTTTACCAGTTTCCCAAGAAACCTTCTTAAACTTTCTGTTGTTACCAGGATCTTATTCTTCCCGCTGCCTGGAAAGGGTCCCTTTCCAAATATGCTCATGTTCCTTCAACAGATTTTTACAGAGCACATTCAAGGTACAGAGCTCTGTCCCGGGAGGTAGAGAGCAGCTGGAAATCTCAGGAAATTCCCGGGGCGAATAAAAAATCTTAACCCCTTGTCCTAGGAGCTGATTTTGTGTGGAGCAGTGGGAGAGGAAGGACTAGAATCAGGGCAATAGTTCTGGTGCTGCTCCTGTCTGTCTGCAGGACCGGAGACATGATTTCCTCAGAGTGTCTGTCTCCTTCTACAGAAAACGACGTTTTCTGCTACAAGTTTCCAAGATCTTTCCCAGTTCTCAGCGATCCACATGAAATCTACGAGAAGCATCCCTGGCCAATTTCATTTTTTCTAACGAGACATATTCTTTTTTTTTTTTTAAAGGCCTGAGCTGAAATGCAAAGTGCTGCAATCAGCATTATGGTAATACTGCAAAAGACTGTGTTTTAGGATGAGGCAGACTATTGGCTTGCCACTTTTTTGAATTCTCTTCCTTAGAAACAGTGCATCCAAGGAAACGTGAGAAATGACACCTAAGGCAGGAAATCCAAGTGCTGTGACAACTTCACCATTAACTGGTGCCTGTGAACTAGGGTCTGGGTTGTAAGTTGGGTTTTTTGGTTCCTGACGACACACAATGTCCATCAGACTGCTGACATTTGGTTAGAAGATGTAACCCATTGTGGGCCCTACATGATTATAGTCAATTCTTAACCGTACCCAAGCACCCTTTGCTTTTCTTTAGCTTTTCATGTTTGTTCCTTCTTTGAACTATATATCAAAGCTGGCTGAAGTATGGGAAAACAAAAGAAAGCAAAAGGAGTTCAAATTAATGACCTTTTCTGTTCTAAAGGAAGGCTTCGATGATATTTGGGATATCTTGATATGAACTAACTATTGCCTCTTCTTGCCAAGGGTGGCCAAGAATTGACTGTAAAGCTTTAGAAACAGCAAATACAGAAACACTGAGGGAGCCAATAGAACCACATCTGAATCCAACACGCTCTAGGAAGCAGGAAGCATCCGGAGTGATTCTGAAGCAATTATAATGTCACTCCCTGACATTATAAGATCGAGACTTTGATGCCTAGTCAGTGCGAGACCCTAACAAGAAAGAGGCACGGACTCGAACACAAGGCTGGGAGAAAAGAGAGAGAGGCGCTTACCTGGATCTTTCTGTTCCCCCAGCTTGTCTAGAATGTTGAAGGAAATGTCCAGGTACTCTCTCTGGATGGCACTGACTGCGATCTTCCTCTGTTTCCTCTGCCTGGGAACAATCTGGATCTTGAATTCGGACTCCTCAGCTCCCTCCTCTTCCGTCTTCCTCTCCGGATTCTGTTCTGTATCGGACTCGGCGCTGGCGTCAGCCTTCTCACTTCCCACTGGATTCTCAGCATCCTCGGGGACTTTGAGGAGGACAGTTTTTGCCCCCGAACTCGGCATCGGCCCACTGGGCTTCTCCTCCTGGACACTGGGCTCCGGGCTGTCATCCAGGGACACCTCAGGGAGAGCATATGACTTCTGAAGGAGGTCTCGTTTCTGCTTCAGCGTCAGTGGGCTGCCACAGGCCAAGTCCTGCGGCTCCCCCTGCTTTGCGAATTCTGCGGAGTCTGCGGGGTCCTCCAGAGCTATGAGCGCCAAGTCCATGGCACCTGCTGACTGGTGGTTTCCTGAGTCCTTGGAAGAAAAGTCTTTGGAACAATCCTCCACACTTACTTGCACGAGGGGAGGGGTGCTGAGGCTGGGGACAGAGCGGGGACTGGGGACCGAGGGAGAGGAGGCGGCCTTCTTAGCAGAGGCCCCCTCATTTCCCAGGCCCGGCCCCGTGGTCTCCTCCTCCTCGTCACTCTCTACTATTCGGAGAGGGGGAAGGGGCTCAAACACAAGAGAGTCGCTGTCAGACGTTGAGAGCACCGAGCGTTTCTCAGGCCCAGACGTTGAATCAGAGGACAAATCTATCAGATCTAAATCCTCTTTAGGAGCAGGCTTTACAGGAGAATCAACCTTGACCTCAAACGTCTCCATGCAGTTTAACCGAACTTCGGGTATCACAGGCCTGCGAGCTTCCTGGAAACTTTCCATTGCGGGGTTCTCGGGCAGTTCGGGGTCATCAGGCCGGGTAGCAGAATTCTGTCTCGGGCGTCCGTGGTCATGTCTTTGCATGACGTAAGCAGCATGGGCAGGAGGCTTATCTGGGTCGCACCGGTCTATGCAGGACTTCCTCCGGTGCTCGTCTAACGTAAACAAGAGGGAGTCTGCATTCCCTATATCAAGAGATTTTTGTTTTAAAGAGCGCAGCTTTTTTTTCTGAATGCTTTCTTCTCTCACACAGTGCAGAATGCTGTCTTGTAATGCACCCGTTTCTCTATATTCGGCCAGTTCTATTTCACCTGATTAAAACAGAAAAAGCTAGTACTATTTTACTTGGAGACGTCACCATTTTTCCCCCTCCTACTTAGGCACACAATTGGCATAAATCATAACCACAATCCCGGCTCCAATAGGAGGTAAAACTGACTTTCTGGCCAAGTTTTTTGCAATGTTCAATTCTAGTTTCGAAAACCAGAAAACTTCTGGAACGAAAGAACCCCAAATGGCAGTTTAAGATCTTATTTCCAAAATCAGGCTTCAGGATAATTCCTCAGCTCTATTCATTTGTGCACGGGAGAGGGGATCGCTTTGGGCTGAGGCAGATCTAGGAAACTGTATTCAAATTGTGTGGAAGAGAAGCAAACATTTTGCAACAAATCAAATCAAGCAATGGCCCTCTAAGACGATCATGACGTTAATGATGTATCTGTCCAGGCACGTATATATATAAATGTGTATATATATATACTGTTTGTGCATACATATATATAAAATCAACGGTATTAAAATGTGTAGTAACATAATAAAATTAAGATTTCACCCCAAACAAAAGGTAGAGTACAACATTTCTGCATAAAATTACTAAGAGGAAAAAATTCATACTTCTCTGAACATTCATCTCAACCGGCTGATATTTCACCATTTTGCTGCCGCCTATTCTTTTCAATCTTGCAAAAAAAGTTTGAGACTCTTTATTGCAGGGTCCAGTAGGTGTATCATGAATATCAGATTCATCAAAAACACTATCTTCTTCTAATTGGGGAGAGAAAGTCAAAATTACACTTAGGAGGTTATTCTCTCTTAGGCTGTGTCTACACAAGCACTTCAATGAAAGCATGAGGGAACAAAGTTTGAGGTGGTCTCCACACCATCTCAAGATCTGGCCACGGCTTGCTATTTCATCGAGATGTCAAATTATCCAAATGTTGACAGAGCGACCTTTTATAAGGCTGGCTCTCATTTTCCATGTGACAACTGGCAACATTTTCAAAAGAAGCACTCAATATTTCAATAGGGCCTTCTTGGGGACACTTTTCCAATGCTCTTAAAATCAGGTAGCACATACATTTCAGGAATCTGTGACACTCCTTGAACATGGCTGCTTTGGGTGAATTTTCAGGCTAATTTGGCAAAAGAAAATTCAACACAATGAGTAGGTCTTGCTCTGTCCAAAAACATATGCCTTCCTGGGATTTGAGAACTGGCATAGACACAGCCTAACAGTACATGCACCTTATACTTTGTGAATGCAAAATACTGTACTCTACATTTGGTAATGAGACACACGACACACAGAAAAAGCTTAGAAAAGCCACTGGTCATTTCAAAAGCTCCACACATGATTATGGACTGAAAGAGTAACAAAGGAAAAAGAAAACAGAAAATAACATTCCCCCCTATTAAAGTAAGACCCTTCTCTGGGGAGTTTGCCACATGTAACTATTATGAATCCCAGAAGGACTCTGATTCCAATGATCCTGAGGCTCCGTAAACAAACCTGTCCCTTAGAGTGCCTGGAAAGATTATTTCTGTGTACTCTTTTATCCCTATTTAGCCGCTTTTTAAATCAAAGATAACCCAAAAACATATTAGTGAGGAAAGGGTTGCTATGTTGCAAACAAAGTTCACTTGATAAATTTTGTTCTTTTATCCTTTGGAAAAGCCAAAGCCCTATACAAAGCAGGAAAAAGAAAAGGCTACAGAAATGCATTTAATACCACAATAAACATAATTAACCTGCTATTCAAGGTCAGTTCCCTGAAACATAGTATTTGGCCTGTTTTTATATCTACCCATTGACAAAACAAGGCTCGGTGTGATTATGGCGATAAGATTTCTTGAGTATCCAGGGAGTACAGGGATAGAGCCAAATTTTAAGGACTGATCCTGTCCTAAGACACAAGACTCTACAACTAAATGAAATTTGAAGCAGCAGATGATAGATAAAGTAATCAGACTCATCTCTTTGGGTCAAATTATAACTAAGTGTTAATGATCAAAATGATACGAAAGGTCTCCAAAGAAGACAAAGCCTATCAGATCTTCACGTTTCTGGGCAGATGTAACACAACGATCTGTTTTATTTCTTTACGTCCTTTAAAACATATGTTCCCTTTTGAAAAAGACCGTTTTTCAAGGAAATAGTTATGTGACTTCCATTACATAATTTTGAAATAATCCTCAAAACATTCCGAATGAGAGATGGAAGCAATTCCAGAAGGCTTCTCCCATTCAGAAAGGCTCATCTGAGATGGGCCCAAATGCAGAGCCCAGATTGAGGACCTTTGTTGTTTAACTGAATCTATCCAATTTTCCAGAAACTGGGACCGAAGCTGGTAGAAAAGATATTCTTCAGGAAGGATCTGAATGCTACCAGAACTTAAAGAACTTCAGTCTCACAGTTCCGTCCATGGCCAACCTAGATTCTTGGACCTTTTAGCAATAAATGAACACTGGTTCCAATCCATCCTAGTGAGGTATTTCCAGAGCAGTCCTAACAAGTCAGAATCTTTACAAAGGATCATGGGGCGCTTGGCCTTCTCCCTGGATTGGATTAGATGATGTCGCCTTTTGGAAGTCTAGACACCTCGTGACTTGCTCTAAAGACATACTCCTTGGTTCTTCACCTCTCATCTGAAAACTTCCAGGCTGGGATTTTACTCTATCTAAAGTTTCATTCTATTGCCTCCTTTGCAGAAAAGCTATCAATATAAAAAGTGTTGATACTGGAAATGATTTAAACCCGAGCAGGATAAATTTCATTTTAGTTGCCTTACATCAATTCTTATTGAACAAGGAGGCTAGGAGGAAGCACATCAGAGAATTTAGGCTCCATTCAAATCTGTGAGCACAAAGTTCAGGAACAAACTAGAGATGACAAGATTATGACTTATGGCTCCACGTAGTGCCGACCAAGATGTACTTCACGGCCCTAAACAAGATGCTTCCAACACACAGGAAAAGGCTTACAAATGCTACTTAACCAAATTGTAGACAGTTTTTCTTTTTACAATACATTTCTCATGAAATGGGCTTTAGAAGCATAGCAGTTATTTCTCTGGACTGCTCATTTAAAAACAAAATTAAAGCAGCGACATGAATAGGAAAGTTGGAACATTAATGAAGCAGTAGGTGATTTTTTGATTCCAGGATGATACCTGGGGGCGCTCTGCTATCTCCTAAGAAAAACATTGTCCAGAAACATATGACATATTCAAGCTAAGTTTGGGATAGAATCGATATAGGGAAAGTACCTTTTTCTTTCTCGCTGTATCTGCTTATGTTACTGTTGTCACTGTACAAAGGTCCTGCCGTGGCATGGGGCTTGCAGCTATGATACTGTGCATTGAGTGTATTGACTGTTATGTGAATCAGGTGCAGCAGGATCTTGCTGATGTCACAGTCTCGGTATGGATACTGCTCGATTAAATGGAGGGAGAAAAATATAAACAGTTATTTTGAAGGGTAAGTTTTTTCACTTGATCTTGCTAGATACTTTTCTCAGTATTTCTCGGGGGGATAAAAAGAAATATACAGAAGAGCAAAACCATAAGCTTTTATTACGGCCTTATTTTGACGAGCGATCCTATTTCCTTCCTCTTGCACCAAACCACGGATGGCAGTGCATGCCAGTTCACAGTTACAATTCCTTTCAAGAAAATTCTCTGGCATGAACACAACTTTCAATATTTTATTTTCTGGCATAATAATTAAAACAAAGATAAAATCTGAGATTCTGAGCACAAACAGAGATTGCTGATCTCAGTAGCCTACAATTCGTTATTTTTTTGTTTTTGATATTTGTAGCACATACACTGGCCTGGTCTCTATTTCTATTCCAATGGCTTTTTACTTCTCAACACTAACTGTACATCATGATTCTTCCTCTGGAGGTCAAATTACTCTCTTGCAGAATTCTCAAGTTAGGTCTCTTCGGTGTTCTCCTCTCTGGGAGAAATCATTGCACATTGAGTGATGACAGCAACTCACCTTGTAAAGGATGACAAGCAAGGCCTTCAACCACATCTGCCGGATGTGAGGTTTTAGGGACCAGAGGGAACAACGAGGTGGCTGTTGAAAATAATGCCGCAGTTGAGGACAAGAGCAATATTTGAGCACCTGAACCACCAAAGGGAGAAGGTGTTTGCCCAAGTTAATGTTATAGTCCATAACCTGAAAGAGGAAAAATACTAATAACTGAAGGAAAGCTATAAAGAACGTTCATAAGCCTAAAGGAAAATGTGAACCATCAGAACAACAGGCAAAATATTTAAAAGGCATCTCACAAAATATTACCAGGAATGGCCAATGAACAAAGAGGAGGAGAAGTTAAACCTCACAAGAAATTTTTTAAAGCTTCTATATTAAAATTATTTCAGTCCATGTAACTATCTAATTGTTTAATGGGTCCACTAAATTATGAACTAAAAATAAAATTTTATCTATTAAAACGTCCTATTAAATTAGAATCAATGAAAACACCCACTACTGGTAATGACTGGGGAAACGGGCATTCTCAGATGTCACTGGCAAGGGTATTATTCAGCACAGCCTTTCAGGAGAGCAATTTAGCAGTATCTATTCAGAAGTAAGAAAAAGTATGCAGCCTCCAATACAGTATTTAAATAAATCCTAAGGAAAAAAAATCAGACAACCATTGCAAGATGTATACATGAAGATACAGCCTTATAGTCACCCCAAGTTGAAAATGACCTCCAGGGGTGCCTGGGGGGCTCAGTCGGTTAAGCGTCCGACTTCGGCTCAGGTCATGATCTCACGGTTTGTGGGTTAGAGCCCCGTGTTGGGCTTTGCGCTGAAGGCTAGCTCAGAGCCTGGAGCCTGCTTCAGATTCTGTATCTTTCTCTCTCTCTGACCCTCCCCTGCTCGTGCTGTCTCTCTCTGGCTCTCAAAAATTAAAAAAAAACAAAAAAAAGAAAATGACCTCCATAGTCAACAATACGAGATTAGTTAAGTGAAAGATTGTTTGTATGACAACACTATGTACCCAAGTTTAAAAGAGGTTACCTATATTTATCCACATGTATAATATGATCCCATTATTATAGAAAATATGTGTGCATATACATGTACATGTATACATGTACATATGAACGTATATAAATTTGGAGCCAGCAATATACACCAAAATGTTAGTAACTTATTTTGTCATGGGTTTCCTGGAGATTTGTATTTGATTTTTTGCTTTATTAAAATATAAATGCATAATGTAAATATAGAAAGGGGGGTGTCAGGGTGGCCCAGTCCGTTAAGCGTCCAACCCTTGATCTTGGCTTGGGTCATGATCTCAGGGTTATTAAGTCTGAGCCTCGCGTCGGGCTCTGTATTGACATTACAGAACCTTCTTGGGATTCTGTCTCTCCTTCTCTCTGCCCCTCCCCTGCTTGTGTTCTCTCACTCTCAAAATAAATAAACTTAAAAAAAATTTTTTTAAAAAGAAAGAGAGAAGTGAGAGAAGAAAGGAGGAAGGGAGGGGAGTCTGGACCTGAAATGGTGCACCCTCCCTTCATCACAAACCACTGAGTACTTGTGCTGATCCATCTAGTTACCAGCATCAGCAAAAGACAACCGTGTGCATATGGCTACTAATTTGTTTATCAGTGTTCATTATGTTACAATCTATTTGAGCGAATTGATAAAAGCTACCATCACTGAGCTCCTACCATGAGACAGGCACTGATTAAAAGCTTTGCAATATGTTGTCTCTAATCTTTCAAAACAAAAATCTGTTACTAATGAGCAAAGAAGCAGAGGATGCCTAAGGCCATAACAGTTAATAACAGTGGCAGAGTTGAAATTCATATTAATTTCCCTCTAGCCCCATGTTTGATACCCTTTGCAGATTTGATTCTGGAGAGTGAGATTTGTAGCACTGGTCAAATTAGGCATACATACACCCAATAATACATTAATTCTGCCTTTTATCCATATTTCAAAGGAATTCTCACGGTGGTGGATGAGATACATGTGCAGATGTTCACTGCTGAGTTGTATGGAGTGCTGAGTAATTGGGAGCAATATGAGTATCCATCACGGGGGAACTGGATAGTAAAGTACGATAAATGTACACCACGGTGTAAAATACAGCAGTTAGCAGTAACACACAACACAGAAAAAGCCAAGGGTGATAATATAACATGGAGTAAGTTGTATGATTAACTCAATTCTCCACTTGAAGCCAAAAACGGTAAGAGACTTTCAAAAACCCATAAACAAAAATTCTAACTCCCCTATTGTTTAATGGGTAAAGTTTCAGTTCAAGATAATGAAAGAGTTCTAGAGATGGATAGTGGTTACATAATAATGCAAGTATGTTTAATGCCACTGAATTGTATACTTAAAATGGCTAAAATGGTAAATTTTATGTTAGGTGTATTTCACTCCTGCCCCTCTGAAAAATCCTATCCTTCCTTTAAGTCTTACTCATCTCATACTCCCTTCCACACACCGCTACCCAATAAAGTGACTTGCGTAAACCTTTTACACAGAACCAATATTGGCCAAATGGAACTTAATAACTTGCTTCTGCTAAAACCCCAATGACAGGACTCCCAAAACTTTACACTTACTTGGGCAATTCCTGCAATAAATGCATTAAAGCAAGTTGACAGGCGCATTTTTTGGGGTGCGATCATGAAGCAACCTTCCTGTTGGTCATAGCCGAGTAAGACATACAGGTGCCGCTTGACTGTGTTGAAGGCCTTCGCGCTGCTGATGTCTGACTCGGCGCTGCTCTCATCCTTGGCCATGAACTTCATGAGCACTGTGATTAGCTGGTGAACTGTCTGGTGGTCGATCCCCGCATCTTCCGGGAGCAAGTCCTTGATGGTGTTGTCATTCTCAGGAGACTGTTGGCCTGTCGGTACAGGAAGGGGCATCAGTGGGTGGCTCCCTCACAGGGAAGTTCCCGCTAAAATCTCGCTTGTCGATAAAGCGCCATTCTTGCTGCTTCCACTAAATACTGGAAGGGCCTGTTCTGGACAAACTTAAAGGCAAACTATGGCCCACCAGGGGTGGACGTTATTGTGTCCATCCACAACCAAGTATTTGGGAGTCATAAGGGAATAGAAATAAAAATAGAACAGCAAGAAAAATACCTAAATAAGCTTTGTATTTAGTGATTTTTAAAAATATCTTGGCAAAGTTTTATCCTCACTGATTTAAGTTTCTCTTCCAGCTTTGTAAAATAAGCACATAAAGATAACCACAAAAATAATATTCTAAAATCCACTGAGCACAAAAACATCCACTGAGTTATTCTGTTTAAATTATCATCTCAATCCGGTTATGGTCATCAGTCAGCTGGGGTGGGGGTCAGGGGGAGTAGGTTTTTTTTCCAAATCCTGAGATATTAGCAGCGTGTGCTCTTTGAAGGACATAGTCAAAGTTATAAATAGCAAATTATAATCCTTGCTGTATGTAATGAGAAACATATAAGGAAGGGGACAGACAGAAAGAAAGAAGCATGAGCTTTTAAAAACAGAAAAATACCACATGAAAGTGAGCTGAGAGTTTACATGGAAAGAAAAATACCTCAGTCCTTGACTTACTCTTAACCTAACAAATAATTGTATCTGAGCAGTTCCCTGACGTGGACTTTCTCTCTGTTGTTTTTCAAAGTCAGAAATTATACCCTGTCTCCGCTTGTTTTTCTGCCTCTTCTGATCTGGCGTGGTTTGGGACTTTTGGTGACGGCAGAGTGAGAGTTGCTCTTCTATCTTTATGTTTGGGGGCTTATTCAAAATAACCTTTGCATTCGTGTTTCTCTGACAAGCAACATCAGAATTTCTCAATCAAAAAGGTTTTTGCCTGGTGGCTTAGGTGACACACACCAGATTCTCATCTCTCATTCTGCCAGAAAAGTTCTGCTGAACGATGGACAGGCTTTGATTACAAATCATTATAAACCAGATCTCGATTACATCCGGTTTAACTGTGGGATGAAGGCTACAAAGAGGAGGTAGGTAGTAATTTATGTCCATTAACTCCTCAACTAATTTGGCCAAATCTCAATCTTCCAGGATGCAGCCTTGAGAAACGAGATAGAGGAAATATTTCTGGGGACTGAGGGAAATCAACTATCTCAAGGCAAAACACTTCTCTCTAGAGCAGTGGCATGAAGGTAACGTCAATTTCAGAATTCACTAGTTTAGAAGTGCATGCAAAGTAATAAACTTGTCTGTCTAGTTTTCCCCAGAGGCTCAGAATAATGCTTGTCTGTTCAAAAGGGATATACTGAGAAGGGGTCATCGACAGTGGGTGAAGAGCAACATCGTCAGCTAAGTCTAAGCGCCTCTCATTCAGGGGAAACCGCTGGACAAGCTTCAGTAGGACTCTAGGACATTAACATTTTCTGTCTCATAGAGTCCGTGTATGAATAGTAAATGTGTGAATGTACTTTAGAGAAGCTGTCACCAAAAATTATTCCTGTAAAACCTAAGCACTGTTTATTACAGTGTTCCACATGCATCAATGACAGTGATCAATAATTTGCTAGCACCGTTATTTATTAGGCATGAATCAGCCACTGGGGGCGGGGGGAGTCATTTGTGTGGAACACCCTATTTCAAGAGGCCAGAAATGTGAAACATTACTGTAAATTACAAGTAAATTAAATGTTTGAAATAGAAGATCAGACCAAAAGCAACACCTATGTAAATCCTCATAAAACAAAATAGGAAAAGTTTAGAGAGCTCTCTTTCCGGCATTGAAAAATATTTAATCTTGATTTTTTTTTTTTTTCTTCTCCAGGCTATTACTTTACAACTAGAAGGAGTTACTGCTCCGGGCAAGCTCAGGCCAAGAATGTCACAAGTATGAGGATGCAGACTCCCTGCAGGATTCAACGCTATTGTAGCAGCAAGTGGTGGCTGTTACAATATAGCTTCATTCCTCAATTTATTTCAGCTGGTCCGGAGAGGCAAAGTTTAAGAGACTTTGTATCACTGTCCTGTGTAGCCACCTCTAAGTTTGGACTGGCTAGACTCCAAAATCCTGGTGTTAAAAATGGAACGAAGGAGCGTTTGCAAAGGAGTCGCCCTTTGTTTTATGGCCCTGAGCATCCAGGGACCTCAATACAGAAGAAGGAGGGTTCCAGACAAGGCTGAACTAAGACACTGGCTCCTCATCTCATTCTGTCCTAGTTCAGAGCTAGAAAATAAATCATCAGACTTCATCTTTTAAATATTTCAAAATCCTTCTTCCCATTGTAGGTAGATATTCACTGAAATAGTGTGCCACCTAACCTTTCTGGCAAAATCTTATTTTCCTAATGATTCAGTACCACTTCACGAATGCCCTATTTTCGTTTGAAATACATCTTCATGGATCTTTAAAGGTAGTTTTAAGTCTGCTGCTCTTTCTTTCCTCTCCTGAATAAGCGATAACGAGTGATCTTTAACCATTAAATAAGTGTACTGAAAAAAAAAAAAAAGAACTAGTTGATGAAACCATTTGCATAAAGTGAAAAGAAAAATCTTTTATTCCAAACATTTACTCCTCTAGTGTGGGATTTGCAAGGCTATGCCTTGTCTATTATCTTTCTTTACAACAGCATACATTTGTCACTGGGACACTCTTCATAAAAAAAAAAAAAAAAAAGTTTCCTTAATCAAATCCCTAAGAAAAATGAACTTAGAAAAGCTGAGATGTTCTTTATTGATAAAGACAATCTTACTGATTTAGTTATCTACAAAGGGTATGAAATTTCCATTTTAAAACTGAAGGCCTATGATACTTTCTCTAAGATGTGACAATTAAAACACTTTGAAATTCTAGTTTTGAATTATGGTCTATGAAATTCCCATGTCTGTTTTTAACTATGGAGATTTAACTTGTTAAATTTTTGATTTTACCATTTCTCTAAAGAAAAATAAGCACCTTTATAATCACGAGGCAGAGTTATTCCTACCATAACTTTATCACACTGTTTCCATCATAATCGGTCCACGGAGTGGCACAACTGATTGAAACTCCAAAGTGTAATATAATTTTATTTATTTGATGATATGAAACCAGGCAGGATCAGGATCTGCTTTTCCAGACTTATCTCCTACTACTCCACCCCAAATGCTCAACATTCTCACAAGCTGAGCTACGTGTGGATCTCAGAACACTTTCCCACCTCTGTATCTTTGCTCAGGGTGATATATTCTCCTGGCACCCCCAACCCCAGGCAATGTCATCCTGTGAATCTCAGAAGCCATTCTTACTACATACCCCCACTCTCCTCTCAGCCTCCCAGAATTTTGGGTGTGATCCCTAAATTCTATAAATCCCCAAAGACAAGAGAAGAGGGAGGATGGGAGGGAAGGATGGAGGGAAATTTCCCTTAGCATTTCGTAACTCTCAGGTGGCAAACTGCAAGGCAGAACTTTTTATTTACTCGTCTGCCTATTTCCCCAATGGGAACAAAGGCTACATCGTACCCATTTTTATATCCCTCACAGAATATGGGGCAGGTTCTGACATATACTAGATGCTTATTATTCCTAAGTGTCTAAGTGCACCGAATTCAAATAAATATCTCTGATAAATATTTCTTCTATAAGAGAAAAACTGATGAAGTCCCCAAAGAGCAAGGAAGTGGCTAGGGAAATAGGGAATATTCTTCTGTGTAAGCGGACTCACTGACCCCTCCGTCAAGCCATCAAGTGACAATTAGGTAGAGGAAGGAAGCTTGCTCTGCATTTGTTCCAGAGAAACCAGTGATCAAGCACTATAAATGAGTGTACATTATGTCGGTAGTTCTAAGGACACCACCTCATCCATCCCCCTGGCTCATCAACCCAACTTAAAGCTTCGTTCACAGCAGTTCCATTGTGCGTGTGCACAGCCACAAAAGGGCTGTAAAGCTGGGGCCAGTGACTAACTCCATGCTGTCATATGCTCCCCATCCTTGCCTTTGCACCTTCCTATCTTACATCCATGCCTTCCCAACCCATCCTCCAGTCAAGGCCTTCCTGTTGCCCTCAACTCTCCTCCCGTTGAACCTATAGCAGTGTCACATTCATTCTGGAAGAGAGCTTACTTATGTTCATCCTTCATCTCCCTTACTTGACTATAAGCAAGTTTAGAGTATAAAAATCTCTGATGTGTCTTGGCATTCTTCATATTTCCTAGTATTGCAGGTGCCCAATAAATGTTTGTTCAATAGAAACTGTCATTTCTCAAAATGATTATTTGAAACAAGGGCACTCCTACAAAAATAACTGTTCTCTTTCAGTTATTGGATCTTAATGATCGATAGGCGTTTTGCAAGTTGGAGAAGATGTGAGTTATTAACCACTTCTAGAATGAAAGACAGAGCCTAAAAAGAAGTAATTTGGAGTTTTAGGCTGGGACAGTAACAGCGGTGGCAGGAGAGGCCCATACAAGAGTTTTACCAATGCTCTGTAGCACTGGACACCTTCTCTTGTTGGTACAAATTCAGACCAAGAGACTTCAAGATCTCTCTGCAAGCTGGAGTAGAAATGAGAGTACCTTGTTGCTAGGGATTAGGATACTTCTAGATCAATCTGTGGGTCCTAAATGGGAAGGTCATTTGGTGTGGGTGCTCATGACCTTAAGGCACACCGTAGCAGATATGAACACCCAGATTAGCTCCATACCCAGACCAGTGCCTTCATGTGCTATGGGGAAAGAACACCCTAACATCAATGCATCAAGAGCTAATTATAGTGGAAAGAAAGCAAATCAGGCCTCTTGAGCTCAAGCATTAGTCCCCAACTAGTTAGTTATATGTGATCTTGAGCAAATTATCTATGTAGAATTACTTAATCTCTCAGGACCTCAGTTTTCCTGTCTATATGTAAAGCAAAATAATAATAATACTTTATACATATCCAGAGTTGTGAAATCAAAATTAGATTATTCATTTTAAAAACCACTCTTAATAAAGAGGTACTATACATATATGAAGTGTTGTTATTCTTATTATTATATATCTACCATTATTTAATTATTTATTCTGGGGGGTGAGGAACAGGATATAACTAAGCTCCCCATGACCACATGGGGTGGATACCAGTTTTTTAGTGCTGCACTGTCACAACCTATCAAAACTACTATATTATATTCAATTAATATTCAACAGGTATTCCGAATCACCAAAGGTAATTCCTGGTGTTCACAGAATCAGTGAAGATATACACTATAAATTATTATAATTATACCAATTTCAGATTAGCAGGTGAAAATGTATATTTCATCAATTAGGATTAAATAAAGATGCTGAGCTCCAATTGGCATTTAGCACACATGCTTTGCACAGGGTTCAAGATGCCTGGGCTTGAGACCCAGATCTGTCACCAACAGCCGGTGAAACGTGTTCCTTTCCGGGAACTTCAGTTTCCTCTTCTGTAAAATGAGAATGCTAACATATCTCTAATATTGCAACTATAATTTACTGTGAATTTCATTTATGGGCGAGAGTCATTGATTTGACTCATAAAAGTCATAAAGGAATGCAGCTTTTCACTAGCCTTCTGAAATATACCTTCTCTACAAGTGTTTTTCTGATGCAAAATTTGCCATATGTAGTATGTAAAAGCTAAGATCACAAAGCCATTAGTTATGAATCCAGTGTCAAAAAGCTCAGCCTAAACAGCAATTAAAATGAAGTCTTGCTGCAAAATTAAAGGGCATATGCTATATGTCAGGTTCAGTCAATAAGAGGTCTTGCACAGAGAAGCTCAAGACTTGGATGGAACGAAAGTATGTTCCGTAAATAACAAGTTCTTCAGTTTCCATTTAATTATTATCTTAAACCATCCTGTATAATCTTATGATAATCCTGGCATGTCTTTGTTCCCAAGCTAAAAAAAAAACTTAGTATCTAGTAAATAATAATGCAAAAATGAAAAACTAGTTTGAAGTGGCCTCATAAGCTAAGCCATTTGTTTCCGAATCTAAGTAAGTTTTTACTATGGTGGTGGTGTATAAATTACCTTTCCAGGGGCTTTAGCTTTATATTTCATATAAACAATGGCTTTATCTGTCCTGTTTCCATCTGGTCACTTTTGGTGGGACAATTAAAGGCCTGAAGCCTTTATTTTTTAACTTCAAGAAACATGTATACATTTTCCCAAAGAGAGGTGGGAGGAGTCCTTTGGTTGGATGGTGAAAATGGGTAATAATAATAATTAAAGACTTTAATTGAATAACTAATTCAACTAAGCCTTATGACAAAAAGAAAAGATGGGGTAAAATAAAGACAATTTATGAAATTGCATTAAAACTCGTTTCAAAAAGACCTCAATTACGGGAACTGGATGGATTCCACATTCGTAATGAAGCTAAGGGTCAGAAGTTGTTACTTTTATTCTTTTTTAAATTCCAGTACAGCTAAGGCACAGAGCAATGCAGAAAACAAGGCAGGGGCCCTCAGCCAAGGGCTTGCTAATCCTTCTTTCTCATCAATTTTAAGAGAGAAAATACCCCCTGGCCAAGACGTGCCATCGGCATTCATATATTTGGGCTCTCTGCTCCTCCCCACTCCACCCCTACCCACCTCTCCTTCTGGCATCATTTTTATAACACTTAGCAGACATGGTCTTGTAGAGCGTCCTTATTTGAAATTTTCCTTCTGAGGCCATTCTGAAAAGTTTACCTAAAACTATTCTTAGATGAAAAACCAAATGTTCTATAGCCTGATACTCAGGTGGTAATTACCAAGTTTGTTTTTGACAAAAAAAAAAAAGCAGGTATTTAGACCCTTCACAAGCCTCCCAACGCACTGTGGCATTTGTGCAGATGACACTCAATCCGTCACAGTCTTGCCGGTGCCCCTTCAACCCTTAGGATCCTCCATGATGCACTGTAATCTCTCACGGGACATCAAATGGTAGTTAACACTGTACCAAGCTGAATTTGATCCTAGGTCTTCCAAACAGTTGAAATCTTTCTTTCTCTGAGAGACAGGGATGCATGTAGAACTGCGAAGAATCAAGAATGGCTACGGGGGATGGGTGAATGATGGCGGCTCAAATGCATCACCTTTTAAAATGTAAATGAAATGTATGTTTTTTCCTATAGCAGGTGTAGATGAACATTATATTTGTATGTGTCAATACACATACAAATATAAGTACTACGTAGAGTTCTCGTCAGAACGGCTCTCTGGGGCAAAGTGCGGATTCAGGTACCGTGATACCTCTTACTGGACCAAAGGTTAACGGGATCAAAAAGTCATCTGCCCGTATTAAGATAGAAAGAATTGTTCTCTCAGGGGCTCAAATGCTTGAGCGTCTGGGGTGAGACCCTTCCAGTTTGCAAATCCTAAATCTAGCACTCTGGTCCAGTTACAGGCACTGCATTCTTTACCTTGTCCACGTGGGATTAGACACTTGCACACAGCCCTTCCACGTCAGAAGCACCTACCTGGTGTCTGTTCGGGTGTCCCACCGAGGGCTGGAGCAGACTGCTCATGCCTGGTCAACCTCATAGCTTAAAAATCAACAACAACTCTATTTAAATAAGCATTAAAAACAACTTGAGCCTAGAAAATACACTCAGCGCTAACTCACTGGATAGTAGGGCCATGTTTAAGTTTAGTTTTCCTATTTGTAATTAACGTCGCACAAAAGATGTTTGAGTCACACGCGCTTCGTGGTTTTATGTGAATCTCAAGAACATCCGTCAGTGCTACTTCAGTTCTTACTCTTCAAATTTGTTACGTGGAACAATTAACAAGCAAGAACGATAAACAAACTTTATATCCCCAAAGTGACTAGTTAAGTTATAAAAGAACTGGGAAATTCATAGAAATGGTTTATTTAATCTCGATATCGGTTTCTAGGATCTGGGTCAGTCTTCCCTGTAGACTAGCACTAATACAGATTATTCTTAAATGGCCACCTGCTATTTTATCTTTGCTCCCTGAAAAACTGAGCTTTAAAGGGCTTTCATCGACTCCTTCCAAACTTCACAATACCACATTTCCATCACTTGTCATAAATTAGAGAAAAATGCAATAAATAAAATCAAATCATATTTATGATTAAAAATGATTATGTTATATAAAGCTGTCTTCCAATAAATGCCAGTGAAAAAAAGCAAACCTTTCTGCTTCTAACAGGATAAGAAATATGTGTTATGGGGTTGTGTTATGAATATTACAGCAGTTGTTTAAAATTTAAATCACTTAATAAATTTTACAAGTTAGTAACATATTTAAATATGCCCATTCACTGGTATGGTGATTTAGTTATCAATTTTTAATTCTTTTTCATTCACGAGTCATTGCTAATCCTTAAGCGGTCATTTAGTCTTCAGTAATTTAGGGAAATTTTTGTTCTCTTTCAAAGTGTAATATAAAGAAAGACCTTCAGAAAACAAGTATATGTGGTCTTTTTTTTTTTTTAAGTTGGCGATGAAGCTTCTTTTTATGTGTAAATTATCTGGTGAAGTTGCTCAGAAATTCAACTTCTCCTCAGCCTGGTTTTTCCTTTTCAAAAGCGACCTTTATTTTTGGTTTGTCTGGGAGCTGGTTTGACTGTTTCCATCATGCATGAAAAGCAAATGCACTCGGAATTTCCACTCTACCTCCTCTGCTGCCATGGGGCTCACCTGTCTACATCTTCTTCGGGACACTTCTTTGGTTATAAGGCTGGTCGTGCACACCTTCGTTTCTTAGGACTTAGTTGCAAATGGTGCCTCTGCATTTCTATCTAATCATCAGTGGATTTGCCTTCTACATTACAAAACAATCTGCTGTCTACTGCTGGACCAGGGCTTTGCTTCACCCACAAACTGGAAAAAGCCCCCCAGAGCACTGACATCCCTGGGGTGGCCCTCTAGGGAATCTGAAGCCCAAAACTGCTGAAGGAGCTCAGTTTGCTAAATATGCTACTCTCTGTGAACATTCAACAAGACAAGGCAGCCTCAGAAAGACATTAAACAGATTTTTAAAGGAAGGATGGAAGAAGATACTCAACGAATTTTGGAGGTTAAGGTCTCAGGGAGGGAGAGGGCCCTCTTGGATTCCACGGGCCCCTTCACGCTGTCTCTCAGAGAACGCACGCTCTTCTGGCGGTTCCTCGCAAAACGAGCCCTCTTGATCTTCCACAATGCCGCGTCACTGAGGTTGGCGACATTGGTCCTTACAGCAGTGATAGCTGTCCAAAAGGAATTAGATGTTATTTTCTTTAACAGGCTATATGGCACGACTAGTTTGAAACAATCCATCTGTGTTTACTTTCAAGATTAAAATAACACCTTTCACAGATACATGAATCATTCATCTCTCTCTCCACGGTGAGTCTTACATAAAAAGTCAACACTATTGGGGTGCCTGGGTGGCTCAGTTGGTTAAGCATCTGACTCTTGATTTCTGCTCAGGTCTTGATCTCACGGTCATGAGATTGAGCCCTGTATCTGACTCTGCACTGAGCATGGAGCCTGCCTGGGATTCTCTCTCTCCCTCTCCCTCTGCCCCTCCAATCTCTCTCTCTCTCTCTTAAAAAAAAAGTCATTGCTATTGCCTATCATGATAATTGCCTTTTTTCTTTTTCTTTTTAATTTTTAAAAATTTTATTTTAGAGAGTATATGCAAGTTGGGGAAAGGGATAGAAGGAAAGAGAGACAGACTCTTAAGCAAGCTCCACTTTTAGTGCAGGGCCAGACACGAGGCTCTAGGACCCTAGGATCATGATCTGAGTCAAAATCAAGAGTTGGACTATCAACTCACTGAGCCACCCAGGCACCTTTCACCTATGAGTTCTCTTTCTTTCTTTTTTTTTTTTTAATTTTTTTTTATAGTTTATTTTTGAGACAGAGAGACAGAGCACGACTGGGTGAGAGAGAGAGAGAGAGGGAGACACAGAATCTGAAACAGGCTCCAGGCTCTGAGCTGTCAGCACAGAGCCTGACACGGGGCTCGAATCCATGAACCTTGAGATCATGACCTGAGCCAAGGTCGGACGCTTAACCGACTGAGCCACCCAGGCGCCCCGATTTTTCTGTTTAGACTATAAGACTGCATTGTCTGATTTTTCTTATCATTGGATAAATAGTTGAGTGACCAACTTTTCCCATCTCTTAGAGCTATAGGTAACTGATTAATATTCATGCAAGAATGAATTTGCAAAGTATAAATATATCCCCCAAAACTACTTGCAAACATTGCAAATATGATGACTGAATGATACTTAAGAAACACACCATCACAAATGGTTATCATAGGTCCTTAAGGAAATGAGAAGAGGTTTGATTTTGGAATGCCAGAAAATGGTTAACCTATGGATTACTACAGAGTTACTCAATAAATATTTGATAAACTGAGTTCAGGAAGTCAGGGCATCCTCCATAACGGGAAGTTAAATTACATGCATTGTATCTTCTGCTACTCTAGCAGGTACAAGAACAATAACTGTGACTGTTTGAGGCAAGTTCTTCAGCTTACTTGTAGGAAAAGGAAATTCTTTGTTACAATCCAAATGTAGCTGAGCTTCCAAAGAAAGTGTCTCAAATCTGTTGACAAAGAACTCCCAGCTCAAAGCAGGAATATCTTGCTTAAGAAAATGCAGGAGTAAAAGCTTGCTCAGTATTGTGGGTCGATCTTTAACCACAGTATCAAACTGGAAATCGAGACAAAGACACAGACCCTGGGGCAGAGAAGGGAGAAAAGGTAAGTCAGATGTTAACATCTAAGTTACTCCAAAGCAACTACACTAAGCAAAGTCAGTAAAACCAGGCAACCTCCTCAATCCATACAGTAACGTAATATAGAATAATATACTATAATGTGGAATGAGCCAAGTAAAGTCTTTTTTCATTGCAAGTCTGGTAGAAATAAAATGCAGAAGAGGAACTTCTTCTACTTGTAGAATATCTCTTGAATTTTCATTCAGAAATCTTAAGTGTATGTTATTGGTTTTTAGATGCATTCACTAATAAGCACTTGATCCAAATGCTCTCAAACCAATGTTTCTTTTTTCAATGTCTGTAGTTTCTATCAAGAGAATCATACTTCCAAAGCTACATTTTAGAAAATGCAATATGGTTTTCTAATTCTCTTTCAATGCTATCTTCTGTGTTTCTTTTTTTTTAATTTTTTAAATGTTTTTATTTATTTCTGAGAGAGAGAGACACAGCATGAGCAGGGGAGGGTCAGAGAGAGAGGGAGACACAGAATCTGAAGCAGGCTCCAGGCTCTGAGCTAGTTGTCAGCACAGAGCCTGACGCAGGGCTCGAACCATGAACCGTGAGATCATGACCTGAGCCGAAGTCGGACGCTTAACCAACTGAGCCACCCAGGTGCCCCTCTTCTATGGTTCTGAAAGAAAGTAAACTCATCTTGCCTTGCAATGTGAGTGTTACACAGAATCTTAAAAACTCAAAGTTGGAATGGATTGTGCATCCATTTCTCTGGTATATAAATCTGCTTACCATTCCCCTCTCCTCTTTTTCTAAACTTATTCATTTAAATTCAAGTTAGTTCACATACAGCGTAGTACTGGTTTCAGGAGTACAACCCAGTGATTCATCACCCACATAGACACCAGTGCTCATCCCAACAAGGGCCCTCCTTAATGCCCATCACCCATTTAGCCCACCCCCCCCAACCCATGAAATTTAAAAACCATCCTTCATTCCACCATTCTACTAATTCATTCAACTCTCATCTGTTGAGTGCCTCCTATGTTCCACACCCTGAGCAGCGGCAGAACCAACAGAGAAGGACTATCCAGAAGATAACTGGGAATTTTTATAAGGGAACGTGTGAGTCCACAGTCAGCAAAACCATCTCATTTCTCAGCTCCTGCACCTTCCTCTTGGTCCTTTTTAGAGGAAGAACCTTTACACTGGATTGGAAGCAGCATAAACACACAGTTAAGAATGTGGACTTTATTATGACTCCGACCTGAGTCTGCTCTGCCACGTACTAGCCATGTGACTCTGAAAAAGTTACCTACCCTTTCCAACTCGCAGCTTCTGTATCTATAAAGTGGGAACCCACAAGGTTATTATGGAGATTAAATAAGAATATGGATGATGGGACACTTTTAATACACTGCCCTGAAAAGAGAGTACCTATTTGATAAATTTTAGCTCTTGCCATGATTATTAGTTTTAATTATAATGATATAATAGTAGACCAGGCGCCATTGTGGGGAAACAGAATATCAGACCTTTGGAGGTTCTAGTCTCCATTCTTCCACTAATTCACTATGTGTCCTTTAAAAAGTCATATAATGGGGCACCTGCACGGCTCAGTCGGTTGAGCATCTGACTTCAGCCAAGGTCATGATCTCGCCAGCTCAGAGCCTGGAGCCTGCTTTGGATTCTGTGTCCCCCTCTCTCTCTGCCCCTCCCCCACTCACGCTCTATTTCTCTCAAAAATAAAAAAATATATAAAATAAAATAAAAAATAAAAATTCACATTATCTCTCTAACACTTGGTTTCTCCAACTATAAAATAAAGGTGCCAAATAAAATAAATACATTACTCTCTACAGGCCTCATGTTTCATGTTCCTTTAATTTATGGCATTTCATTTGATAGCATATTTGCCTCCTCATGTTTTGCTTCGACTTATACAATAATTCATCACAGAGATTTCTTTTAAAGTATCTAGCCTTTAAACACAAGAGCTCCCAGCCCAGGAACCAGCTAAATAGTATAAGATAAACCAGCCTAGTTTAAAAATCTGCCAGAAAAAAAAAGTCATACAATAATTATATCTGTCAAAGTTATATCGCTATATGGACAAAGGAAAGAAAGTATTAACAAATAAAAACAAGAAATCTGTTAATAAGGTATGGTTCTGGGATATTTCCTCTTTTAAAAATTCCCACTGTAACTATTTGTAAAAAAAAAAAATTTAAAAAAAATTTAAAAAAATTCCCACTGTTCCTGTCATTGTCGTCGTCGTCGTCATCATCATCATCATCATGACTGTATGTGTTTATAACTCAATGACTTGGTTGACCAGAGGACCGTCTATAGAGCAGATAACATACATCTGAGGGACCTCACCTGCAATGCTGGCCTCTTTATGGTGTCAAGCAGGAGACCGGCCCTGGTGGCCACTGCTGGGTTCACATCCTCCACAGCTGTCAGAAAGCAGCAGAAGGCATGTGCCAGGGAGTACTTCAGCAGGTGGTTTTTGGTCACTGAGTGAATATCCAAAAATCTACAAATTACAGCCACTTTTTCCACTGCAAGGTTTAAAAGGCAGGGGGAGAAAAAAGGCAAGGGACATTTAATAAGCTAAGAACTGAACACATAAAGAAAAAGTTAACTCTGGGCTCCCACACACTATTTTGAAATACCAAAAATACATTTTAATGCCACCTTCTTGAATGTTCCATCTCATCTGGCAACAGAGACCATTTCTACCTGCTGGGCAGGCTTGATTTAGCTGTGGGTTGCCTTTTTTTTTTTTTTTAATGGTCTTCCGCATTGTTTAATTCAAACTACATCAAACTATTCAAAATGCCTCCATGTTCATTTCTTTGTCCATTCCATAAGCCCTTCTGTGGACCACACAGGGAGACGGGAGGTGTCCACCAGGCCTGGCTTTAGATTCTGGACCCCCCACTCTACCCTTAGTATGTCACAATGTGAAATGACAAAAACAAAAACAGACTTCCCAGTATTATAGCAGTCACATATTTTTTATATTCAATATATGCTTGCTTACTTGATAGATTTCTTTTTTTAATTAAGTTTCTTTAGTTTAATTCTAGTATAGTCAACATAGAGTGTTATATTAGTTTCAGGTGTATAATATAGTGATTCAAAAATTCCATACATTACTCAGTGCTCATCACGGTAAGCGTACTCTTTAATCCCCATCACCTATTATTTCACCCATCCCCCACCCAACTCCATAAGTCAGTCAGTCTAATTATTCTGCAAATCTATGTTACATGACTCCAGGGGCACCTGGTGGCCCAGTCATCGACATTGGCTCAAGTCATGATCTCATGGTTCGTGAGTGTGAGCCCCTCATTGGGCTCTGTGCTGACAGCTCAGAGCCTAGAGCCTGCTTGGGATTCTGTGTCTCCCTCTCTCTCTGTCCCTCCCCTGCTCACACTCTGTCTCTCTGTGTGTCTGAAAAATTAATAAACATTGAAAAAAATTACATTAGATGACTCCAGGCACCCTTAAATCATGGCTTTATAAGAAATTAAAGTAGCCAGTGAAATAACAAAATACCATGAAAATAAAACATTTCACTACTTTATTGAAACTATTCCAGCAGCCTAGAATATTCTTTCTGTTCTTCTCTGCTTGTTGCTATTGTACTATCCTTAAAGAATCTGCTGATGAGATTCTACTTGTTCTGTAAAGTCTACCCTGACCTGGAATGGCCTTTTAGTCCCATGAACTCCTGCAAAAATACTACTCAATCACATCTTATTAATTTACATAAGACAGTTGTGTGCTCATACCTAGCCATATGATATGTCTTCTTTTGTGGTCTTGAATTATATTTGTATCTTTAGTTTCCTTTTTTTAAATTTCTTAAGTTTATTTACTTTTGAGAGACAGAGTGTGAGCAGGGGAGGAGCAGAAAGAGAAGGAGACACAGAATCTGAAGTAGACTCCAGGCTCTGAGCTGTGAGCACAGAGCCCGAGGCGGGGTTCGAACTCATGGACCATGAGACCGTGACCTGAGCCAAAGTCGGACACTTAACCGACAGAGCCACCCAGGCGCCCCTGGCGTCATTAGTCTTTAGTTTCTTAACCTCCTACATGTTTATATTTGACTTCATCAATTAAATTTACTAGCTTCTTGAAAGCGGTAGTCGGCTCTTATACTTCTTTTTATTGGTCCCATAGTAGCTAGTACATATAATATTTATTCAGTAAATTCACCAATTCACTTATTTTAAAAACATATACTTAAAAAATATATTTATACATTTAAAAAATGTGTGTGTGTTTGTGTAACTAAGAAACTATCGAAGGTACTTGGAGGAAGATGAAGTAAGTGGAAGATGAACTGTTATGAATTCAATGTTTGTGTTCCTCCCCCCCGCTACACCAAAATTCATATGTTAAAGCCCTAACCTCCAAGGTGATGACATTTGGAGGTGGGGCCTTTGGGAGATAATTAGGTTTAAATGAAGTCATGAGGGCAGGGCCCCCATGATGGGATTTGTACCCTTATAAGAAGAGGAAGGGAACCAGAGCACTCTTTCTCTCTGCCATGTGGGGACACAGAGAGGAGGCAGCCATCTACAAGACAAGAAGAGGGCCCTCCCCAAGGAACCACATGTGCTGGCACTTTGATCTTGGACCTCTCAGCCTCCAGAACTATGAGAAATAAACTTCTGCTGTTTGAGTCCCCCAGTCTATGGTGTTCTGTTACTACCTGAGCAGCCTAAGCACACTAACATATGAATCATTCATAAGTCTTGGCATAAAAGTCAAGTCAACTAAAAGCACATAAGACAGGCACAGCTATAACTGAAATGTAATTTTTAAAACTATAAATGCCACTGACGAGATATAAATAATATGCCAAGGAGACCAAGAGATAAATAACTTTCCACTGAGAGAATCAAGAAGGTGGAACTCATTGGTGGCATTTGAAGGAAGATCAAATGGAGGTAGCATCTGAATGGACCTTGAAGGGAAGAGGATTTCAGAGGGAGAGCAGAGGGGCCAAGGCAAGAGTGAGAGGAAGCAAAAAGCAATGGGGAAACTGCAACAGCATGTCAGGTAGAAGAGCACGAAATGAGGCTGCAAACACTCACAGTTAGACGAAGGGACTGCATTGGGTTTATCATATCAACCAGCCCCAGGGATTCACCAGGCATTGAGAAATAAGAGCTCTTTGAGGTGGCCACAGATTAGAGAGCTGAACTCTAACATATAACAGTCAACTCATCTAATGGAACTTCCATTTCTTGGTGGAATTTTGGAGACACCAAAATACACAGAACCATTCTGTAAGGCACACCATGGCATGTGGGCCCTGCTTGCTGCTCCCTGAAAATCAGAGTACTAGCAGATTGGGATGACAGTAAAGGCAGCAGAGGCAAGGCTAAGAGAACATGTCCAGGTTCCTTCCTTACCATGTTCCTCTGGGCACTTGCCATTCTAAGCACCAGGAAATTATACCCATCATGCACTAGACTCAGTCCCTCATACTTTAATGGCCAGGGCATAAGAGCAGAGATTATCAAACTTCACTGAATTACCTCCAGACCTCGTTAAAAATTCAGATTCCCAGCCGGCCATCTTAACTGCAGACCTTGTTAAAAATGAAGATTCCTGGCCTTACCAACAATCTGCACATTTAACAAACATCCCCAGTTACTTTGTATCATGTTGTATTATATATTAGGTTGACTACATAATGTCATATATTATGTTGACTACATAATTTATCATTCAAGCCAGGATCCATTTGAGAGTACACAAGTGTACAACCAATAAATATACCTGGACAACAGGTATAAAATGGGACTATCCTAGGCAAACCTGAACAGGGTCATCCTCCATAAGAACCACTTTGCAAAATACTATTACAGAGGAAGGTCAATTAAGCAGAACCACCAAAGAACACTAGCAAAGAAGACAGCGTTCTTTACAAAGAAAGGAGAAAAAGGGAAGGCCAACAGAAGATGTCATTTCTGGACATCTGGTTTACCTTGTATCCCCAAGAGAATTTTTAAGCTAATACAGAGGTACCTGCTTCAAACCTCATCTTCCAGTCTTTACTGTTGAAATTGCCATTTATGATTGTCCAGAAGATGTCAGCACCATGAGGAAGTGACAAAGCATGGAGAAGCAGAGGAACTGCCAATGAAGACAGTTGGGAGAACTCAGATTTGACGACTCTCCACAGGCTGAGGAAACAAGAAGAAGCAAAGTGGTCACAGTTATGATAATGTTTCTAGAAAACAAATATGAGGGCGCCTGGATGGCTCAGTCCGTTAAGCCTTCAACTTTGGCTCAGGTCATGATCTCATGGTTTGTGAGTTCGAGCCCCGTACTGGGCTCTGTGCTGACAGCATAGAGCCTGCCTGGATCCACTGTCTCCTTCTCGCTGCTCCTCCCCCACTCACACACTTGCCATCTTTCTCTTTCTCTCTCTCTCTCAAAAATAAATAAACTTTTGGGGTGCCTGGGTGGCTTAGTCGGTTAAGCGTCCGACTTTTGCTTAGGTCATGAACTCGCGGTTCGTGGGTTCGAGCCCCGCGTTGGGCTCTGTGCTGACAGCTCGGAGCCTGGAGCCTGTTTCAGAGTCTGTATCTCCCTCTCTCTCTGACCCTCCCCTGCTCATGCTGTCTCTCTCTCTCCTAGAAATAAATAAAAATATTTAAAATAAATAAATAAACTTTTAAAAAAGGAAACAAATGCAATTATCTTAGTTTATGGGAAATGTCATTAACAGGCAGCTGGTAGGAATGCTTTTGGCGAAATTACACTCATCCACAAGACTATAAACCTCTGGTAAACTTTTCCTATGCTCTCTTCTGTTCATTTTTTAAAAGAGATTACTTTTATGTAACAATGTAGGAAAATACCTCTTAATATTACATATTAACATAAAAATTTTAAATTGTATATTAGAAATCAGATATATAAATGAGCATTGACTTAAATAATATACAAAATTGACATTAGTTCTGGGGGTGAAAAGTGATTTTTAGAAAAATTTTCTTATAGTGAACATCGGGGGAGTTTTGTCAGTTTTGCCTGCCCAGCAGCCTTTTCCTTTTTATTCTAGCAAAGAACAACTCTTTTTCTGTTAAGAACAGGCTCTCCACCCACTAGCAGGACTGTCAGGCAAGGTTTCCCCCTTCCTTAATCATTAAGAGTGAACACAAAACCAAGGAAGATCAAAGTAGTTGAAGGAAGGAAACCATATACTAGAACTGACAGAAAAACATCTCAGTGATACCAAAAAGCCTGGATTTCACCAGTCCCACATGGCCTTCCCAGTTCTCTAGGGCAGCCTTGTTTGAAATAAAAAAAAATAATGTCCTTCTCCAGGCCCCATCATTGTCCATCATGGCTTTTGTGTCAGGGTGGTATCTTGAGGAAAAACCTTGGCTATGCAGCCCAGAGACCAAGGCAGAGACCCCACAGCACCACAATCCATTTGGCCTGGGTAAAGGGCCTGTAAGAGGCTGCTTTAACAGCAAAAGTTGGCCCACTTAGGATTGCCACTCCCGCAGAATGCACAGAGCTTCTGTCTAACTCCCCCTGACCCTGCTCCTTCACGGCTCTTGCCTGGACTTGCTCATCCTTCTGTCCAGATCAGTCCTAGTCTTCCCCATATCCACATCAGCCAGGTCTACCCTTCCACCAGCTTGTCCCATTATACCTGTAGAATCCCATTTTATCATGAGGAAACTTTTTTCCCCTTAAATAGTTTATTGTCAAGTTGGTTTACATGTAACACCCAGTGCTCATCCCCACAAGAGCCCTCCTCCATGCCCATGTCCCCCCTTCCCCTCTCCCTCCACCCCCATCAGCCTTCAGTTTGTTCTCAGCATTCAAGAGTCTCTCATGGTTTGCCTCCCTCCCTCTCCCCAACTATTTTTCCCTTTCTTCTCCCACATGGTCCTCCGTTAACTTCCTCCTAATCCACCTATATTTGCAAACATATGGTATTTGTCCTTCTCTGCCTGACTTATTTTGCTCAGCATAACACCCTGTAGTTCTATCCATGTTGCTACAAATCATGAGGAAACTTCTAGACACCCTCCACCTTTCCCGTTGTATGCCTCTGTACTGGGTCGAACCATAGTCCCACCCAAAATATTCCTAATCTTGACTAAGACTTCCTTTCCCTCTCTTCCATACTCTTCTCCCAAACATCAGTCCTCTGATTTCATCTGTCTTCCCATCTTAGACTGGATTCCAGAGTCAACCATTTCCTTACTGTAAAATTCCTTGTCTCCCTGGACTTCCACCATAATCAAATCATGAATCCCCACTCCTAAATAAATCCACATTGCCTCCTTTTCTCATCCACTCTCAAAACCCAGAGCTAAACTTAGTCCTACCAGTTCCTGCTAACTTGATCCATCATGAATTGGTGCTAGTTAACTTCATCTTGACCCTGAAGCTGGTCATTCTTAGATTACTTCTGGTTGACACTCTACTGCTTTTTTCTATGAGTTATTCCATACTTTTTTCCATGTTTCTTGAGCTCCCAGCCTAATCTCTATCCTCCTCCCTCTCAGAAAAAGACATCAGTACACACTGTTCTTAAGGATCAGTAATGAGCTCCCTTTGACACTTTATTTCTCTTTTCCTTAAAATATATCTCCTTACAAAGAAAAGAGCATCGCTCCTCTCTTCCACCTACCCTTTGTTCTTGATCGCATATTCTTGCCTTCCAGGACCTAGCTCTACCAACTACTCCCTTTCCTCTTAGCCATTCTACTAACAATAAATATTTTCAGATCTTTACCCTAAACATCCTTGACATCTACTCCTTTTCCCCTCCAAATACCTGATCTCTCTCTTCCTTTTCTGATAAAATTTTCAGAAGAAAGTTCTGTATTATATCTTTACATTACCAAAGCGTTTGCAACACGCTCTTTGCACTCCCTTAAATGTGGGTGGTGCCTAAGGATCCCTCTTTCTCCACACTCAAGCTATTACAGTACAACTCTGACCCTGTTACTGCTTTAAGATCTTCCATTGATCGCCAAACATCATAAAATGAAGTCCCTATCTTCAAGGCCCTTCACACTCATGTCCCAACCTACTTCTCCAGCTTTATTTTGCATTACTCCCAAAACACCACACCATGCAGCACAAAATAAAACCTTGGTACCACCTAAGTATGCACTACTCACTTCTTGTCCCTTCTAACTCTGCCATCTTTCCTCTTTTTTAAAAAAAAATTTTAATGTTTATTTTTGAGAGAGAGAGAGACTGGGTGTGAGTGGGGAGCGGCAGACACAGAATCCAAAGCAGGCTCCAGGATCTGAGCTATCAGCACAGAGCCCGACCCAGGGCTCGAACTCACAGAGTGAGAGATCATGCTCTGAGCCAAAGTCGGATGCTCAACCAATTGAGCCACCCAGGCATCCCCATCTTTACTCTTGGGCAGGATACAAAATGTCCTGCCCATCTCACATCTCTACCTGTTAAAATTTTATCATCTTCTCAATGCCCATCCATATGGTATCTGTTCCTGAACCCTTCTCTAGTCATCCAGAAATGATCTCTCCCACCCCTGAACTATCCAAATAGTCATCCATCATACATCCCTTTGATTAACAATGACTCACATATACACAGGGTGACCATGTATCTCAGTTTATCCCAGATCTTAGTCTACTTTATACTTATTGTTTGAGGTCATTATGAACTCACCCCTTCTTCACTCACAAAAGGAGACCAATGTGAAGAATAAATTATGTGGTCACCTTTTGTAAAAATAGAATTCATCCCCTTCCAAACTATACTAGGCAAATTAACTAAGTGCCTAGAAGAAGAACATATATTGTAAGTCCCTAATAATATCTGTGGAATGAATGACTCAATAAATGATCAGAATGAACGAAGACAGAGCCTCAAGTTGGTTTTGTCACCAAGTTAACCTAAGCCAACCTTTTCTTTTTTCTTACACCATCTCATTCTCTTACATATAAATGAGGATAATATTTTTCCGACTTCCTTCCAGGAGGACTAAAACAGTTACTTTAAGGTTCTCAGGAAGAAAAACTCTATATATACCCAGAACAATATTTCATTATTTTTCTCAAAATGCTCCAACAGTCTCTAAAAATTACCTTATCAGACAATATGTGGAGAAATTTCTGATGTCTATTAGTGTTTCTATTTCAAGTTAGAAACTGAGTAAATCTTTAGTATAAATGTTATACTAGATAATACTATGTACATAGTACTTTAGCACATGTTGATATTTTTCTTTTTTTTTTATGTTTTTATTTTTTTTTATTTTTATTTTTTTTTACAAATAGTTTATTGTCAAATTAGTTTCTACATAACACTCAGTGCTCATCCCCAAAGTGCCCTCCTTCATGCCCATCCCCCCCTTCCCCCCACATCCATCAGTCCTCAGTTTTTGTCAGCATTCAAGAGTCTCTCATGGTTTGCCTCTCTCCCTTTCCCCCACCATTTCCGCCCTTCTTCTCCCCCTTGGTCCTCCGTCAAGTTCCTCCTAATTCTCCTATACGTGCAAACATATGGTATTTGTCCTTCTCTGCCTGACTTATTTCGCTCAGCATAACACCCTCAAGGTCCATCCACGTTGCTACACATGGCCAGATTTCATTGTTTCTCATTGCCATGTTGTATTCCATGGTATAGATAAACCACATCTTCTTGATCCATTCGTCTGTTGATGGACACTTAGGTTCTTTCCATGTTTTAGCTATTGTGGAGAGTGCTGCTATGAACATTGGGGTACATGTGCTCCTATGCCTCAGCATTTCTGTATCCCTTGGGTAAATTCCTAGCAGTGCTATTGCTGGGTCATAAGGGAGTTCTATTGTTAGTTTCCTGAGGAACCTCCACACTGTTTTCCAGAGGGGCTGTACCAGTTTACATTCCCACCAACAGTGCAGGAGGGTGCCCGTTTCTCCACATCCTCGCCAGCATCTGGCGAGGATGTTGATATTTTTCTAAGGGACACTATATTCTTTTCCTTTTTTCTTTTTCTAATGTTTATTTATTCTTGAGAGAGAGACAGAGACAGAGCATGAGTTGGGTAGGGGCAGACAGAGAGGGAGACACAGAATTCAAAGCAGCCTCCAGGCTCTGAGCTGTCAGCACAGAGCCCAATGAGGGGCTCACACTCATGAACCATGAGATCATGACCTGAGCTGAAGTCGGACACTTAACCACCTGAGCTACCAGGTACCCCAGAGGACACTATATTCTTAAGCCATCCAACAACTGATTATTAACTATTCCTTTTTTTGTCTTTTTTATTTCTAAAGAATCTAGTGAACAAAATTACTATTCCCCATGTTTACATCCTTAAAAATCAGATTCAATAAAAGAAATAAAAGTTATAGCCATAAGAAAATAAAAACAAAGAATATTCAGTCCCTATTAGCAGAAGACAGAAAAAATTAAAGCAAAATGATATTGATCAGTAACTATCCATTAATGATTGATCAACTGTTTGATAATTGATTTACTGATTAGTTTTATTATATTTAAAAACAGACAAAGGTTTATTAAGCAAACATAAGGCAGTACATATAATATGTTTTTATTGTTTTTATTTTTTTACAGTTTATTTATTTTGAGAGAGACAGCACAAGTGTGGGACGGGCAAACAGAGAGGAGGAGAGGGAGAATCCCAAGCAGGCTCTGCACTGAGCACAGAGCACAACATGGGGCTCGAACTCACGAAACTGTGAGATCACGACCTGAGCCAAAACAAAGAGTTGGCTGCTCAACCAACTGAGCCACCCAGGTGCCCCTACAATATGTTTTTAAAAGTTAATAAAAATGAACTAATTAAACCCACAATGTGAGTAAAATAACAAAAACTCAGAGTTTCCTAAACTCTTGCTATAATCAGAAAATATAATGAGTGGAACAAATATGGCTTGTAGTAACACTAAAATGTCTTTCTGAAAAAGAACAAATAAAAAGGTAGAATGAAAATAATAAAAAATTGTTGAGGAAAATAAAAGAGGACTTGAATAGAAGTCTTATAATTTTTTAGAGGATAATTAATCTATAGATTTACTTCAAATTTCATCGAAGTCCAAATAAGATTTGAAATTTTTAAAAAATCTAAAATCTTTTAAGAAAAACAGACACTGGAGAAAAGCAAAGATAATTATAAGACTAACAGGACTGCAATAAAAATAGAATAAATGATATACCGAAATTTTTTTAAAAAGACATTCCCATAGGCAATTGGGATTGACTGGCTATCAGCGGCTCCCAAAAGTGACCCAAAGGAGTTGATAAGACTTGTCTTAACTTTGGTTTTCACGGCTAAGGCCTAACATGGAAACAAACAAACAAACAAACAGGAAAACATACCTTGCAATCAACATATGATCCTGAATATAGGCTAAAAATTGAGGATGGTGTTTTCTAGCGATGTATAAACACTCTCCATGTAGACAGAGAATCTTCAGGCAATTGAGCATATTAAAAAGAATGTCTGGCTCTTCAAACTTAGCCATTTCCTATGCAAAGAACCACATGGTTACTGGGTTACCCTAAATAGCAATGCCACCAAAGCAAACCCTTAAATATCTCAAAAAATCTCAAAAAACATACCTGGAAAATGGTGTATATTAGTCTCAAAGTTACTGGAAGCTGTTGGTAGCAAAACTTTCTCTCAGTGTCATTCTTTATTGCTGTGAAGAAGTCATTACACAAAGGTTAGCATATCTTTTCCTTTCCCCACCACTCATGACCTGATCAAGACCATAAAACCAAGAGGAGTGGAAAAATATATACAATATATTAAAAGGCATGTTGTGTAATGCTTTTATTGGCTCTCCAAGTAAGCATATATCCCTTCTATGATGCAAGTGCAAGAAAGCTTCTAGATTCAGGGTTCTCAGCTTCCCTTTTCCACTGGAGCCCACCATATATTCAGATGTCATTCATTCCCCTAAGTCACCCCAGCCTGGTTCTATGCTCCCATGGGCAGAGAGTTCAGCTGCTACCTGGAGGGGCCCGGCGTCTGACTAGGTGTGCATTCCTTATTGAAAGGGAAATAAGAAGGTATTAAAGAGAGGTATTCAGGTTGTATTGGCACGTAAGGAGGAATTTATCCCACGGACTCATGCCAAAGGGAGTGTCTTAAAGAAGTTAGGCATATTCAAATCAGAACAACTACTCATGGTTTTATCTTCCTGCGAGTCTAATACCTTTGCTCCCACGGTGGGAATGGTGGGCTATGGTACATAAGGCACACTAGAGAGAAGAATTCACAAGTTAGCCAGAAAACTAGTATAAAATGTTTTCAAATCATTATTCTAAGTTTTGGCAATTTCCTGAACCAGAGACAACAGGAATCAAACTCTCTTAGCATATATACTAAATAGTTCATTAGCGATCTTGCACCTTAATGTTATTTTTAATATCTTTTTTTTTTAGAGAGAGAGAGAGAGAGCATGTGAGCAGGGAAGAGGGGCAGAAGGAGACAGAGATAACCTTCAAGCAAGTTATTGGATCATAAGTGAAATCCTTGCTTCCTTTCGGCCCTGGAGCACAGAAGCTGCATGAGCTCGAGTTCCTTTGGCTGTATCCCAAAACCCTCTGCTTTGGCCAAATAACCTATGTGGCTGCCAAGGGTGCCAGAACCCTCCGTTCTGGTCGTTCAGCCTTGGTTCAGAGCTACTTCTCCGAGAACATGATACACCGGAAGCAGGAAAGTGATGCTAACATGGCAGGCAGGGTTTTGTTGATAAGAAACACGTGCTGCCAGAAAGATGCTCAGTGACCGTGGCTCTGCTAGAAGCACGTCCTGGATCTGTTCACTTCATGAAGGGAAATGGTTCATTGGCACCAGTCTCTGCTAGGGACGCCGAGCCTGAACCTGCCCAAGTCAAGAGTAATCTAAAGAACCAGGGTTCTGAACGTGAGGCCTGTGCAAACTGGGCTTTGCCAGAGTTCACCTACCAGTGTGCTCCGTGGGCTCAGCGCGACTGCCCGGGTTCTCCCCATGCTTGGTTGCTGGATTCTCCTCCTCCTCACCTTCAGGGCCTATAATAAACTCTGGTCTGGAAGAAAGAAGGCTATCCTCAAGGCTGTCTGTGGGCTCCTGAAACAAATACAACAAGCAGCCGGGTGAGCAGCCTGTTGGGGGTGTAAAGAATGGTTTTGCTCAGTTCAGTAAAGATCGAGTGAGTGCCTGCTGTGTCCCAGCCCTGTCCTGAGCCCCAAAGGGTGAAGGCACCTGCCTCAGAAGAAACGTGAGTTTCTTTCCACAATAATTAAAGGAGATTTGGATCAGCTGTTACCAAAACATTTTCATCCTCTTGAAATAAATACGGAAAAATCTCAAAGACATTGCTAAATCAGCCTAGGTCGGCTTTCCCTATGAGCCTGTCTCACTCACCAAGTGATTCCAATCCGTGTACATTTTGTTCAATGATGGTACTTAATTAGTAGGGAATAATAAAGGGTTCACAGCAGTATATTAAGATACAAACTGGTTGTCCGGAGAAGCCAAATTTTAAGGAGCAAGAAACTGCTATAACCATGAGTTAAAGAGAGTTAGGTATGGCAACCCAAGTGTTCATCAACAGACGGACAGATAGACAAAATGTGTTATATACATACAGTTTAACATTAGACAGCCTTACAAAGAAAGGAAGTCTGATACATGCTACAACATGAATGAACCCTTAGGACACTGTGCTAGGTGAAATAAGCTAATCACGAAAAGGACAATTATCACATGGTTCTAGATATAGGAGGTCTCTACAGTTAAGTTAAACTCAGAGAAACAGAAAAATAAAAGGTGGTTTTCAGGGGCTAAGGGGAGGGGGTTGACAGAATTACTGTTTAGGGGGTATGGAATTTCAGCTTTGCAAGATGAAAACATTGTGGAGATTGGCTGCACATGTACGTGAATATACTGAATACAATATATTTATAGATAATATATGTCATATATAATGTATATGCATAAAACAAGCTGCAAGTACAGGTGAAATTGGAAAGATTGAGAGAGAGCACTACTATGGCTGCCACTTAAAACAACCATCTCCAACTATCCTCTTATTCCAGCCCTTTCCTTTCCTTTAAGTCCCACTTCAAATATCCTCATTTCAAATCATACTCTTTTGGCTAACACTTTAACCGATACACATTTTCTCAAGAATTATTTGACAGCCAGCTCTATGCCAGGAGATCAAGACAGATGAAGTGCCAGGCCATCCGCAAGAAAACGAGCACAATGGCTGGGAGGGCCCTGAAGAATATCTCTGCCAACTTTCACAGTTTTGACCTTGTCCCTAGGTCACCCAAGAGCAAGGTACTAAATCAAATTATAAAGTGAACTTCATGAACTTCGATACAGTAAAGACTTTCCTGCTACTTACTGACTCCTCGACATTCACCTCAAAACCCATGCATCCGGAATCATCCTGCTGGTGACAGGGACTGGTGATGTCCATCTTGCATACTAGCTAAAGCCTCCTGCTAACCCCTCCCCCACATCGTCACCCTCTTATCCCCTGCCTGTCCCAGGAAGAGAACTAAAGAGTGAAGAGGGCTGATATGCGTAGTGAAGACTATGCATTCTAAGGCATAGGCCTCTTTTATTGATGAGCATCTCTCCCATAAAAGTCTGAGAGAGGAGAATAGAATCCTTTGGCTTCACCTCCAAATTTGTTATTTTCAGCACATGACGAATGTCAACAGCATCATTCACGTGGGAGATTGTTTGGATGGCTCAGTTCCTCCATACTTCTGCTTACTACTCATTTCCTGGGATGGTGCTGGGGCAATGGACACAATACAGACAGTCTGCTGGGGACAGGGTAGGACTTGGGACATCTGCCTCCATCACGTTCATTCTCTCATTTTCTCCCTGCAAGAGAAGTCTCTACTTCATGTAGCCACATCCTCAGCTGATTCTGTTCTTAAACACACACTACTGGAATTCATGGTTACTCCCATCCCCGAGCGTATAGAGGACCCTCAATCTCAGAATCCCTTGGGCACATTCAATCCTTTATTTTTCTTCTCTTCTCTTCCTGTGATCGACCATTCCCTCTTTTTGAAACTGCCTCCTACCTTGGTTTGGAGTTCTTGTTCTCCCTTGGTCTTTCGCCTGTGTCTCTGGCACCTTCTCAATTTATTTCTGATCTTCAATTCTCCTGTTTTCCCTTTTAACAGTTGGTATTTCCCAGAATGCTAGCTGCAGCTCTTTCCTCATTCTATGCATCCCAGCACAATATGCCGGTAGCTCTAAACTTTTATCTACCTACTTCTGACCTCCCTCCTAAAACCCAGATCCACATACCTGCTGGTCATGAAAACCCCACCAGGGTATCTGAAGGCATCCCAGTCCACTATGTCTGAATGTGCCTGCATCATGTCCACTCTGGCCAAAAAGATCACTTCTACACCAGTAATAATCTTCTATAAATGGCAATGTTACCAGCTCCCAAGCCAGAAAACATGGGTTTGTCCTCAACTTTTCCATATTTCAATGCCAACAAAACACCAAGCACTGCTGATTCTCTTTCCTAAAAATCCACCAGGCCTGCCCCTTCTCTTATCCCCACCACAATTACTTTAATTCAGACCTGTCCATTTCCCCCCTGAGTGACCACATTAGCCTTCTGGCTAGATACCTGTCCCCAGAGTCCAAATCCTCTAATCCTGCTCCTCCAATGGTAGGATGAATTTCTCAAATTCATCACATTGTGTCACCACCCTGATTAAATTCTTCAGGAGTCACCCATTCACCAAGACAAAACCCAAACTCCTTAGTTTGGCAGACAGAGCCCTTAATGAATGCGAAAATAAGACCGAGTCCATCTTGCTTGACTCAGCTTTCATTCACTACTTTCCCATCCTGCTCACTGTTCTAGCAACACTCAACTGCTTGCAGTTTCCTGAATGCACCATTCCCTACTTTCCTCTGTATCATTAAAACATAGAGTGTTCTGAGTCTCAAAACTTCTTCTCCCCTACCACCTTCCTTTCATCAACTCCACTCCTTTCAAATAGGAACCCAGGAGCTCTCTCCTCCCTATCACACCTCCAGGCTGGATCTGCAGACCTTTCTCTGCCCCTATAGTCCCCTTGTTCAGACCTCACCCATCACAATCATCACTATGTCTAATGGTTTTTTCATTTACTTAAATACCTCCTTGATTAGACTCTAAGCTTCTTGATTTTAATTTGTTTTTTTCTTAAGTTTATTTTATTTCTTTTTGAGAGAGAGAGAGAGAGCACAGGAAGGGGAGGGGCAGAGAGAGAGGGACTGTCGGCATGAAACTCGGTATGGGGCTTGAACTCATGAACCATGAGATCATGACTTGAGCTGAAATCAAGAGTCAGACACTTAACCGACTGAGCCACCCAGATGCCCCAATTTTAATTTGTTTTTTACATCATCTAGAACTGTGACTGTTTATTTGGTTAAATACCCAATGACAATGTTGAAAGACCATACTACAGGGATGTTATTTTGCAACATGTAGGACAAACAAGTTCAGTAGGTGGACAGGTATTTAAAAACTGTAGAAAAAATTTACTGCATGTATGTTACACCTCAAAAAGATTTTTTTAAGAAGTCGCTTTCTACTTAAATATTAGTAGCAAGGAAAAAAAAGAGAAGACAGCAAACAAAACCCCGAATAATAGATTCATCTACCTTTGATGGTGTGAGGGTATTTTGGAGATATGTGTCTTAAATGAAAACTGGCTAAACAGTAAATAACTAATGTATGGAGTAGCTAATGCGTGGCATATATTAGTTTTTTCTTACTGAAACAATTTTCTTGGAAAGTAGGAAATGAAATGAAGTATTTATCGGCTGTTGATGAAGTCAATGGGTTTTCCAAACCAGGGTTACCTACCTAGGAATTCTCAATACCCATATCCATTCTATGGCCTTGATATTTGGTATATATTTTGTAGGTTTCATTGTTATCTGAACTTTATAATAGAAGTTATTTCAAGAATACCAGTAATGCTTTGTATTTATGACAGTTGTATGAATGGATGTGCCACAACCTTAACTCAAGACTCAAGAATTCTGTATGATATAGCTCCAGCTCATATCCCTTTCTAGGAGCATAAGTTGGTGGGAGAAACAGGAAAATGTTTCTTTTACCACAGTCTCACACGTAACCCAGCATGGAGCATAATGTGATATTGAAAGAAGACCCCATTATACCTGCTTCTATAGTCATTATCACTATCAGATATGGGCCATCTCATTACTTTAACTTCTTACCACCAGCCGGCTTTCTTCTTTAGGAGCCAGTCTCTCCAACAGTTCACAAGCAAGCTGATAGCAGAGAATACTAGACTGACATAAGTTACACTCAATTGCCTTTTCTTCCTTCTGGCAGGTATGGGAGCCCCCCCAGGGGGCTTGGAAGACATTGTTTATAATGGAAATAATGTCCTTTGATAAGCTGTGCTCTAAACCCATGGTGATCCCATCATCTTGTAACTCCATCTGAAAGACATCAAAATAAAGGCCAAAAAAAAAAAAAAAAAAAAAAAAAAAAAAAAAAAAAAAGNAAAAAAAAAAAAAAAAAAAAAAAAAAAAAAAAAAAAAAAAAAAAAAAAAAAAAAAAAAAAAAAAAAAAAAAAAAAAAAAAAAAGAGAGAGAGAGAAAAGAGAGAAAGAAAGAAAGAAAGAAAAAGAAAAAAGAAAAAAGAAGGAATTTGGTCCTTTTATCCAATATTCCACTGGCATACTAATTGGGGATAAAATTTACTAACAACAATATTAAGTTATTTAAAGATGATAAGGATTATAGACCATGAATACATATTGTTTTCCATGGATTCTTCTAAAAAGACTCTAAACAGAAGACAAACAATGGGAATTATTTTTAAAATCATGTAGGACATTTTAAAAAGTTGTTTTTTAAACTTATCACTTTGTGAAATTTTACACATTTAAAAAATGCTGCTCCTCACCTAATGTCCAGATCTTGGTTTCTAAATACCATTATCCATTATCCACTAAGAGGAACCAGGGCTCCTTGGAGAAATGGCTGATTTCAAGGTTGGGGCTAGGAAAATATAAAATGTGCCTGGAACATCTTGTTATGCCAGAAATTAAGGAAGTGTTCAAGGAATGATTGGGATATGTCAAAAGAACACAGGAGCCAGCCTGAAGGGACTCCCACTGATCAAATACAGGACAATATGAACATCAAAATAAATAATCATAGTAACAGATTTTAACTCACTGAATGAAATAAGAATTCATGTGTACGTGCAGGTATAAGATGAACAAATAAATATAGAAATGGGAGAGAAGAGAAACTGTTTCTTCAGTAGAATGCCAGCTAATAAATTAAAAGAAATGATAAAATTAGAAAATTATCATTTGGTAACCATCATAGTAATAATTGATCCAGGCATGAATCAGCCCTGGATGCTAAAACTATTAGGTGAAAGTCTGATGAGAAACAGAAAATCTCAGCCTGCAAGTTACTTACTAATTACAAAGGGGAAAACAGTGACTTTGGAGTAGAGAAATTTAGTAGAAATCACGTTCCCAAGTTATCACCACCAGGTAAGGCAACATTATCGTGTCATGTGCCTCCTAATATGATGCATTGAAAAGGATATAACATCACACTAGCAGTGTTACTGCCAAAAAATGCTTAACCCAAATAGATTCATAAAGAAACATCAGATAAACTCAAATTGAGGGACATTCTACAAAATAACTGGCCCGTACTCCTCAAAAATATCAAGAACATGAAAGATGAACAAAGATTGAAGGACTACTCTGGATTAAAGAAGACTAAGGAGACAGGACAAATATTTGCAAGGAGTGATGCTGGGTTGTGTCCTGGATCAAAAACACTTTTTTTCTTTTGCTATAAAGATATAATCATTACATCAATTTAAAAAATGATTAATTTCTGTGGGTCAGATAATAGATAATAGTATTATAACAATATTAATTTCCTAATTTTGATTGATTTCCTTATTTTGTACTTGGTTATATAAGAGAATGTCCTTATTTTTTAGGAAATACATTCTGAAGTGTTTAAGGATAAAGGGACACCATATTTGCAACTTACCCTCATATGGTTTATTTAAAAATTCTATAATACATACATACATATACAGATTAAGAGAGTGATAGAAATAAATGTGATAAATGTTAACACCTGGAGAATCTGGGGGAGGAGTATTTGGGAATTCTTTGTGCTATTCTCGCAACTTTTCTGCAAGCCTGAAATTACTTCAAAATAAAAAGTTAAGAAGAAATGCTCTCCTGGCCAGACTTTTAAACTTCTCTTTTGAAATTACCTACAAAAATCAATTTCTGGAATGTATTTAAATCAGCCCATCACCACAGAGTTGTATCTTGCTCTTTCCAACAATAGCATTACTCAGTTCACCAAATTTGTTCAACAGAATCCAGTCTAATGATGCTAGAGGGTTTCTAAAATTTATATCCATTCTCATATGTCAACATCATTGCAGATATTCATACAAGTATTTTTCACATTCTAGGGAATCCCAGAAAGGGGGTTGTAAAATGTCTTGAGTGATGTTGCATCATTTCGGCAAGTATGAAGATGTCACACACATAGCAAGAATCACTATACAATGCTTTCCCTTACTCTTCACCTCTGAACTAAAGGAAGCTCATGCTTCAGCTACCTGCTTCAGGAGAAGATCAAACATGAGGATGAAACAATTTAGATTCATTTCATCATCTTCACAATCAAAGTCAATAGTCCTTCCTCCTGGGTGTCCAAAATTCTTGAAAGGGCTACGAAATGGACTACGCATAGGACTCCGAAATGGACTCTGAAAAGGACTATGAAATGGACTCAGCATATTGTGCTGAACTCGTCGGCCAGGATCAGAGGCGACACTCACCTAGAAGAAAGAACATCAACACACATAAGTGAACTCATAGAAGCTAAAATGGCTATATGAAATATCTAGGGGCTCATGGAAGGTATTTCCAGCTGTCACACTGATTCCCTTCCTTAGTCAATAGCATTAGTACTTCCAAACACTATGGATCTTCTCAAAATATAAAAATAAGAAATAAAATCACCTGAACTTTGTGACTGATTGTCAGGTGAATGAAACATCAGCACCCTGAAAAATGAAGGCAGCTGTCTTTGCCATTATATTGTTCATCCCATCACACATTTCTGATTAAAGGAAATTGTTTTCATCAACCTAAAACCATAACCTGATATTGCAAGATCAGTTTTAGAATCACAAGCACTAAATCTCAGTTTAAGAAGACTGATTAAAGAACAATGACATCTGAATATTATAATTATCAAGCTAACATGGGAAAACAATATATGTCAAATCTGTTGTATTGGTTATTCTCCATTTGCCTACCCAAGCCCCTCACTGCTGTCTTCTGCCCTGCTATGTGCCCAAGGATGCCAAGAACAGAGTCTCTCCCAACTTTCATGCCAGCTGGCTTCCAGCTGGGTTAGTCAATGGGAGATGCCAGCAGAAGCCCTGAAGCTGAAGGAGAGAGAGGTAGTAGTGTTATCACCCACTCCCTGCCTGCTTTGATGCTACATCTCTGGTGATCTCTCCATTACTCTTCCAGCCAGCCCTTCCTTAAAATTTCAGCTCTCAGTGGGCTCAGGGAACCCTTTTCCTTGTTCCTTCACCTTTAGGGGTCTAATGGCTTCCTACTGAGCTGTTGCTGGAGTTTAGGTGCCTCACCAACCCTTACTGCTCCCTTAACTTTCCCCATAACTCTATAGGCAGAGTCTCCATGAAAGTCTCTTCACTTGAACCATCAAGGATAAATTCTGTACCAGGACCTTGACTGACGTACCTGTATATCACTCTGAAATCATATTTTCTCTCCTAAAGATCCAATAACCAGAAAGTTCCTTGAACACCATATTTAAACTAAAGAAAAAGAGTACCCCATTAAGAACCAGAATACCTGGATATTGATAGTGTTATCAATGGCAAATCACGTCAGCTCACTGAACCTCAGGCTAAGTATTTGTAAAATGAGGACAATGAGCTCTTCTCCAACTGTCTCACACAATTCTGTGTTATGGTTCACTGTGAATATATTGCACAGTATAAGGCACCAACTAAGTTATCTCATAATCAAAGGTTACAGAAGAAAAAAACAACATAAAAATGTTTGCCAGCTGGTTCTTAGGAGGCAGACAAGAAAAGTAGTGATGATTAAAAATCAAAAGAGAGCACTGAATACAAACTATGATCCCATGATTTTGACATATTTTCTAGTCCCTAGATACGAGGTAGAATGACAAACAGTAGGAAAACTGGTATGGAGAGGCTGACAAGGGAAAGTTGAGAACAGTCCCTGCCTACCATCACATTGAGAGTAAACCTCTCCAGAACTGATCCTGGTCTAGAAATGTCAGCATGTCAACAAAAGCTCTAACAGGTCCTCTACAGAAATATTATCAGAAATTCCCAATAGCTTTCCTATCCCTTGGACTAGACTATGTTGACTTTTCTCATTCACAAAAATACAAAGGGGCCCCAAAAATGGGCTCAGTTGGTCCACAGTGACAGCATCATTCCCAGCCACCATCAGATGACCACATCTTCTCAAAACATGATAGAACAAAACATCCAAACTCCTCATCCCCAAAGTGAAGCACCTATCTGCCTAGCAATGGGTAAAGAATTCTAATTCACCAGGAGACCTAAAGAAAAAAAAGAAAAAAAGAATAATAGCTCAGAGCTACTCTTTTTGCTTTCATCAAGGGTGTGAGATAGCTAATAGGTACTTGCAGGAGAAAAACTCAAAGGAAAATGAAAACTTAATAATTTATTGACCGTGGATTATACAGAACATATCTTAGATCAATGTTTTCTATTATTTCACGTACTTAAAAGACTAACAGAGTGAGATGGGATGAAAAAGCATTTTCAGAGAAGTTAACTATGATGCTACTTTTAGACCTAGTATAATTGACAAAATCTTAACAAGTAAGACAAAAACAGTTGTGGCAATAATTACCCTTCGAGCTGCAAGGTTCCCTGCCAGTTCACTGACTCTTGATTTTCTTTGATTTGCCAGTTCTTTAACAGAATTAACTCCATCAGAAAACATACTTATCAATAGTTGAAGTGGAACCATGATGTCTAACTCCGATAATACCTGGGGAAAAAAGGCATATATCCCCCAAAATATAAACTTTAAAACTCAAAAAAAAAAATGCATTTAACATTTTTTCCCCAAAGTGAACTACTGAACATAAGGATACTTAGCCTTATGTATATTCTGCCAGCACAGCCAACCTCAATTTTTCATATCAAAAAGTCAAAGTTATTATTGGACCTTCCATCTCCCCCACTCCCCACATCCCATAAACTGCCATGTTATTTCTACTAAAACTTCTAAGTATCTTTTGACACTGTCTCCTCTTTTCCATAGCGCTGCTAGTGCCTTATCCATCAGCTTCCTCCTGGACTAGTATAACCTGTGTGCAATCTTTCTCTAGTCCATCCTCCTTCTGATCTGACTGCACCCTCTGATCTTGGTTTCTGATGCAAGCTCAGCTATCCTCTGCCAAAATCAAGTGACTTCATCTGTAATGAATTTTTGGAAACAGATGCATCTTTCCATCAGACAGAGTTAATCCATTCCTCTTCTCTGCTTTCTTAGAATTTTATACATACATTTATTAAAGCGATAATAACTTTTCATTATATTTGACTGTTTGATACTGTCTCTCCCACTGTGAGCTCCCTGCAGAAAGGAAGTGTGAACCATCTCTTATCCCATTTTCATCCCTGTGCCAACTACGGTGCCTGGCACAGAGGAACTCTATAAATGTTTCCACAATTAATTAAGAAGTCAATTCCAATCACTATACTGTTCACTCTATTCTCCAAATGGTTAGACCAGTGGTTTAAAATCTCCTTCAATTGCAGCACCTTGTCTTCAACCCAGAACTCTGGGCAAGTCCAGTCCATAAAACATGCAGCTGTAATTGCTCTAGCCATGGTGGGTTTAGAGTCCTTTCTACTCACCCCTACTGAGCTCAGCCTAAAGGGCGTGTCTGAGTACCACACCTAGCCATCTATAGAAGAACAGGCTTACCTTAAAAGAGAAATTATCTTGCAGAGATCTACTTGGGGATGAAATGTTAAAATTCTGGGTCCAAAAGGTAACTTTTTAAAAAATGGTCCCTTTACTCTTTGTCAGTTGTGAAAAATACTGTTCCTCAGTTTAGAACCCAGAAAGGCATCTTGATGACTTGAAAGCCACCCTTCTATGACCCAGCAATGTATCTGCACCCATAACTGATCTAAACATTGACCCTGGCCTCCTTTTTTGAAACTAGCCAAACTTTTTGACAGACATTCAACTCAATTTAGTAAATTTTTAAGAACATTCATTAAATAAACACAAGGCACGTGCTAGATGCTGAGAGGAAAGGATGAAGGGAGGTACGAATTCAAAATGAAAACAGACCTGCCTGGTCCCTGAACTCCATGCATTTGCACTCAGGAGAAGAGACAAAAATGAACTCAATCTGAGGCTGAATAAAATTTACCCAAGGAGCCTGTATGAGTACTGGGAGAAGGAATAATGAATTCCGAAGGAAAAATGGGGGTGTGAGGGAAACTTCATAGATGAGATCATTTTTGAGTTGGGCTTTAAGGATAAGCTGGAGTTACAAATGTAGACTGGGGAGAAAGGCATTCCATTCTAAGTCAGCAGCTCTCAACTTTCCCAAGTAAAGCACCTATTTAATGCCAAAAGATTTATGAGAACCCCACAAGACAGCCTATTACACTTTTAGAATCTACTGATGGAAAACTACATAAGGACCAAAAGCTATTATGAATTCAGTAATAGTACTGCATAAATCTGTATTTTATTAACCATAACTATAGCCACATATATTTGAAATGTAGTTATTTATCTATGCAGTGAGTTATTAGTCTAGACAGTCCTCAGCAAACATGCAAATTTATGGACTCTGCAATAACTCCCCACTCTTCTACCCAGTGATCTAAAGTTCCCAGGCTAAGAACTATTGCCACAAACGACTAAAAGTACCATTTACTCACATGAAGCCACAGTAAAGCTTGTTCCTGCACAGAGGAAGGGTATCCTGTGAACCGACAACTAATAAAGCCAAACATTTCTTCCAATGAAAAAGGTAGAGGACAGAGCTCAATGTCAAACATTTTGCTGGAAAGCAGAGCAACGAAAGTAAATGACCAACGGACATATATTAGGGTTGAGTTGCATTTTTTAACTGTATCTTATCTGGGGAGCCAAACACTTTGGATCGGGCTGTGTTCTGAATGTTATTATCATGTTACATTTTACTATAATAGTTTATGTCATTAGAATAGATATAAAGAATTCATACTGTTGTTAATAATATTAATGTTTATATTCATATTAGGCTTAACAGAAAGAATTGCATTTCTAAGGAATTAGAGTTGCTCCCCAGCATCTAAAAACATTATCCCTTTGCACTCTCCCCATGTTAACCAAACCATAATTATATTTGAAGCTAAACAAACAATACGGTATGTGTATTATTCCACAAGAACAAAATCCTTTTTCAACAATTTCAGGTCACCTTAGCACAATTTACTGTAACGACTTCATTTTGCAGCTAAAAATTCCTCTATAGGGTTGTTAAAAAGTAAACAAGATTATATAAAATATTTAACACGGTTCCTGGCACACATTACATGCTCAATAAATGTCAGACATCATTAGACTTGTGGTGACTTCATTAAACTACTTACTCACCTTAATACTTCCCTGAATTCTTTTAACTGGTTATCTGGGACTTCTGTTCTGATGGCTTCCAGCCACTCGGGCATAATACACTCCCACACAGACTGACTGATCACATTGTAGGGGATCAGGCAGAGAATTCGGTTGAGACCTTCCTTCAACTGAGTCACTGTGCTGCAGGATTTATCCCAGTATCCACCAACCTGATGGCATTTCCACAGCCACAGGGGAAAAGAACGAAATGTACCTGTTAAGCTTATACTCTAAGGACTTCCTAAAGGAAATGGATACAGAGAAAGACTGAAATCCATTACATCTGAATCCTAGGCCAAGTATCTTCAGAGTGAGATTTGTAAGAATCTACAAAGCACCAGAAGACATTAATTACAAAAGAGAAACCATAGTTACAAACAGGTTCATATATTAATCACAGGCTGAATTTGAACTATTCTACTGCAGTCCAAATCATACATGAATTAAAATTCCAAAGATTTATTCCCAACAGGATGAGCACACAGCTGGAGCATTATTTCTGAAGTTTGACAAACCCATTACAAATATGTGTAGTTACACCTGTGCTTCAGAGGAATATAGATGTCTACTACTGTACACTTTGCATTGAATATTTTTCAGTGTGGAAAATAAAGTGGCAGAGAGTGCTATTTTTCTCTATGCTATATTGTGCCACAATTTTTCTCCTAAAAATGTTCTAGGGATGGATGAATTGATGAATTTAAAAAAACGTACTTTTTACTAAGTAAGATTGTATATTAATCTACGAGTGCAGAAAAGAATGAATTAAATTCGGGTTCCGTTTATAATTCCAATTTTATTTTTTCAATATTTATTGTTTGGAAGAGAGAGACTGAGTGCAAATGGAGGAGAGAGGAGGAGACACAGAATCTGAAGTGGGCTCCAGGCTCTGAGCTGTCAGCACAGAGCCCCACACAGAGCTCAAACCCACAAACTGTGAGATCATGACCTGAGCCACCCAGGCACCCCTAAATTCCAATTTTAGATGAAGATCTTATATTTTTATTATGTATGCCAAAGTAACAACAGCTCAACTGGCCCTGAATCTTTACCGGATAATACAAGAATTGTTGGAAACTACCCTTTTTTAAATGAATCCACCTTTAAACATTTAATTATTATCCTAGAATTCTAGGTTATTCAAAACAATTAAATCAATTCTATTTAAAGCTCAAATATCTATTTGGTATCATACTGTCCAAAATCCTAGATGATTGATTAGAAATTTGCAGGAAGTGACTACATTTCTGGGACTGTCACTGTTGTTACATAGACTCAGAAAAGCTAACACTTGATAATGTCAACAGGGCAGAATGTACCCTTCCGACCCGCCTTTGGCTATGTAGCTTTTTAAGCCACATAAAGGCCTATGGGTTTTTTCTTGTTGTTGTTTTAAAGTTTATTTATTTATTTTGGGGGTGGGCAGAGAGAGGAATTCCAAGCAGGCTCCAAGAGCTGAGTGCAGAGCCCAATGCGGTATTCAAACTCATGAACCATGAGATCATAACATGAGCCAAAATCAAGAGTCAGATGCTCAACCTACTGAGCCACCAAGCACCCCAAATGCCTACCGGTTTTGAGTCACATTCTGGAATAGGTATCTTTGTGGGGTTCTTAAATTGTCAATAGCCAGACAATGGATCCTTTGATTTGGAAAAGTTGTTATATTTAAAAGGATTTCAGAGAGTTCTCACCTTAAACAAATGTCATATTACCAATATGGGAGGATCAAACTGGGAAGACACACACAAAAAAAGATCACAGCCAGCCTAAAAGATTCCCCTAGCAAAATTCTAGAACAGAAATCAGATTTAGAACACAAATTAAAATCTGTCCCTACCATCAACTCCCCTCCACCACCTCCTCCTTCAAATGTAATTCAATAAATTACATGAGTACTGTATTCAATAAATTACATCTAAAAAATAGGCTTTTTGTTAGATGATTTTGCCCAGGTGTAGGCCAATGTGAGGGTCTTGAGCACATACAAGGTGGGCCAGGCTAACGGATGATATTTGGTAAGTGAGGTGTATTAAGTGTATTTTTAATTTACAGTATGTTCAACTTAGAATGGGCTTATTGGGACACAATGCAATTTTGAGATGAGAAAGATCTATAAAGACCTTAACAGTAGAAACTACTACAGTAATATAAAACTTACTAGCTTGTGTCAGAGTCAGTTTTCAAATTCACTTTTCATCCTCATTTTTATTCAAATTATGTTTCTAGCAGATAGGACAAGTGGTTAACCTGTTCAGTGTAAGGACTAAAATTTTTTATCAATATTTTTCGGGGAGACCTTCAAGATCTTTCTATTTGCTCTGATGTGTAATGAAGACTGTGGTTCAGCCTTAGGCAGTTAGTTATTTTAGTCCACTAAGAAGTTACTTTTTTTTAAATTTATTTAATTTATTTTGGGGGAGTCTACAATCTTTATTTATTTATTTGTTTGTTTGTTTTTAATAAAATGTATTGTCAAGTGGCTAACATATAGTGTATACAGTGTGTTCTTGGGTTTGGGGGTAGATTCCCATGATTCATTGAACACCCAGTGCTCATCCCAACAAGTGCCCTCCTCAATGCCCATCACCCATTTTCCCTCTCCTCTGATCCACCCCTTATCAACCCTCAATTTGTTCTCTGTATTTAAGAGTCTTTTATTATTTGCCTCCCTCCCTCTCTGTTTGTAACTAATTTATCCCCTTCCCTTCCACCCGTGGTCTTCTGTTAAGTTTCTCAAGTTCCACACATGAGTGAAACATATGGTATCTGCCTTTCTCTGCCTGACTTATTTCACTTAGCATATTACCCTCCAGTTCCATCCACACTGCTGCAAAGGGTAGGATTTCATTCTTTCTCACTGCCAAGTAGTATTCCATCATATATATAAACCACATCTTCTTTATTCATTTTTAAAGGCTGGAATAAGGTAAGGAAAAAGGCATTGGAGGTTTGCTAAGGAGGGTGTTAATTGGAGCTTCTCAGGAGGAGGAATAAATTTCTCCTTTTTTTTTTTTTTTTACAATAGAAGGCAATAGTACAAGTAAAAGCTAATGTAATTTATTGAATACTGTACTGCAAGTGAAAAACAGAGTGGCTGTGTGGGTGCAGAACGGCAGCCGGTATAGCAGTTGTGGACCCTGTGACCCCGTGGCTGCCAGGGAATTGAGGCTCGTGGCCCCTTCCCAGCATCACGAGTGAGGATCATACTGCATATCGTCAGTTCAGGAAAATTTCAAAATTCACATGTTAAAGTATGGTTTCTACTGAATGTGGATCATTTTTGTATCATCGTAAAGTCAGAAAATCATAAATCAAACCATGGCAAATTGGGGACCATCTGTATGTGTGTCTGTCTATACCTTTGGATAGGTATATTATGTATATGTGATATTTTGTTACCTCTGAAGGGTACCTCTGACAAATTTATTTATCAAATCCATTAAAAGATCTCTATTCTAAATGAGCTTTAAAAACACAAAAGCTTATATGAATTAAATATTCCCCAAGCTCTCAGAAATACAGAAAGCAACTCAAATATTTTTCAAGTTCATGTGATTTCGGTAAATCTTTCATAAATAAGACAAGATTAATACAGTTGGTTTAATAAAAACAGCTGTATCTTCTGAATTATCAGCACTGAGTATGATCTGATCATACATTTTTATTCTACATGGGTTTTCTAGTCAAATAAGCTAATATTATATTTACTAATTGTTTAAGATTATAAAACTTATAGATTTAATTTTAATTTAATTATTATTCTGACAAGCTTTATTTCAACAATAACTGTGTTTTATAGTATGTCTACTTGGAAGTAGCGTCCAAGATCTTTTTGATAGCTTGAAACTAAAGTTATACTAAGGTACATGAAATGATATATATTTGTTGAATATCTAGACCATTTCTAAATAAGACAAAACAATGAGGGGCACCTAGGTGGCTCAGTCAGTGAAAAGTGCCCAACTTCGGCTCAGGTCATGATCTTACGGTTTGTGAGTTTGAGTCCCACATCGGGGACTGTGGGGAGCTGTGTTGACAGCTCGAAGCCTGGAGCCTGCTTTGGATTCTATCACCCTCTCTCTCTGCCCCTGCTGGCATTCTGTCTCTCTCTCTCAAGAATAAACATTAAAAAAAAAAAAAGACAAATCAATGAAATATTAATTACTGAATACAAGTTTACATACTTGTAGATTCTTTTTTTTTAATGTTTATTTATTTTGAGACAGAGAGCACAAGTGCATGTGAGAGGGAAGGGGTAGAGAAAGAGGGAGAGAGAGAGGATCCCAAGCAGGCTCTGCACTGACGTGAGTCTTGATCTCACAAACCATGAGACCATGACCTGAGCCAAAACTAGGAGTTAATGCTTAGCTAACTGAGCCACACTGGTGCACCTACTTTTGGATTCTTATTTTGACAGAGAGACTCAAGATATTTTGATATGCTAATAAATATGTTCTTTTTGCCATATTAAGAAATTATACTATGAAGCATAGCTCTTGATGTTATAAAAGTAGTATATTCACAAAAGTTGCCAATGTGCTACAAAAATACCAGTAGTTGACAGGAAATTCACAAACTACTTCCTGGTTTTCTCTGAAAAACAGAGGTTACTAAGTGTTGAAAACTAGGATCAATATATATAAGTGAAACTATTTGAAATAGTAGTGATGGAAAAAACCCCATATGAAGACTATTTAAGGAATGTATGAGTTAGTTTTGTTAAGGACAAAAGAGTAATTCAGTCCTAAAGTCATTCTTTAGAGGTGGTGTGAAGGCTTTCCAGAATAACAAAAGAGGAAAGTGAAGGATGAATGGATAAAAAAGATGTGGTATATAGATACAATGGAATATTACTTGGCAATCAAAGAGAATGAAATCTTGTCATTTGCAACAGCTCGGATGGAACTAGAGTGTATTATGCTAAGTGAAAGAACTCAGTCAGAAAAAGAGAAATACCACACGATTTCACTCATATGTGGAATTTAAGAAACAAAACAGATGAACATACGGGAAGGGAAGGAAATATAAGATAAAAGCAGAGTGGGAGACAAACCGTAAGAGACTCTTAAATACAGAGAACAAACTGAGGGTTGCTTGTGGGGTGTTGGGTAGGGGGGATGGTTTAGATGGGTGAGGGGCATTAAAAAGGGCACTTGTTGGGATGAGCACTGGGTGTTACATTAAGTGATGAATCAATGAATTCTATTCCTGAATCATTATTATACTATATGTTAACTAATTTGGATTTAAATTTTTTAAAAAAAATAACCAGATTTTTAAAAAAGAAAGTGAACAAGGTTTTTCTCTACCTTTTTAATAATATGTCTAGGAAACAACTATTCTGTGTCTTAACAGAATTTCCTGTGCTTCATGTCCTCAATTATTTAAGAAAACTAAGTCTTCTCAATTAAAACAAAAAAAGTCAATTTTTTTCATTATCATGTTACATCCTATATTTACTTTTGAAATCTTTATTGTCATTTTCGTTAAACAGATAACTAAGTATTGTTTCATAGTGACCCCGTGCCCGGTTAATCAAGTGTTTAAACCTTGCACATTTCTGACAACTTTTCATATTCTGCCTTCCTCAAATCAAATCCTAATAAAATCTTGATCTCAAACTGACTTTGAGATTTCTGAGAGGGCCTCTAGAAAATCTCAAAGGATTTTTTTCTTTTTCTAGTAAAATAAGATATTAAACCCATTAGGTTTATTTGATATGCTGAACTGCATGAAAATCATCATCAAATATGAAGAGAAATGTTTTTAATACCAACACTTTAGGAATTATATGAAGTTTCTAGCAATTTGTCAATTCCTTTCTTGCTCATGACATAGCCTCCAGATGCTTTGCCTAATGTGATCATAATTCCGGTTACTCTCAGCGGATCTGATTATAGCCATTTTTAAAGTCTTTTATCATTCACAGTTTGTTACTATTTTATTCTGATGCTTTTCTGAAAGCTCTTGTGAACAACCACTAGATAGAAGGCTTGGCTTTAGCAAAAAGAACTGTCCCAGGAGACCAGGGACACTATGACAGGCAAGAATGGGTACAAGCTTCTGATGGTATTGTATGCTGCCAGCCTGAGAAAGGATTCCAGAACTCTGATGGAGAAGCTAATGTTTTCCTGAAACTGCTAACCCAAAATCAAGAGAAACAAAAATTAATTAGATGGAATTGGGGCATCTGGGTGACTCAGTTGGTCAAGCGTCTGACTGTTTCAGCTCAGGTCATGATCTCATGGTTTGTGAGTTCGAGCCCCACATGGGCTCCACACTGATGGTGCAGAGCCCGCTTGAGATTCTCTCTCTCCCTCTCCCTCTCTGCCCTGCCCCTTCTCTCTCTCTCTCTCAAAAATAAATAAATAAACTTAAAAAAATTTTTTTAATTAATTAGATGAAGAAAGGTAATCATATTTTTGTGGGTTTTTTTAGTTTGGAACATTGCTGGCTCTTTAATGTTCTATTTTCTGGATGTAAGGTTTTTCTTAAGCTAACTACTCACAACAATTTAGTAGATTATATCTTTGTAAACAACAAAGAAACACTTATCTTTTTCTCCCACCACATCTGACCCTTCAGAGTTCAGAAACTCTTAGTGACTATTCTTAGTCCATGCACAAGTTTCTCAATCTGTTCTCCTTGTAAAAGAACATAATCAGAAAAACTGGTTATATCACCAATGTTTTGCCTGGAATGTCACAGTAGAGAAGGATGTGCATAGAATCAGATATGACCAGTTTTAAGGAACTAAGGTCAATTGACATGAAGGAGCCAGTGCTTACAAAGTCTTCTAGGAAAAACCAGCCTGGTACCTGGCTTATGGGGACCCAGCCTATAAGCAAATAATAAGAAATGTCACTTCCTGAAAGGTCCAGGAAACTTAGAATATTTTGGTGACCTCAGAGAGCAATTTACCCAAATCTAGAGGTACTGCAGATGAAGTATGATGACAAGTTACTAGCTTAGCATCCTAACCTCTAGCGGTTTTTAGAAGCCCAATCTGAGATTCTCCATAAAAATTCCAGCAAAGCCAACATTAAAGGTCTATTTGGTCAATTACCATTGTCGCTGCATCTACATAAATAATTAGGACAAATTTAATGAGACTAGTCTTACTTTGAGAATAAGGGTAATCTTACTTTGATTATCTTTGATCAAAATGGGGGGAAATTTTATGTTTCAATGGAAAACTATACCCACCCTTGTGAGTTATCAGATTCTAGTCCTGCTCATTGTCTTTGAGCTATTTGTCACCTCTTCATAAACTGAATCCTGCTGTGTCGCATAGTTTGTCAGTAACTGATGTTTCCAATTTTCCTCCCACCCTGCTGACTTGGTGTCACTGAGAAGTAAAACCTGACGGCCCAGATCCTTATTGAGACTCTAAGTTGTCTTCTCCCAAAGCCCTGCAAGCCAGAGCAAGACAACTTGATTTGAACTTCAAAAGAATTGTGGCAACAGCCTACATCCTCCATGCGCTGCTCATAACCATGACAGAGGCACTGATGACCTCACTCTATCATCTAAAGACACTTTGAGCCCAACATCTACAAATCCTGACTGGGTGCCCTCTGGCCTTGGAAACTAGTTTTAGAGTCTACTGTCACCATTAACCTCAGGTTTGTTTGTTTGTTTGTTTGTTTCCTTGTCCTAATCTATGCCTGCTTCCTCCTTTACAGATCTCTTGCCTGGAAGCTCCTAACCCAAATCTACAGCAATCAACCCAGCTTCCTTTTGGTGTGAAAATTCTCTCAAAGTTCCACATGAGAGAAATGTGGGAAACCACTCAGACCCCCACACTTGGCATAAAGATCACTTTCATGAAAATATTTGAACTAAAGAAGACGCAGAGAGAAACCTTAACCTAACTTCCCTTTTCTGACTAAAGCAGAGCTTCCAGAAATATCATTTCCATTACAGGGAGTTGCCTGTGAATTCAGCTGCTGTGGAGACAGACTGCCCAGGGCCACTAGTATCAAAAGGCTCAACAGAACTGTCCATATCTTCCCATTCCAGCCCTAACTCTCCACCCCACACATTTTATCTTTGGCTACTGAGGGAGATACCCATCACTGATATTCAGTGATGTACTGAGTACTGACTATAAGTATAAATAAACTTTGTCTTTTCTCTCCTGAATGTGTCTGTTGTAGGCCCTCAGCTACCATTTCCTCTTATCTTTGATAATTAGATCAGGCCAACCCTTTACTATCCCAAAGGAAATAATAATAGAAAACATATCAATATAATCAGAGAATGCCACCAAATAGAGAATTTCTGTTATGCAAAAATCCAGTTTTATATGTGAGTCAGTAGGTGGCACCAAAGAAGGAAAAAAGTGTCATCTTGAATCATGCACAGAACTACTCCGTGTCCCGGAAACCTAACAAAACCTATTTCTTTAGATGGTCTGTGTTCTTTTTTATCCTTAAATGTCTTAATCAGACTGAAAAATGCCTCAATATCTCATTGAAAGTAAACCAAAATAAATACCAAATAAAATTCAGAAAATATCCTGAAAAAATTTCCTATATTTCTGCCAAAAACTGATTCTGGACATCCACCTTGCTAAGTTAGGCACAAATTATACTGTATTTTAAAAATATGGGGTCTTACCAGCTATATATCTGAAGCCTATAATCTACTGGGGAAAAGGATGAATTCAGAGGAATTTGTCCCTTAAGCTAGAGCAAAGGGAGCATTTTGGCATGTCCTAAACCTTTTTTGGCATTTGGCATTCCAAATGATAGGGCAGGGATTTCTACCATTCATATCTAGAAATATATGTGAAACCACAGAAGCAGTTGCTCCTAGTCAAATGTTAGCCTTTAGACAGACAATAGATCAGAGAAGGACTGAGACCTAGGAATCTCACAGAGAAACCTTTTTCTTCTGTTTCTTAATTAAAAAAAAAATATTCAGCAATGTCAGGGAAGAATCCTCCCTTAAATTCTTTTTTGTTTTTAATTTAGAGAAGGAAAGAGAGTGTGTGAGCAGGAGAGAGGCAGAGAGAAAGGAAGAGAGAATCCCAAGCAGGCACCAGTCTGTCAGCTCAGAGCCCGACATGGGGCATGATCCCACGAGCCACAACATCAAGAGCTGAGCCAAAATCAAGAATCAGACACTTGGCTTACTGAGCCACCAAGGTGCCCCATTCTTTTATCCTCTCGTAAATTCTTAAAAATAATTCATATAGTTGTCTTACCATTCTTCACCCCAAACCAACATCAAAGCAGCACACCACCTAAAATGCAGTTGCTCAACTAACCTCATTCAGCTGTGTTGACTAAAATAAGAAGAGACACTCTTTTTCTACAGATAATGATAACATGTTAATGGCTGGGGCAGTGCTTCTCCCAATCCCTCTCCTACAAGGTCCAAGCGGGGGCCCTCCACTTACCCTGGCAAATTCCATTGGCTTGGGAAGAAGGCACATGACCATGACATCAAAGCGAACATCACAGACGGTCTTCAACCACTTGGTGACAAACTGAGGCTTCAGTTTTTCCACCAAACTTCCAACTTCATCATCCATCATATATGCCGTGGAGTGAAACCACTGAAACACCATGGCCACCAGCCTGGCCAAGCTCTCCGTAGGTGTGTTCTCACTGGGCGTGCAGAGGCTCACCTGCAAATGGGCAGATTAGACTCTGCTTCAGCCTCCATCGATTTTACATAATTATTACAAATTCATTTAAAGACAAAAAAAAAGATTCCCAATAATCCATTTAAAATAGTTTATAAATGATAGAGGATCACTTAACCTAGAAACTGCATTCCTTGCAGGAGAGATGGATTACAACAATAATTTCCCCTTGAGATTGCACCTTTTGATAAGTCTTTTCTCCTAGAAGAAATCTATTTTGTAGTCTACACTAGATAAATGCATTTTTAAGTTAGCTCTGCAAAGTGAAATTTCATAAATATCTTCAATGAAAAAAAATAATCTACCTATGTTTCCATTCTAAAATTATCAGATTTAGCTAAGGAATTTCTATCAGTAATAATTCTGAAAGCTTAGAGCCCCCTAATTCAGCACATTATAAATAGACTCTTAAAAACAGCTCATCATTTATTCATTATTCATTCTGCAATAATCTTTTATGAAACGCGATAGTAGGGGGTCAGGAACGTACAGATAAATAAAACACTACCCTCGCCTTCAAAGAGTTCACAATAGCAGTCATTATATCATTAGATAATAAGTTCTAGGAGCAAAACATGTGAAATCAGCAATTAAATACCAATTTGGTAAAACAAAACACAACTTTTTCAGATAACTATATAAAAGCATAGTTAGCATTAAAAAAAAGCATAAAGAGATATATTACTATGGAGACTCAATCTATGTCTTCAATGGGCAAAAACAAAAGTCTTATCTAACAGAACTGCCAAGTTCAGCTGGCATGGAATTTGGGATCAGAATGTTTGATCTTTACTGAATGAATGCTCCCAGGGAATCAGTCAAAAACGACCAAATTCCCTGTGTTAATACAGCTCTGATTTTTCTGGCTGTAAGCAAACTGGCCTTAAAAGCGTCACAGATACTGAACTTTCAAGAAAAATGTCATGTACAAATACCATATGTTTGCACATATAGGAGGATTAGGAGGAACTTAACAGAGGACCATGGGGGAGAAGAAGGGGGGAAACAGTGGGGGAGAGGGAGGGAGGCAAACCACGGAGACTCCTGAATGCTGAGAACAAACTGAGGACTGATGGGTGTTGGGGGTGGGGAGATGGGCATGGAGGAGGGCACTTGTGGGGATGAGCACTGGGTGTTATATGGAAACCAACTTGACAAACTATTTGTAAAAAACAAAAAAAGAAAAGAAAGAAAGAAAAATGTCACGTATAAAGATGATGGGATGCGAATGATCTATAAATTATATTAACTCAGTTATTTCACAACATACCCTAGCAACATTCCCATTCATTTTCTGTCAAAGGTGCCTTTCAAACAGTCAAGGGTCTGGCTAGTAGGCTTCGACACCTGGCTATTCATTAGAATGAACTAGGAAGCTTTTCTAAAAGTCCCAAGATTCTAGGGTGGGATCTGGGCACTGGCATTCTCTAAAAGCCTTCTTTCCCAAGGAAATCCAATGGCTGCCCAGGGTTGAGAGCCACTGTCCTACAATATAGAATCCCGCTGCTAAAGTTAACTTTTCACTATTTACTTCTTTAAAAAGAACAGGAAATATTCCTCATCAGTGCAATGTTGTCATGAGAAATAAGAAAGCAGAGAAGAGCTAACTTATTTTCTTACTAAAAACCATATTCCAAATTGACTGAGTAGTCGCTGGTCGTGTTTATCATCGTCCTTGTTGTCAAAGTCAGTGTTATCCAGGGAATGGTGGGAAGAGGAAAGTCCCAGCTGCCGCCGGCGATTCAGCTCATATTCCCGCTGCTCGGCATGGAACTCGGCTTCTTTCAACAAGCTGCCAAAGCCGAGAGGTGTCGTTAGACGATCGAAAAAACACATTCTAGGTTATGACCGATTCAGAGCAACTATTCATGACTAGTCAAGCATCACTGATTGCTCTCCTTCCAGTTGGTAGAAGTTGCTCCAACAGGCCTAATTTCAGTTCTTTGCTATTTTGTACTCTATCCCCATTTCTAAAATGAACAAACTGAGGCACAAAGAGACTGCTACCTTCAATTAGAATCAGGCAGAACCGATGCCTCCTGGCTTCCAGTGTACCAGCCATCCCACTAGATGTCAATATTTCCCCTGTATCTAATCTGAAGTTATGTGGACCTCAAATGCATGGTACAAAGAGAGACTTGAGGAATTTATACCCAAATATTCAATATCTAATATTCAAAGATTTGGAAATGAGCAACAAAGTCTCCTTTTTCAATCTGCTAAACAAGTCATAATTTTTTTTAAGTTTATTTATTTTGATAGAGAGAGAGAAACTGCAAAGAGGGGAGGGGCAGAAAGAGAGAATCCCAAACAGTCTCTGCAAGTCAGCACAGAGCCCAATGTGGGGCTCAAACTTGCTATAACTATGAGATCATGACCTGGGCTGAACTCAAGAGGTGGATGCTTAACTGACTGAGCCACTAGAGCACCCCAACAAGTCATCATTTTCAAACGTAATACCCAATGTTAGCAAAAGTGTAGCCAAAACTAGCAATTTCTTTCATACAATGCTTTTGGCATTATAAATTCATATGCATACTCTGAAAATCAGTTTGGTAATGTATCAATAGCCATTAAAACATTTATACACTCTGACCCAGTCAACCATATCTGGTCATCTACCCTAAGAAAATAAAAAATAGGGGCGCTTGGGTGGCTCAGTTGGTTAAGCATCCGACTTCGGCTCAGGTCATGATCCCACAGTTCGTGGGTTCGAGCCCCATGTCAGGCTCTGTACTGACAGCTAGTTCAGAGCCTGGAGCCTGTTTCAGATTCTGTATCTCCCTCTCTCTGACCCTCCCCTGCTCATGCTGTCTCTCTCTTTCTCAGAAACAAATAGAACATAAAACAAAATTTTTAATAAGAAAAAGAAAATAAAAAATAGAAAAACAGCACTATTCACAACAGTATTTATCAAAGAAATGTATATTAGTAAAAAACGGAAGCAATTTAAAAATCTAAAGGTGGAGGAAAACAATCTCAATGAAGATTATGTTTCCACTAAAAATGGTAAATACAGAAACTATCTAACAACATGCAAAAGAGAGAATGGTATAATGTTATATCAAAAAAATTATGATACCCTGTGATTACAGCTCTATTAAGATGTGCATTTGAGTAAAACTAGAAGAACATATGCAGAACTGATAATGATGACAGCAGTACAGCTGATTTTTTTCTTCTATTTCCAAACTTTCTGTAATGTTTCATTTGACAAACATTTACTGCGTTTCTACATGTAGCAGCCACTGAGGCAAGAGACACAGAAAAGAGTCCCTTATCCTTAAAATGTACACTCTAATATTATTTCTTTAATTAAAAAAAACTTGCCTCAGTGAATATTGTACAAAAGAGAACGACTCTGGAAGTTATCATTTCCAAAGCTCCTTTTTCTGTCACGTGGTAGGAGAGAGAGCCAACCGCCTGCACCACCGGGCTCCTATCTCACTGCAGAGCCCGCAGCTTTACCCCAGTGCCGAATTACCTAGAGCTCTCCCGCACTGCACAGTGCACAGTCAGGCCTCAGGCACCCCCTTCACACCCATCACTCTGAGGGGCGCCTCTGCTTCATTTTCCTAAAACTCCGCTCTGTGCCATCGTTGTGCTAACCATACTGAATCGCAATCCCATGCTTCTGTCTTTATAGCCCCTACATGCATAAGGTGATGGCGGAGACTACATTTTATTCTCTCTGGTCTCCCAAGTGCCTAACACATGCTTGGCACAGTGATAAAAATATTGGTTGAATGAATGAATTAAAACATCATCACTGGGGTGGCTGGGTAGCTTAGGTGGTTAATAATCTGACCTCGGTTTGGAGCATGATCTCATGGTTCGTGAGTTCAAGCCCCGCATAGGGCTCTGTGTTCTGCACTGACAGCGCAGAGCCTGCCTGCGATTCTCTCTCTTCCCCTCTCTCTCTGCCGCTCCCCAACTTGCATGCACACACACTCTCTCTCTCTCAAAATGAATAAATAAACTTAAAAAATCGTCACTGCATTATGGAAGGTTAAGAGGTCAGGCTTGAAGGCACCTGAAGTTGAATGAACTTTACCAAAGTGCCAAGGGCGGCTCAAAGCCAGGGTGGTGTTTCCGGTAGGCCCCCAACAAGCTGCCCGTTACCTGATCACGGCCTCCACAGCGCAGACCAGCTCCTCGGCACCACATTCCCGAGTGTTGATGGGCGGAGGGGAGGTCTGATAGAGGTGGGTCTCGGACGCAGCCCCCACTTCGTTGCTGTGATGATTCGAGTGGCATCTCTTGCAGTACCGCACAGGCCTGTTTCCGTGACGGCCGCAGCACCCCGCTGAGAAGCAGGTAACAACTGCTCTTCTTACATGGGAACTGCAGTTCTAGGGGCAAAAAACACCGAAATCAACTAAAACTGGCCACTGAGGTAATGGGGCTAAGAAGTAGAACAAATGGAACGTGAAGGGGCCACCGGAAGTGGCTGCACACTTCTAAAGTTTCCAAAACACAGGTCATCCCTAACCAGTTAGGTTTTAGGCAGAGTTAAAAACGAAGGTAAGATGTGGTTTCTATTGGTGTGAGTGGCAGAAAAGCTCTAAAGGTGAGTGGAACTTTGTTGAAAAGCCTTCTGTAAAGCTACCTCAGATATCGGTTGAGGGTGAGGCGCTTTCTGGATTATTTCCAGTTAGTGTGTGAAGAGTTTTCAGCAGAAATATGGAGGAAAAAACCTAAAACTGTGGTCCAAAGAGAGAGCATCACAGCACATCAGAATAGGAAAGGAATAATTATAATCCCCAAATTACTTTCAAAAGTATCTTATCCGCCACGGAAGGAGCAGATTTCCAGTGCAGCTCCTCTTGTCCTTGCTGTGTTCAAGGACAGGTAGGGGGCCCAAAGCTGGCTGCCCACCCACCCACCCCCTCTGCCAGCATTCTTTCCAATAAGACCTAAAGAGTACATCAAATACGCCAACGGACACCACAGGAACATAGCAAAACACAGCAAGAACCATTCATAGAATCAGCTGCTGACATCAACTACAGGCAAGGAGTCAACAGATGAAGGGATGCCACTGAGAAAAGTAGGGGCATGTAAGACAGAGTCCAGAGTCAAGGGGGGCGCTATGTCAGAGCCGCCCTGACAAGAGGCAGAGGAGAGAGGCACCATCCACGTGAAGCCATCTGAGAAGCTGTGAGGAAACACTCCCAATGGCTGCAAAACTATGTGTCCCAAGCCTGAGAGAGGGGCCACACCACGTGCTCAACATCATGTGTCCTAAGAGCTTTTCAGACTTTCAGTAGAGCTTAGCAAGATGTGAACACCTTGAGGGAATGTTTTACTGTAGGCCATTATGAACTCAGAGCCTAGTGAAGATTTGAGACCACTCCATGACAGATCTTTTGAGACAGAAGAAGGAAAAAGGCCAGCACAAAACCTACACAAAAACACGGACAATGTATTGAACTGCCTATCGGAGTGACCATTTCAAAGTAGGGTTTGTTCCACCTCGATTTTAGCACAAGGCTTTGGATGCTGGTGTCAGCAAATCTCATTTTCTGAACAGAACTCAGGCCTGCAAATCATAAAAGCAAGTTTAAAATTTCTGTAATTTTTTTCTTTTCATTAATAAGGTTTTTAAAATTATTTGTTAAATTTCAGTGTGTTAATTCTACAACTGCGGCCCAAGTCTTGTGAGCACCCAACTCGGTGCTGCTGACTCGCCAAGTGGTGTATTTTTCCTGTGTGTCCTTCCTTTCTCTCTCACAAACTAACTTTTCATTCTGGAAGCACAAGAATCCTTATTGGCTTGGGGCTTCTGCTCCCCACCAAACCAATACCACACCACTAGCTGCGTGGTATGTATCGGAGTATGTTCTTAGCATTTAACTTCTTCCTCTTGGTTATAATTAGTCTTTGTTCCTCTGGCATTCCCACCATTCTATAAACAATAGAATGCGGATATGGGTTTAGTGGGTAGTTATTCACTATAATAAAGCCCTGAAGTTTAAGGCCTACAATTTACCATCCTATTTTCTGCCCACATATTATTTACATTCTTCCCACACGCAAATTCTTGGCTGGAGGTTCAAGGTCTTGCGATCTAAATCAAGTCCAGCTGTGTATGAGGCTCTTTGGGTTGGCTTCCTCGGGTATGCTTCCATTTGCCTTGAATCTAGATGGGCTCGTGGCTGCTTCAACCAAGAGAGTGTGGCAGAGGTGATACCCATATGACTCTTGAGGCCAGATTTAAAAAGACTTGCAGCTTTCACCTGGCCATTTTATAATGTTCTCTCTTCAGATGCTTCCTCATTGTGATGCTCAGAACTCTGTCCTGGCCAAGCCATGGAGAGAGGCCATGTGTTAAGTCTCTTGTCCACAGTGCTGCCTAAGCCCAACCTTAAAGATACCCCATCCCAGAGCCCAAACATATGCTCTGGAAGCCTCTAGATAATCCCAGCCCCCAGTTATTCAAGTCTTCCCTGATAAGGCCTCAAACATCATCAAGCAGAGACAGGCTATGGACTGTGCCTTGTCCCAATCCTTGACCAACAGAACCTATGAGTGTAATTAAATGGTTGCTGTTTTATGCTGCTACATTTTAGTGTGATTTAGTGATTCCTTATGCAGTTATCTGGATATTGCCCCAAAATAACCTTGGGTTGACTTTAGTTCTAACCAATTCTTTTTTTTTTTTTAATTTTTTTAAATGTTTTATTTATTCATTTCGAGGAGAGAGAGTGACAGCATGAGCAGGGTAGGGTCAGAGAGAGAGGGAGTGACAGACTCTGAAACAGGCTCCAGGCTCTGAGCTGGCAGTCAGCACAGAGCCCGACGCGGGGCTCGAACCCACGAACCGCGAGATCATGACCTGAGTGAAAGTCGGACGCTTAACCGACTAAGCCACCTGGGCGCCCCAGTTCTAACCAATTATTAATGGATCCCACTAAGTTTTAATAAGCTACAGTCGGTCTTCAATCCATGTGGAGTGAGCTATATGCATTCATCTCAAAAGTAAACTAGAGAGATTTTCCTTAGATCCAAATTCAGATGGGCATGGTCTCTCCAGCTACTCTGCTTCACTGCTTTGAACTTCAAATGTAAAAAAATAACTCCAACCTGTCTCATAGAATGACAGAATTGAAATAAATCAAAGCCTGTCTCTTTACCTTTACAATCTTGATGCTTATTTCAAACTCACTGTTCACGGGGCACCTGGGTGGCTCAGTCGGTTAAGCATCCGACTTTGGCTCAAGTCATGATCTTATGGTTTGTGAGTTCGAGCCCCATGTCAGACTCTGTGCTGACAGCTAGCTCAGAGCCTGGAGCCTGCTTCAGATTCGGTATCTGCCTCTCTCTCTAACCCTCTCTTGTTCACACTGTCTCTCTCTCTGTCTCTCTCTCTCTCTCAGAAATAAATAAAACATTAAAAAATATACATATATATCAAACTCACTGTTCAAGTGTAGGAATTTGTACTCCAAAAGAGGTAGACACAAACTGTACCCAAAGCAAGCTCGAACAATTCTGAACTAGTATGAACTTAATGAATGTTCTCTAAATTCACTTTCAGGTAAAGCACAACATTTATTAAAGGATAAGTAATAAAAATCTGCTTATTTGAAGTTTATTACTAAAACTACTTTTGTCATATAAAGGAGGGCGGTGTTAAAAAATGATCCACTCTTGGGGTGCCTGGGTGGCTTAGTCGGTTAAGCGTCCGACTTTCGCTTAGGTCATGATCTCGCGGTTCATGGGTTCAAGCCCCGCATCGGGCTCTGTGCTGACTGCCAGCTCAGAGCCTGGAGCCTGTTTCAGAGTCTGTGACTCCCTCTCTCTCTGACCCTCCCCTGCTCACGCTGTCTCTCTCTCTCTCCTAGAAATAAAAATTAAAACATAAAAAAAAAAAAAAATGATCCACTCTGTGTCTCACATATGTTAGGTTTACCACCAGAGCTAGGACATGCTAATTTAGAATATAAAACTGTTTCTAGGGGCGCCTGGGTGGCTTAGTCAGTTGAGCGTCTGACTTTCGCTTAGGTCATGATCTCGCAGTTCGTGGGTTCGAGGCCTGCGTCGGGCTCTGTGCTGACTGCCAGCTCAGAGCCTGGAGCCTATTTCAGAGTCTGTGACTCCCTCTCTCTCTGACCCTCCCCTGCTCACGCTGTCTCTCTCTCTCTCTCCTAGAAATAAATAAAAATATTTTTTAAAAAAACTGTTTCTAATCCTTGTCCCTCCAGCTTATAAAAGATTCTCAAAGTAGGATATATCCCCAGGATAAAAATCAAATCAAAAGTATGCTGACTGGCTGCATGATCCTTTGTTAAAACTTCAGAAAGATATAAGATGCTGCTGCTCAGTTGAGCCTTTCAGATAGAAGAGGGCTTCTAATAATTTTAAAGGCAGACTGAAATGCCCAAAGTATAGAAAGGACCAGCCCCAAAAGAATTATAGATGTGGCTTTGGGGGCACTGAACTCCAATGAGATTTATTGAAAATCCACAGGGTTTTAAAGAAAGTCTTATTAGCAAAAATGCCACCAACTTAGACTACAGGGGACAGACACAGTTCAACATGAAAGGAAGTCTAAGGAGCCCTGACTTCTACATCAGAGGGCAAGCTAAGGGAGCCCTTCAACTGCACCATGTGCCATTTCTTCTTGGAAAAGATGTTTCAGAGAGTAGAGTAAAGAATGCAGGAGAATAACAATGGATTAGGGAACTATTCCCAGGATGTAAAGCCACATCCTAGTCAAGGCACACTTGCTATCCCTGGAGACAGAAGAGCTGTTGTCACGTTCGTGGCTGGAGCTGCTATAGTCCACTGACAGCTATGTGCTTCCACTTACTCTTGCAAATGGAGGTCCACTGCTGTCATCCTGTCCCTGTCTCACCATCACGTGTAGGGTGTGGAAGAGGGCAGGTAACTTGCCTTTTTAGTTCACAGGTCTCTGGATCAAGAGAATTTGTACCCAAGGAGTTTCATCAGTGACCAGATCACATGAAGATCACAAGATGATGAACTGAAGCCATAAATGGATTTAAGACTTTAGGAGGTCTCATTAGGTCGTGGAAGTATTTTACATGTGGAAGAAATGTAAGTCATTATGTCCAGAGAGTGGATTATGGTAGATTAAATGTGACCACGGAATTCTTATCACTCCTTCTCTAAACGGGAAAGAAGTCTATGTCCCTTGCGTGAATCTGGGTTGGCCTTGGGACTTGCTTTGACCAGTGGAATGCATCAAAAGTGATGCTGTCTGACTTAGGAGCTTCAATCTCAAAAGGCTTTTCAACTTCCTCTCACATTTGTTCAGAACACTGCTGCCCTGTGAATAAATCCAGCCTTGCCCCCTGGAAGATGAGACACCTAATGAAAAGAGGGAGAGCCAGACAGCCCTGTCATCCAACCATTCCAGCTGTCCCAGCTGAGGCCCCAGATATGGGAGTGAGCTCATCTGGAACCAGCAATCCCTCAGCTACACACCAATGGACCACAGGCCACATGAGGGAGCCTAGAGGAGTTTATCAAAGAACTGCCTCATTGAGCACAGGCCAAATTGCCAATCCAGAGAATTGTGATCAAATAAATGTCTGTTGTTACAAGCCATGACATTTTAGATTATGTGACAATAGATCACCAAAATGGCCCTCCAAAGGTACCTACTCGTGACCAATTCCTAAAAAAATTTAAGTGACTTGTACATTGTCTCATAGGTAGGTGGGGACAGAGCCACCCAGAAACCAAGTGTCTCCACCCACTAATTCAAAGTTCCTTGTATGACGCTGTACTACTCTTGTACTTTTCAACAACTAGAACAAGAGGATGGAAATGGCTTAGGGAACCTGTCATGAAATGTGGCTAAAGGCAATCTGAAGGTGAAATCTTTAACTAGAGATTTCATTCAACTTACATCTAAATGAATGTGGTCTGTCGGCGTATGTTTCCGACACACATATATTGAACTATTTGTGCTCCATTTCAAAACAATAAAGATGCTTAGCGCACTACATACATGATTTACCAAAGTTAAGGTAAACACTTTTAGTAACCAGAGTCACACATATGCTTTTATTTCAGTTTACATACCCAAAACACTGTGCATAAGATGGATGAGCAAAAGCAGAAATGGAAAGAGAGACCATTCGGACACAGTAATCGTGCATGCTAAATTATTTCTTTTCCCCCTTCACGAATACAGTGACATGTACATACTGGAAAACTGTGGCGCAGAAATGAGGCAGGTGTCAATGGATGAATTTACATACAAACACAGTAAACCATGCCCCCACCACACGGATAGTTTGCTCTTACCTTTTTCTGACATATAGCAGATATTTCAGCTGTAAGGGGAAGGTACACAACATATCAACAAAGAAAGACAGCCCATTTTAAATGAGGGCAGCCCCAAAGGCAAGTAAAAACAGGCTTAGTAACACAACCCCTAGACCCAAACAGCTTCTCTCTTGTCTTATTAATTGTCATCTACCTGTGTTTCATGAGGTTAGGAACACCTGCATGCTGCAAATACTTCTTCTAGTCTTAAAAGTAATTCAACCTCCTCAGACATGACTTAGAATTCACATCACGTTAGGGGTGCCTGGGCGGTTCAGTCTGTTAAGTGTCCAACTTTGACTCAGGTCATAATCTCACGGTTCGTGAGTTCAAGCCCCACATCAGTCTCTGAGCTGACAGCTTGGAGCCTGGAGCCTGCTTCGGATTCTGTGCCTCCCTCTTTCTCTGCCCCTCCTCCACTCACACTCTGTCTCTCTCTCAAAAATAAATAAACATTAAACAATTTTTAATAAATATAAAAAAAAGAATTCAGATCATGTTAAAGCTAAAGCAAAATAACATTCATCTCACCTCCTCATTTGACATAGAACAAAACTGAGGTTTACATGACTTCATCAGCATCACATAGGCTATCAGCTGATAAAGGCTGATCTAGAGATAATATGACTGAACTCCCTGTTTATGGTCTTCCATTACACTCAGACACCAAATTGATGTGATATATTTAGAGCTTCACCATGGAGATGATTTGCTATTTCAAAACTGTTGAAAATCCTTACGAACTTGGACTACTCAGACGTCAATTATTGATTTATATCAGTCCTTAACTAGTGTAAAACCACCTCCATGTTCATTTCAGAGAAAGCAATTGTCAACTTCATGGATTGGCCACTTGGAGTAAGGCTGTCAAACTACTGTCTACTTCCAAATTGGCCTTAAGAAACAGATGAAAATTGATGCTTGAGAATACTTGAAAGTAATTTTTCAAGGAAATTGTTAACATTCCCCCTGAAATAGTTAAGTGTTCAAAAAATGAACTGAAGCATTACTTACAGTATAGTCTATGTTATCATTTATTAAAAAGATCAAAGACAATGTTTCCCAAACTGTCTGGAAATTATGAATTAGTAGATGCCAAATCAATGAAATTTACAACTCAGTTTTTAAAACTGGTGTTGAACAACTAATGGTTATTATTTTAACAGTTTGATATCTTAGAGTTTGTCTTAACCTGAAGTTAGTGCCACACCTCTAGATAAATAATTAAAAGCTATTACAAGTTTTCTTCCAAAGATGAATATCTGCTGAAGAAGGTGACCAGAATTCAGCAACATATCTGATATTTAAAAATGTAGTTTTGCTCCAGACTTCACCTTGGAGCACTGGAAGTTCATTAACAAGGTAGCCTAATTTAAGGGGGGGGTAAATTTACCTTTACCCATAAAGCCCAAATCTTTTTACAGTTATTCTTATATAAATTTTCAAAATGTCTCTTTGAGGGATATAGAGGCTGACATTACTGACCCATTTTACAGATGAAGATCACTCATTAATTTATTTCTTAAGGGTGAGATGACCTAATATTAAAAGTTAGACTACAGGGGCACCTCGGTGGCTCAGTCGATTAAGTGTCCAACTTTGGCTCAGGTCATGATCTCGTGGTTTGGGAGTTTGAACCCTGCGTCAAGCTCTATGCTAATAGCTCGGAGTCTGGAGGCTGCTTCGGATTCTGTGTCTCCCTCTCTATCCCTTGCTCACTCACACTCTTTCTCTCTCTCTCTCTCTCTCTCTCAAAAATAAACAAACATTAAAAAAAAGTTAGACTACAAAGAAATAGTGTAATTATCAAGAAAATGGCCTTAAGTTCTTTTTAAATGTTCAGAGAATTTAGTTAACATAAGGTTTTTACAGTTCTTCTTAAATGAGGCCTTTCATAGAAAGTCTTTTATTATCTACCTCTGAAGTCATGGATCACGTTCCTCCTATGGCCCCCCAGCTTTTGCCACCTTTCCTCTTTCCTCTGCTTTCCTGAATACTTTTCCATGGTCATTTCAGCCTTTAATTAAGTGGCTGGGATACCTGCTTCCAGATGTGTGAAGGAAACCTCTGTGTGGGACCGGCCAACTTACAAGACATAGCTTTCAGGATTCTAACCAACTACAAACATCACAGTCCCGTCTTTTTATTGAGATGAGTCACCTATACTTTATCCCTATTTTACTAGGGTGACTGAGTCTCAGAACGATTAAATGATGTTTCCTAAAAACACAGAGCTAGTCATAGTGGTAGGAGAAAGCCCCATGATTCAATGTTCTTCCTGCTGATATTTCCTATTCCCTTCCTGACCCGGCATAGCAAACATCATTGGCAACACCTGTTATATATACAGAAAATCTCTTAAGATATAATTCAGCAGGGCTTTTGTCACACAGAATTCCTAACTTCAACATCTACCCTTAATTTCGGTAGAGGTGTTACCTCTTCCTTCATTATTAAATGTGTGGATATAAGCAAGACGTTGATATAATGCTTCATCTCAATGACTATTCATAAAATATAATACTTTGGTTACTGTCCTTGTAAAATAATACAGCACAAAAGGAGACAAACCAACCATGCCATTAGTCATGATTACTTATTATGCATCCTTTCTGAAGTAAACCATACCTTGTGGCAGAAGCACATCAATGAGCCATTCACTGTGGTCCCTGTAAAAAAAAGCAAAATTCATTTTTGAGATCCTTTGTAGTGTTACCCTTCCGCATGAATGTTTATAAGCTGCATGCTATTACTAAAAGGCTTTCAATAGAAAGGAAATGTAATTAAGAGCACTATGATAATCAACTTTTTAAGAATCTAATGCATGGCAGCTAAATTATAAATTATAGGCATTTCATCATATTCAGTTATCTTCAAATGATACTTTCCAGATGCTAACTAATGGAGCAACATGTACAGCCTGATGTGTACGATCCTTAGTGTGATTCTATGAAACAAGCAGCGAGAACCCATTTGAGTTACATGGCATGTTTGAAAGCCACGGTTTTTTCTTTTCCTCTGTGGCCTTTAGTAACGGGGTCACTTGAAAACTATAGCTGTTTTAAGTAAGTGTAACTGCTTTCTCTTCTCACATGGGGAAAAGTATTACAAGTTTTCAAAGCTGAAATCTCTCAAATGAAAGCTTGCTATATATCAAATATCTGATAAACTAACCTTTAAAAAACAGAGAGCTTATTGGGAAATGTGGGTAACATAACCAATTTAAGTCTATCTTCTCTGGTTGCCCTACTTTCTCTTCTTGGAGGACTCTTGTTTGTTTGTTTGTTTGTTGTTTTTTAGAATTAACAACTGCTAACATTCAGTCATTTTATTTCCAGACTTTTATATTATTAGGAAATAAAGCTTACATTAATAATTTGTTCAAGATTACCATGGGTCTCAATTACTCCTCTCTCCAAAGACAAACTATCAAGAGTTTAGTGAAGCCACCCAAGCGCCCCTCCTTAGAGTTATTTTTAAAGCAGTCATGCTTATGCTTAAAGTTACATTTTTCTAACTTCTAGAGTTAGCAAAATAGAATGATCCCAAGCACACTTTTGTTTTACTCCATTCTCCATGAAATTCTCCCCAAAGCATTTCTCCATGTTGATATCTTTGGGAATATTAATTCTAATTTTAAAACTGTATTATTTAGACAACACTACATTTCACTAAGTTTTAAACTCACCACTGATTGTTATATATTATTACTGTCTCCTGGATTAATTATTCTTCATGCTGGAGTATACCTTTTAGAGAAAGTATGTAGGTGGTAAACTTCCTGAGTTCTTAGATGCTTAAAAATACCTTGATTTTGCCTTTACATTTGGACTCTTATATACCTACCCCGCGATCCTCTGGCTGCATTCTTCACAGAGATACAATGGGGGTGGTTTATCCCCTAGAGCTACTGACAGGGAGGGGTCTATACACATCTGAAACACAGGAAAAGGCAGAATGAACTCTCCTGTCCTGTGTATCACAGTCCCCACGTCGTAAGCGCCAAAGTTGCATCGTGACAGATTTCCAAAAGCAAACTAGGATAAATATTTTTAGCAAAACCCATTTTAACCTATAGCTGTTTCTGCTGCACTGGCTGAGGATGCCACACTGGAGATTTACATGTGGCTACTGCGGTTTTTCATTTCTTCTGTATTCTGCAGGTTCAAGGGACAAGTAGTGCCAAGAAACCCACCCTCACTCCACAAAGAGAAGAAATCTTGTTCAATAGTGGCTCGAATTGCCTCTCTATTACTCATACGGTAATTCCTTCTCAAAAGTGGTAAACACAGCAATCTCTCTTTAGGAAAAGGAAAGGATATCAAGATTTTAAAATCATAACCACCACCAAAATCCTGACAGTAGAGAATTTTGCTTCTTAAAAGAAACCTCATTCAAAAAATTTCCTGCGAACTCTAACACTGAGCAATTCGCTTTTCTTACTACAGATTTCTAAGTTCTCTATCAATCATCCAATGTCGCATTTTTAGATGTTTTTCCCTTCCACACATGACCTGTGGTTTGCTTAGCTCTGTTCAATTTTGGATTATTTATGGCTGAGTTTTCATGAGCCTAGGCACGGAGATGAAAAGTGTTACTTCTGCTGTTATCATCAGGGTATTTTCAAATATCTAGATGTTTAAAATCAAGTGAACGCAACTAGCTGAATTTTGTACTTTGCATCAGGTTAAATGTCTATAACCAAAGTCATTTTGAATTCTGTTCCCCTGTCCTTCAGGAAATAATGAATCCATGCTATAGCTGATTGTGCAGATAATGTGCCTAGGACACAAATTCTTCTGGAACTCTACTCTGCCTTTTTTTTAAAGCTGTTTTTACTGATTTGGGAGGAAAAATGAACCAAACTTACAATCCAAACAGCCTGAGATTTAAAGTTAAGACCCTGAAGAGTTCTGTGTATCATCCTTGTGCAGGGACCATGCTAAACTTTCTGTATCATTCCAATTTTAGTATATGTGCTGCTGAAGCAAATATATGCGCTGCCTGAAGAGTTTCAATGATGGGGGAACAAGAGTTAGAATTCCTAAATTTCAGTCATTACATTACCAATATCTGCAAATTATATATTCCTTGATGCTACAGGCCCAGTGTGGAAAATTTTTCCTTAGGCAAGTTTCATGCTTCCTTTGATGCCATGAATTACTACTTTTTGGTGTGTTAAATCAAGGATTAGCAAACTTTCTGGAAATGACCAGAGAGTAAATAGTTCAGGCTTTGTGGACCACATGTTCTCTGTCGCAACTACTCAACTCTGCTGCTGTAGCATGAAAGCAGCCATAGACAATATGTAAACAAATGAGCACAGCTATGTTCCAATAAAACTTTATTTACAAAACAGTCAGCAGCCCAAATTTAGCTATAGGCCATTGTTTGCCAACTCCTGTGTTAGATAATTATGTGGGCTCCAAAGTATCCCATAAAGTGATCTGCAAACAGAACCAAGTAAAACCAAAAGCAGAGTGTGACACAATGAACTCTAAGTTCCAAATATTTTCATTTTGAATCCTGTGACAGCTCTTGGCTCTTGCTTTAAAAGCACTTTTTTGCAAAGTATTGCAACCAAAATAGATTAATACTTTTCTATTTGGCTAATCATCACTGCCTAGTGATAAAGCTCATGAATATGGAGAGGGTACTTTTTGTAAGGATAAATCCATTTTCCCTGAGTCTTTCCCATGCACCCCGTGAATCTGTTCTTTGATATAGTTACTTGACTTTCATTTCTAGTGAGTCATTGATACTCCTATCAGGTAAAGATATTTTCTCATTCCACTCAAAAGGAAAACTTCCTAGGCTGTTAGAATTATAATCACTAGGGATTAGCTAGATGATCTCTGACATGTTAAATGAATTAGCTCATATGACCCATTACATTTGAGGATAGTAGGGTCAATACTGTTTACTCTGAACAGGCCAGTTTACATCCATATTAATATGTTCATATGTGACTGTTGCATTAAAAATAGTTATTTTCCATTTATAAATACAATTATCCCCAATGTAGCAGCTTGAGAAAATGGAGAAAAGAAGGAAATTTAGGTAACTCATTAACCCTCCATCTCAATGCAATCACTAATAACATTCTAATGAGAATTATTGGTTGCTTTTCATTATAAATATGAATATAAATATATGTATATGTGATTTTTAAATTACATTGGCATACTCTACAAGCTTATGACTTCAATTTCATTTAACATTATTCTGTACTTATCTGAATGTCCCATACTCTGAACTGACATGTCATATGGTCATATCTATGTGGGCTTGGGGAGTGCTTATATTGTAACAAAAAAAACAATACCAAGGCAGACCTGTTGTCAAGCAAAAACAGCCCCAGCACAGAAATCATTAACAAGAATGTTACCTTTCCAGGGAAGCAGAATAAAAATATGAAAGAAAACTCTTTGGGAAAACTGGAGCTTAAAAAGTAAAATCTGGATGGTGATAAAAATGTTTAGGTAGATAGAGGTGGTGGTCACACAGCATTGTGAATGCACTAAATGCCATTGAATCGTTCACTTTAAATTGGTTAGTTGTATGTTATATGAATTTCACTTCAATGAACATGGGACAGAAAGTAGGATGGTGTGGCCTGTCCTGAAGAACTGGTTAAAGGGACCAGCCTGTAAGAAAAGCAAAGCCTTGGGGCGCCTGGGTGGCTTAGTCGGTTAAGCGTCCGACTTTCGCTTAGGTCATGATCTCGCGGTTCGTGGGTTCGAGCCCCGCGTCGGGCTCTGTGCTGACTGCCAGCTCAGAGCCTGGAGCCTGTTTCANCTCTCTCTGACCCTCCCCTGCTCACGCTGTCTCTCTCTCTCTCTCCTAGAAATAAATAAAACATTTAAAAAAAAGAAAAGCAAAGCCAGAGCGGGCGGGGGGGTGGGGTGGACTAAACTAGAAAGGAGGGAGAAAATCTAATTCGTGATGACTTCTGTGAGTAAAAAACCAAAGTCATTACTAGTTAGGAAGTCAGAAGACCCCTGAGAATGCAGGCTGATGCAAGATCAGGAGGAAAATCACTGGAAAAGTCAAACAAAAAAACACCTCCTTTCTATCCATATCTGAGTGAACCAAAAGAGGGCATTGTAACATAGGCAGAAAGAGAAAGGGCAGCTATAGAAACTAAATAAAGTAAGGGAGCGATGCAATTCTCACCACAGTGAAGAATTAAGCCGAATTCCATGGCTAAAAATGAACTCACGTGTATTTAGTTCAAAATGTCATCACACCAAAGAAAATTACCTTTGAACCCCAAATGTCTGCGGAATTTCAGAGGAGGGGTACACATAGCAGGATGGGTAAGAATTATGCTTCCATTAGTGGGCTACCTGCACATGCTCTTTCTCAACATAAATTCATTAAATGTGCCTTCTTTAATTAACTAATTTTTTATTTTTTTAATGTTTTATTTATTAGAGAGAAAAAGAGAGTGTGTGTGTGAGCAAGTGGAGGAGGGGCAGAGAGAGAGACACAGACAGAGGATCCAAATCAGGCTCCACGCTCACAGTACAGAGCCCAACGTGGGGCTTGAACTCACAAACCGTGAGTCATGACCTGAGCCCAAGTGCGACACTTAACCAACTGAGCCACCCCGGTGCCCCTTTATTTATTTTTTTTAAAAAATTTTAAAGTTAATGTATTTATTTTTGAGAGAGAGAGAGAGAAAGCACAAGCAGGGGAGGGGTAGAAAGGAGAGAGAGACTCCCAAGCAGGTTCCGCACCACCAACGCAGAGCCTGATGCCGGGTTTGAATACAAGAACTGTGAGATCATGACCTGAGCAGAGATCAAGAGTTGTAGGCTTGACCAATTGTGCCATCCACATGCCACTATTTGTCTTTTATTTTAGAGACAGAAAGCATGAGCAGGGGAGATGAAAAGAAGGGGAGAGAGAGAATAAGAGAGACAGATGGAGAGAACCTTAAGCAGGATCCATGCCCAATGCAGGGCTCGATCCCACAACCGTGAGGTTGTGATGACTTGAGCCAAAATCAAGAGTCAGATGCTCAACTGACTGAGCCATGCAGGTGCCCCTCAATTTGCCTTTATAAAAGCAAAGATCAAGCATAATAATACAACAATGTCCTTTGTTAGTAAGGTATATCCAGATGACAATATTATCACTGGCACTCTTCTGACATTTGGCACTCTTCTGACTCTGATTCTGTTAAGATGATATTATTATGTTTCCATTATTTGGTAATCTTTACAGTCTTCCTGTCTATGGAAGGGAGGCAAATTCCCATGACACCAGGTTCTAAAAAGTATCTGTGAACTCTAACGACTTGACCTAACTCCCACTCTTCATAATATAAAAATTAATCCTTGCAATTCCAGATACAGGTCTCTCCAGCCAAGTTTGTCTCCAACAAATATACCACAAATAACTTTGTTAAGATGTGGGATTATCTTTCCTAACATTCAAATTCAACAATTCAGGGTTATAACAAGAGAACCAACTTGATGTGGCGGAAAATGAAAAAGACAGAGTCAAAGTATCTGGTTCTGGCTTAGGAAAGTGTCTTGGCTTCTCTAAACCATTGTTCCTTACCTTTAAGTTACCTTTCCATGTGTTGTGGCCCAGCTACCTCTCAGTCATTTTGATTAACTCATATCTGTGATCTGAGCTAGGACTTAACAATTTTATCTATTTTTGTCCTATAACACTTGAATTCACATAGTCATACACTAGACACTCATAATCTTTTTCTTTCACAGTTTATTGTCAAGTTGGTTTCCATATAACACCCAGTGCTCATCCCAACAAGTGCCCTCCTCCATGCCTAGACGCTCATAATTTAAAATGAGTGAAACAGGGTTTCACATTTGCGAGTTTATTAGCTCAGACGGAAGCCAAATAAGGACTATGTGTTTCACCAGGATTATTCTGATAATTATTCATTGCTACACTGTGCTTGACAACGAAATCATAGCCAAACTAGCAGATACCACTATTCACTGCTCTGGCCTGAACCAACCCACCAAAGTACAGATTGAACACAGAGATGCTTGAGATTACTACAGAGCACAGCTACAGAGCACAGGCCTCTGCATTACAGAGAAGGATGTGACCTACTCCATTTCATTCAGCAATTTGCTCCTGATAATTTGACCACTGACAATACAATATGGCACCAGGTCTAATAAAACAGTACCTTCACAGCTGGCTTGTTAATTGCGTTGTGGCATTCAATGTGCTGGCAGTGGATGGGATTCCAAGCTGTAAAGCAAAGCATAGCTGATGAATACTTCTCACTGAAATTATTTTTGCCCTAGTAAAAGCAGAGCAGATATTACACTAGTTTTCTTTTTCCTAAGAAAAAGTTTTCCATCATAGGAAGGCTTCCTAAAATAATCATTTTTTAAATCTATGACAATTTTAATAATTGAACAAAGATATCACACCTTTTCCCATAGGGAGGGACAAGCTGGTATAATATGGCATACGTGGTATAATAACATTACCTCACAATGATATATATACATATATATATATATATACACACACACACACACACACACACACACACACACACATATATATATATACACCATTAGTAAGTTCTCCAAGGTTTTATGTCTATGGTTTCACTTCATCCTGCTAACAACTCCGTAGGATAGGTACACCAGATTATCAACCTCATTTCATATATGAGTAAGTAAAAGTTAAAAAGGTTAGGTAGTTCACTATAGTCACAGAGTTAGTACAGGACAAGCTGATACTAGAACCTCCATCTCATGGATTTCAATATTGCTCTTTTCATTGTAGTGTACACTATGCTGAACATCCTAGATCTCTGGCACCAGGAAGTGTTTCAAACTGATAATAACCAAAATGAATGCTAAGGCAACCTCCACTATTCCATTTCCCACCCCATTCCCATCAGATGTGGAGACTGAAAAGATGAATTTCTTGCCCAGATGAAATACATCTCTCTCTCTCTCACACCACAGATTGGGACTCACAGACTAATGTCTGCTAGTTTGTTAATATCCACTCCTTAACACAGTATGCATGCAGAATAAGAATAAGAAACAAGTGATTTGGGATAGACTGGAAAGAAAGTCATGAAAAGTATTTATTATCATCTAGATGATTCTGTAGTCCAAAGCACTTAGCTAAAATATTTCATCATTTTATTTTTTTTTTTTAAATATTTTTTAATTTATTTCTAGGAGAGAGAGAGAGACAGCGTGAGCAGGGAGGGTCAGAGAGACAGGGAGACACAGACTCTGAAATAGGCTCCAGGCTCTGAGCTGGCAGTCAGCACAGAGCCCGACGCGGGGCTCGAACCCACGAACCGCGAGATCATGACCTAAGCGAAAGTCGGACGCTTAACCGACTAAGCCACCCAGGCGCCCCCATCATTTTAAAAAACACAATAAAATTACGTATTTGGAAGTAACACATTTTTCTAAATCACCAAATTCTAATCCCATAGGACTATGATTGGCCTAATATACAAGAATTCGCAGATGAGAGGATATTCTTACTTACTTTTATGTCCAATTGTAATTCAAGAATATGTATTGATAATATTCCAGACCTAATTTATTCTCCAAATATGTTATAAAGTTTTTTTTTTTCACCCAGGGGTGTTCCACCTTCAATCTTCTAGCCTATGGTTAGACCAGGTATAAGATTATGTGTCTGATTTGAAATTTAGGAAAATATGGTCAACAGAGCCACTGACCTTAAAAAATACACTACTTTATGTAAAAAGAAGATCTGAAGTACAGACCAGAAACCACTACTCTAATAACACAATATCATATTGCTTATTATTTTTAGAGAGAAAGAAAGAAGAAATGAATAAGGAATGGATGAATGAAGAAATAACTTGAATATAGACATTCCAAAACAATAAAATTTGTTTCCTACATGTGGAAAAGTCAAGATGAAAATAGAGGGTAGCAAAAAAGGCTTTCTTGTGTAATTAGAGAAATCTAGAAAAAAAAAAAACCCACTGCATTAAATAAGTATAGGAATTGCAAATACATGAGCCATGTGTCTCATTCCTCCAATCCCAAACTCATGACAGATATCACTAATCCATAAGAGCATTCCTTCCTGCTGAGTCCAGAACGGGCCGTAGGATCCTTCTCAAGTACCTTTCTGAGCTCCAGAAAGTTGCCACTAATAAACAGAGTTAGCACACAAGATAAAATCTGCTAGCCATTTCCGAATCCCTGTATTATGAGAACATTTTCAGATCACTTTACAAATATTAAGAAGTCTTGACACTTAGAAATAGAGGTAATATTCAAAATATATAACAACTGCTATGGCAAAGGCACAAAGAAATAAGAATATACAGCAGCTATAGCACTTATTCAGGGCTCTAAAAACTCCTGCTTTGCCAGAAATTAATGCTTTATATGTGGGTATATCCAGGAGGTCCTACTCCTCTAATATTTTATTTCATTTTTACAGAGTGTTACTGGGTTAAGAATAGATTGTAAGATACCTCATTTACTTTACCAAAGTCACACTAGATTTAAATTCATTCAAATAGGGATTCTTAGCTTTTCTTGTGTTTCAAAAATTACTTGTCAAGATTTCAAAAATATAATTTATTATATTATTATTATATAATTATATTATATAATAAAATATAAATAACCTGAAACTCATGTTAGATCTACTGAATCAAAATGTTTACTTTTCTTTTTTTTTTTTTTTTTTTTTTTAAGAGAGAGAGAGCATGTGAGTTGAGGAAAGGGGCAGAGGGAGAGAGAGAGAAAATCTTAGGCAGGCTCCAACTTCAGCATGGAACCTGACACAGGGCTCAATCCTACAACCCTGAGACCATGATCTGAGCCAAAATCAACAGTCAAATGCTCAACTGACTGAGCCACCCAGGGACCCCCTGAATAAAATCTTTAAGGACAGACTACAAGCATTTGTAATTAGGAAAAGCACTACAAATGATTCTGATGTAAGATCAATCTACAGACCTTACCATATGGCAAAAACTAAAACAGAGTAACTGGCATTAGACATGTCCTTCCACCATAAACAACTAGAAAACTGGAATATATATATGAAACAACTGTTTTCAGAAACTGGACTAGGTAGTGTAGGAAAATGATCCTTGAGAAAAGAGAAACAATAAAAGTCAGTCCTATGACCAACATCACTTTCTTCCTGGAAGCAATTCCTAGACTTTAGACATAGGAGAAAGATAAGCATCCACAAAATGTGAAGCTTAAAGAGGGAAGGTGGCTTATATTTGCTGGGTAGTATACCAAATAAGAGGGAGCCATGTGAAGAAAGAACTCCAGAAATTTAATTAAGAATCCTTTTGGGTCTTTGGCTTTACTAAGAAAAACATGTGTAAGGCACAACTCCATTAGGCTGCATAGAAAACAACTATGGAGGATCTGTAAGCAGAACAATTCCTACATCTCATACAGGCCTAGGAGATATTCAAGTTCCAACCAGCCAGAGTAAAGGGAACTCAGTGAAAACTTGGAACATTCAACAGAGACTCTAGGAGGTCATACCTTAGCAGTAGGGCTAGACCAACATAGGGACAAGTTATTCCAGCCTCACCCTAACAAAGTATAAGAACAGGATTAAAAGTGTAAAGTTGATCCACCAGTAACTTGATAGGCAAAACAAACCTTAAAACACTTTGATGAAAGACAACAAAATCAAGATACTTAATAATGTAATACTCATGAAGTCCAGCATCCAGTTAAAAAATTACTGATATTTGGAAAGGAAGGAAAATGTTAACCATAATCAGGAAAAAAAATGGCCAATAGAAATAAACCCAGAAATTATACAGACAAGGTAGTCAGCAAACAAGAACTTTAAAACTGCTACTTTAAAACATATTCAAAGGAAAATATGAACACAATAAGAATAGAGATTAAAGATAATAAAAGAACAAAATGGAATTTCTAAAATGAAAAACATAATATAGAACATGGAAAATTCACTGAATGGATTTAATGGCAGATTAGACAATGCAGAAGGGAAGATAAGTGAATTAGAAGACATAACAACAGAAACTACAAAACTGGAGCAGTGGAAAAAATAAACAGAGCTTCAGTGAGCTGTGGGAAAATATTAGGCAGTATACAGCACATCTGGTTAAAATTCCAAAAGGAGGAAAAGGGGGGAAGATGGAAGATAATTTGAAGAAATAATGGCCACAATTTTTCAAATCTAATAAAAACTATAAGCCCACAGATCCAAGAAGCTCAATGAATGTTAGGCAAAATAAAATCAGAGAAAATCACACCAAAACTCATTATAATCAAATTGATGGAAAACCATGATAAAGAGAAAATCTTAAAAGCAGCCAGGAAAAAAAAGACACATTACTTACAGGGGAACAAAGATAAGAATGATCGCTGATTTCTCGCCAGAAACAATGCAAGCCAGAAGACAATGGAACGACATCTTTAATAGGCTGAAAGAAAAAAACTGTCAACCTACAATTCTATAGCCAGTGAAAATTATCCTTCAAAAATGAATAAGAAATAAAGACTATTTGAAGACAAACACAAGATAATTCATTGCCAGCTGAGCTCCACAACAAGAAATGTTAAAGGAAGGCTGAAAGAAAATGATACTAGATGGAAGCTAGGACCTACACAAAGGCATAAAGAGTTCTGGACAGGGCAAATATGGTGAATAACTGCAAAAGACCTTCTACTTGTGTTAACATGTTGTTAAAAGATAATTTACTGTTTAGGGGCACCTGGGTGGCTCAGTCGGTTAAGTGCCCGGCTTCGGCTCAGGTCAGATCTCACAGTTCTTGGGTTCGAGCGCTGCATCGGGCTCTGTTGACAGCTCAGAGCCTGGAGCCTGTTTCGGATTCTGTGTCTCCCTCTCTCTCTGCTCCTCCCCCATTCATACTCTGTCTCTCTGTCTCAAAAATAAACTATTAAAAAAAAAAGATAACTTACTGTTTAAAACAAAAATAACAGCCATGTATTATGAGACTAATAATATATATAAGTAAATATTTGATGGGTGCCTGAGAGGCTCAGTCAGTTAAGCATCAAACTCTTGATTTCAGCTCAGTTCATGATCTCACAGTTTATGAGTTCAAGCCCTGCATCAGGTTCTTCGCTGACAGCATGGAGCCCGATTGGAATTCTCTCCCCAACCCTCTCTCTCTGCCCCTCCCCACCCTCCACTCCCTCTCTCTCTCAAAATAAATAAATAAACTTTAAAAAAAGATGTAAATATCTGACAACAAG